TCTTGAGTAGGTTCGACGTTTTCTTGTTTTTGTAATAAATTTTATCATCTGATTTTTGTCTGTAGGGATAACGTTCCTATTAATATCTTTCAGGACACTTTCCTCCGTTTTATGAGCTGTCGAAGAGAAGTTCCTGTAAAACGGTCTAATAGAGGGTACAAGTGCTGTGTTAGTTGACTCTTCAGAGGTTGTTAAGAGGTTGCATGGCGTTTCGCCTTTCTTTTTATGACGTCATAAAAGACACCATGCAACCTCTGAAGAGTCAACTAATGCAGCACTTGTACCCCCTATTAGACATTTTACAGGAACTTCTTTTCAACGGCTCATAAAACGGAGGAAAGTGTCTTGAAAATTGTGAAAGCTGAAAGCTTTTCGCTGAAAGAAAAAACTGGCAGCTCTAGGGTCTCTAGTTGCTTCAATTAGCTTGGACCCCAACTCCTTCAAAAAACTAGCACTTTTACCCGAGGCACCAAATGTCTCTGAGGCAATGGGGACAAAATTGTAGTGGTGCTCAAGGTCTGTATTTACATGACTTGGCAGCACCTCCTTCTTGTGTATCACTGAAGTCAACATAGGTGTTGGGTAAAGTTGAAACGCAAGTGTAGTTCCAATATTGTGTGTGTGTGTCGTAGCCAGAATGCACTTCTCAGCCTACTATGCAAGGCCCGATTTGCCTAATAGGCCGAGTAATTTTCTTTATTTTCAATAAATTGTTTCCAATGTAGTTTATTTGAATCATTAATATTATATTATATTAGGAACATAAATTATTGACTTAATTATGTTAGGCTAGGTAGGGTAGGTTATGTTCGGTCATATAACTGTTAGTTTTATCTCTAATAAAGAACAATTTACTCGTACATAGTGAAATGAATAGCTTTATCATTTCATAAGAAAAAATTAGAAAAATATACAAATTCAGGAAAACTTGGCTTATTAGGCAAATTGTGCCTCGCATAGTAGGCCGAGTACTGCGTTCTGGCTACTAGGTACAACATACATACACATACACGCACACACACACAGTACATTCATACAGTACAGTCGGCCACATGCTTTCCGAATCCCTCAGGAATGAAACCGAACGGATAAGCTGTTGTGTTCGGATAAGTGGTTTGTCATCCTGAGAAGCTTGGGAAAAAAATGGCAATTGTTGCCAAAATTTGAGCGTTGGGTTGTACTCGCTGATATGAGAAGTTCTGATCTGATTGTTAACTCGAAGATTATAGTTGATGGATCATTGTTATTTAGATAGAAAATGTGGTGGATGATGATAGTGCTGGATTGACTGAAGTGGAGATGAAACCACGTATCAATGGTGATAGGAGGTAACCTCAGCAAACTGCCTTCCACCATGTACTCTAATGTACCTACATGGCATGGCAGAGTTTACACCTTCTGAGCCATCCATTAGTGTATGAACACTACTGCTCAAGTGGCACTTTGTATGGTCACTGGCCAAACTAGTTCCATCATTATTGCACACTTTTATTCAGACTACTGTACATGCCTCCCCAGTTATTTGAACTTTTTTCCGAACAGACCTAAATCGGATGACGGGCATTTTCATAAAAAAAAAAAAAGTAATTCGTAAAGCATGTGACTGACTGTATATAAACTTTTGTCTAAATAATTACCCCTTTTTTAACTTTAATGTGAACTTGTTCTTAATCAATTAAACCATTTTAAGTTTTTTTTTTTATTTTGTATCTTGGCAATAAGCTTTTGTTTGCATTACCCTTTTCCAAAGTCATTTTCAGTTCTGAACCTGTACCTTATTTTATTGTAATTTCAAATTTGTATGGTAATTGTGTATATACCTGGTTGCCAATAAGGGCATAAATTAATATCCTAAATTGGTGTCTTTTTTAGTTGATTCTAAAAATATTTGCCAAATATATAAATTTATCAACATTGGCAGTGTTTTGATGGAATAAATTTTGAAACTACTGTATATTGAAGTTGTATGGTCAAAATATATATGATATTGGGTAATGTTTAGATTTAGTATTGAGCATTATTGTGATATTAATTTAGTTTTTCTAAATTTTTTAAGATATATAATTATTAAATAAGTAAAATTTACTGAAAATTAAAATAATGACTAATGGTGGAATAAAGATGACATTCATTTTAAATAATTATTATTAAGAAAGAATCAGGGAAAATGAAAATGATGACTAATAGTGGAGTGACGATGACATTCAGTTTAAAGAGTGCACTTACAAGACTGAGACTTTATCGCACATGATACATTGTTAGACTGTTAGTCATGTAACCCTGGGATGGGATGTGTTTTATGATGGACTATCAATGTGTCATCGTTTATACCATCGTGAACATCGCTACTCCTGCAGAAGATATACGGACAATTACCCAGAAAAATGGCTGTTTAGGGTGCATTGCAAGCCTCATAAAAAAGCTGAGTATTGATTCTCTTGCTTGAATGTGTGTGTTTTGTCTACTGCAGGAAGTGGCAGGAGATATAAGATGAATCCATTTCTCCATTAGCATCATAGGCACATTATTCTTGCATACAATATGCTCATAGATTATTTTTATTAAGAAGTACCTTGTTAAATTGGTAGGACTTGACCCATTTAAAATCTTAATAAATGTTAATGTGATGTGTGCCTAACACTATATATTGTAGGCATTTTTAAGCATGTCTTGTGGTGGCACTTATAGCGGTAACGTTATATTTTCCATACTATGCCCTATACTTGCACCATAATTTTCATTGACAGTAAAAATTTAGCTTGATACCCTTACTTAAAGGTCAATTGAAGTTTCAAGATTCCTGCATTATATTTGGTAAACCCTCCATGTCTGTACTTCCCCAGTTGTGCTTGTGGGGGTTGAACCGGCGTACAGATTCCTAAAACTATTGGGCTCTATCATGCTTCCTCATCCTAGTTGTTAACTATCCTGACAATAAAAAAAAAAATCTTTCTAATGTCTATGACTAAGGGCATTCAATTTCCACCTGTGTCCACACACAGTGTGTTCACCCCGTGTTAAATAAACTGTATCTACCTTATCAATTCCTTAGAGAATCTTATATGTGGTGATCATGTTTCCCCAAACCCTTCTGTCTTCCAGAAATGTGAGGCTCGGTCCCCAGAGTTTGTCCTCATAGCTCATACTCCTTGGCTCGGGTGCTAGTCTGGTGGCATCCCTATGAACCTTCGCCAATATAGTCTTGTGTTTGATGTGATATGGATTCCTTGTTGGAGCTGCATACTCCAAGATTGGTTTGACATGTGGTATACAAGGTTCTGAATGATTCTCTACACAAATTTCTAAAGGCCGTTCTTGTGTTGGCCAACCCGGCATATGCCGCTGCCGATATCCTCTTGATGTGGGCTTCGGGGGACAGGTCTAGCATGATATCAACCCCAGGTTTTTCTCTCCGATTCTTGAAGAATTTCGTCTCCCAAATGATACCTTGTATCTGGCCTCCTGCTCCCTACACCTATCTTCAATACTTTTTGTTCAGGTTAAACTCCAACAGCTGTTGGACTGCGTAGTGTATTAGGGGCAGTGTTAACACTTGGTAAACCCTCCATGACAGTGTATTAGGGGCTGGGCAGTATAATATTTCTTCAAATAACATTTAAAATTTTGTTGAATAGTAGTTTCATAAATTATAATACAGTAATTCAAAAAATATAAAATGTTCCATCTGAAATAGCTTGTAATAGTTCAAAATGTGAGTGTTCACAAAGCCTATTAGGAAGTTTTGCTAGGGTATGCCTTATGATATGTGTCTTCGTCTTCCATGTGATTGTATAAGAGCTTTATTATCCTTACATTGACTGTACAAAACAATAGAAGTTGATTCAAGAAAGATAAACTTAATGTGGTAAACATCCTCAATCCACTTTATCATGTCATTTAATTCTCAACCATGCGTGCTGTATGTGGTTTTCAGAACATAATCATTAACTCCTCTCCTCCCAGTTTGGCTCTAGCAAGTGTCGCAGCACATTCGACACCCTGGTGGATTTCCAGCTTTCATTCATAATGCCTTTACTCTGACTTTAACTCTGGTAGCTATTGTTTTTGATCTAGAAGCTTTATTACACTACCGGGAGATAAAATATATTAACCCAATTGCATCCTCTTGACCTTTGTAGCAATATGCCTCTCAACTTTAAAAGCTTGGCTGCTCTAAGCCTCTTACCACCCATATGAAGACCACTGTTCTCTATCCCATGCACTCGCTACCACAATCAGCTTACTTCGATTGATTGATGAAGATTAAGCCACCCTAAAGGTGGCACGGGCATGAATAGCCCAGCCCGTAAGTGGTGGCCCTTTTGAGCCATTACCAGTATCAATATCCGATACTGGAGATCTGTGGAGGTGCGACTGCACCCTTCGTGACGGGAGATGTCTAACCCCCCCCCCCCCCCGTGCAGCTTACTTCAGTCCATGTTTAATACACCGGCCCATGTTCATTACTCTAGCCCACATTCATCACTGTAGCCCCCATCACACTAGGCTACATTCATCGCACCAAGCCACATTCATTGTTACATGTGCTATACCTGCTTGGTGATATTGTTGTTCACCTATGTGCAGTTAAAGCATATCCAGCTTTTTAGTTGGATCCCAACTACATGATGCCAATGAATTATGAAACTAATGCATACTATTTATTTTGCTTGTCTTTCTGGAGTTAAAATCCTAAATTGGAGGGTTTACCATAATTCCTAGATAAATGTTTTTTATAGCTCAGTATAGCTTTGCCTTGAAGCATTGATGGTTATATTCATTATTATTCAATAGGATTTACAATTATTACTGCACTGCCAGTTTTAAATGTAACTCCATTCCTCTGAGTAGGACATTTATATTTATTACAATTAACAAGGGGTGTGTTCCTTGTGGACTGCCCTGTAATAATTTGTAAGCTTGAATCCAAATGCGTTATGAATACTGTTTTTATTGACATGTTTTCGTGGTTTTCAAAATTCTAATTATTTTTTTTCCAGGGCTGTTGCAGCATACCTCAGAGCACTGAACCTTTCTCCAAATCATGCAGTGGTTCATGGAAATTTGGCTTGTGTATACTATGAGCAAGGGTTAGTAGTAGCACAACTTTAATGTTCTTTTGAATTGTTGGAAGGCAAGGTGGATTTACTGTGTGTTTATTCTTTCTTATTTAAGAAGTTTATTTGAGTTTAGCATTGTAGTTAGTAATTATGGATATTTGTGGGTTATTATTATAATGATTTAAAAATCCTTTGAATATTTATTGTTTTTAAATGTTTTATATAGGTTTTATGGCTGTGGTGAGGCTACCACAATGTGGCATCAGTGCACAATTTCATTGTAGCATCAATCTTTATTTCCCTGTTCTATTATACTGGGCAGAAGGGGGGGGGTGTTGACCATAGGGCTCGGGACCCAACCACCTATTGAAGGATAGGAAGGATAAGAAACTTAGATGATTGTCATGCCCTTCAAGAAGACCTGGACAAAATAAGTACATGGAGCGCCACTTGGCAAATGGAATTTAATGTTAATAAATGCCATGTTATGGAATGTGGAATAGGAGAACATAGACCCCACACAACCTATATATTATGTGAGAAATCTTTAAAGAATTCTTATTTAGAAAGAGATCTAGGGGTGGTTCTAGATAGAAAACTATCACCTGAGGACCACATAAAGAATATTGTGCGAGGAGCCAATGCCACACTTTCTAACTTCAGAATTGCTTTTAAATACATGGATGGCGATATACTAAAGAAATTGTTCACGACTTTTGTTAGGCCAAAGCTAGAATATGCAGCAGTTGTGTGGTGCCCATATCTTAAGAAGCACATCAACAAACTGGAAAAGGTGCAAAGACATGCTACTAAGTGGCTCCCAGAACTGAAGGGCAAGAGCTACGAGGAGAGGTTAGAAGCATTAAATATGCCAAAACTAGAAGACAAGAAAGAGGTGATATGATCACTACATACAAAATAGTAACAGGAATTGATAAAATCGATAAGGAAGATTTCCTGAGACCTGGAACTTTAAGAACAAGGTCATAGATATAAACTAGCTAAACACAGATGCCGAAGAAATATAAGAAAATTCACTTTCGCAAACAGAGTGGTAGACGGTTGGAACAAGTTAGGGGAGAAGGTGGTGGAGGCAAAGACCGTCAGTAGTTTCAAAGCGTTTTATGACAAAGAGTGCTGGGAAGATGGGACACCACGAGCGTAGCTCTCATCCTGTAACTACACTTAGGTAATTACATCCTACCTTTCTGGATGCCTGACCTGGTAGATGATATAGACTACTTCCAACTACATGGGGTGTCTATGGCCCATTGCTCCTAGTGCCTCTTTTGAGGGGACCAGCTACTGACTCTGGTTCCCAGTAGGCCTAGAACTCCTTCGATTGACTGTTGCCACAGTCTAATATATACACACCAGCCTGGTATAGCTCGGGGGAGCCTTAGGGCTCTCGCCCAGAAAATGACATTGCAGTACATACAACAATATAGTACAAAATGAGCCGTGGGGTGAAGTTAGTCTTCAGTATCATGCAGTGTGATGTAGAATACTGTCTTCATATCTGATTTATAAATAATATATAATACATTTGCTTAAACACCCATGATATGTTTTTATCATGTGGCACTGAACAATAAACTGTCATTTGAATCCTGTATAGATGTAATACTTTCCAAGATATTATAAAAATAGTTAGGTGGGGGAATATACAATGTGATGTGTGCTAAGTGAGAGGACCACAAAGAGTGCTAGTTTCTAGTCGGCAGCCTTGTGCCTGTAATGTAATATATCCTGTAATGGAACCTTGCCATGTGTATTGTGGTTTATACCTAATACCTTTCATAGTAATATTCAACATTTCTCTATTAACATTCACTTTGAACCTGTATGTCCAGTCAATATATATGACTGTGCCAGACAGACGACAAGAACATTATCTAACACACGAACAAATCCACAAGGATTTGTTGAATCCTCGTCACAGCCCTTATGGATTTGTTCATTTGATGCATCACACTATTGTGATTTCTGTGTGTAAAGAAGTAAGGGCGAAGAGGTAGAATGGCCTATTGACATAGCTCGAGTGCATGGGGAGAATTGTGTAAAATCCTGGTTTGTGGCTGCTGGATCCAAGTAAATTCAGTAGAATTTCTGGTTGCAATTTTTTTACCATGTCGTAGCTCAGTCGATTAAGGCAGCGTCTGGGATGATCTCGGACGCAGGTTCGAATCCTCGTCACGGCCCTTGTGGATTTGTTCATTTGATGTATCACGCTATTGTGATTTCTGTGTGTCATCTAACACAGTGCAGAGGTAAAACCCGAATAAGATTTCAACTGAGATTTTACAGCATAGAAGGTTTTAAACACATTGGACATTATCTTACGGAAGGCAACATTACATTACAAGTCATGAATGCTCATCCAATGCCTAAGACAGAAATGAATAACTGTAGTGAGCTAACCAGAGGCTTACTAAGAGTTACTCATGTTCAGCAAGGGCTTGTACAGCAATATCCCTGCAAAAATAAAAATATAAAAGTGCTGACCAATAAGCTGATATTTAAATACAAGGTATTATGCATCATTGTCTGCACTTCATACTTTCTGCATCTATGTCCTGTGATAGCATAAAAGTATTATAACAATCTAAAACCTTGTTTAAATTATACTACCTGGGTATTTTCCCTGTTGTGACGAACTCAATCGGGAACGATGTCCAGAGAAAAATAATTCATAATTATAAATTGGGATATATTTGACTTAAATTTAAAAGATTTAATTAAATGATTTAAAAAAAATTAAATGTATTAATGATTTTGTTTGCTGTTGTCACTAATGTTGTGTTTTAACTTTTATACAGACTTATTGACCTTGCAATTGACACATACCGGCGTGCAATTGAACTTCAGCCCAACTTCCCAGATGCATACTGCAATTTGGCAAATGCCCTCAAGGAGAAAGGACAGGTTTGTAAAAAGAATGCAGTTGATTTGTTTGTTTAGAATTCAGTGTTTGCATGTTATTTTAATTGTACTGTATTTCAGAATATGTAATGATGCATTGGTTTTTCTTTGCCATGTAAATTCATATTGCATCATTGATATTATGGCTGTGCTGCCTGCTGATTTTCTTCAAATTTTAAATATAACGTCGGCGCAGCACAGTGGTTAAGAAGCAGATGATCCTTAAAGGTATTATAGAACCGCTGCAACATATAAATGTTAAATTTGTGTAAGATTTTCGGCTACATATCCTCAGAGTGGGGGGAGGTGGCTGCAATCCAGCACCTGCAAATGACATTTGCCTCCCTTTGTTTATGTAAAATTTTTATGTATGTAAAGTAAAAAGTATAATCAATGTATGATGTTTTGTCGGGAAGTATAAATAACATACAAATATGCACAAGCCCTATTTAACAAGTGACGGCGTATTGGATGCTACCTTCGATAACCATGATTTCTGGCCCATATAAATGTATCTGTGCCATCTCTTCCCAAATAACATGGAAGCTTGGAGATATATTCTATATAAATTTACAATGTAAGTTTTAAATATAGATTCTGTAGAATCTATATAAAAACATCATGAGTTAAACAGTGTTGGTGTAGAAATTCCTGAAATGCCTGCATCACCATCCTTACCTACTCTTGCTAAGTCATCCTTTGACTGTAATTAAATTTTTGCCTATTACAAATGTCAGGGTCACTATACAGTTAAGATTTGTTGATGTGTGCTCTGGAGAGTTTAGATTTTCACTTTGAAGGTGCATGCCAAGAGAGATTGGAAGATGGCTTCATATTAGAAATATGACAAGAGTAGTTGGAAATTAGGATCTTTATAGTGGATGTAGACCTTTAGCCATATACTGAGTACGAATTTTGAAAGGGCCTTTTTGGTTTGCATATTGGGCATAAGTATTAAAGCATACAACCATGAGCTAGCTCAGCCTAAACTAGGCCTAGAGGTAAAAGATGTCATCATTCATGTGAGTATAATTTTTTTTTTAGGTTAATGAAGCAGAGGAATGCTATAACACTGCCCTTCGTCTCTGCCCTACTCATGCGGATTCCCTTAATAACCTTGCCAATATCAAGAGGGAACAGGTAAGTTATTTACTTTTGTTATTACAAGAAATAAAATAAGCTGGTATTTAACACTTTCGCTGCCTGATGCCACAATATGCGGCATAAGACTAAAACACGCAGTGTGTGTGATGACGCAAATGGTGTCATTCATTTAAAAATTTGTAAAAAATTCAACTTATTGTTCCAATAATATGGGACTTATTTTAACCCTTAACCACTTCACCGTGCACATGGTTTCTGCAAAAATGATTTGGTGCAATTGTCAAGGACATATTTTTGTTGTTTTTATAAATGTTCAAGTAAAGTTAATATCAAAATGTTTCCAAACTCAACTGTTTCCATTTTTAAACACAAAGAGTAATGAAAACATTAAAAAACATTAGAAAAATAGCACCTCGGTGCCTAAAGGCGCTTTGGGCAGTGCAGTAGTTAAACTGCGTGTTTAGGTATTAAACACCCACCACTTCCCTTAAACAGGGGAAGGGGTGGGTGGGGCGAATGAGCAGGCGCTAATTATGTAACATTTTCTATCATTTGTTCGCTTAGTTTGGGGAGTTCTTTGGCTGTTTTCGAGTGTGAAAGTCTTGGAAGCAGTCGACTGTGGTTTGTTTTGACTAGTTGATTTTGAATATCTTCCTTCATGGTGGCATAAATTAATAATTTTTATATTATATATTATATTTTCTATATAAGAATATACTTTAAAGCCTACAGTTTAAAATATCATTTTGACCTTTTTGACGTTTATTTTCAAAAACACCGGAGCGGACTTTGTCCATGAGTTTTTCTATAACAATTTCTTAAACTTCTATGTTTATATGAACTCTGAAAATATTTTTATAAAACTGAATTCTGAAATATTTTTTAATTTCCTCTATAAGAAATCTTTAAGTCCAAATTGGGCCCTTTTGTTTCGACTCTCTCACATTAGAACTCTTTAAGAACTTTGCGGCGCCATTCTAAAAGTTCGTTCAAACTGGTGGGACACAGCAGCGCCTTTGCCTCCAATATCCCCATAAGAAACCTTTAAGAACTCTGCAGCGCCATTCCCTAAAAACCGATGGCGCCGCTAAGGTGTCAACTCTACTACTAACCTAAACCAGTGAACGCTGCGCCTGTTGGCACCTATATTCTTTGTTGCATCAGGGGGGGAGGGGAAAACACAACCCAATGTTAAACTCTCACTCACAATGTTTATACTTAATAATAAGTATCAACTGGATTTGACAGCCTTTATGGGGCTGTACCTAAGTCATTAAATGCAGGGCTCTGGTATAGAACAACCTCCATTCAACGCACTATTTGGGATCAACCCCGTTGCTTTGCAGGGTTGAATTCGTTGCAGGTGACGACCTTCAGGAGGCATTTGTGTCAGTCTTCTTTTTTTTTCTTGTAAACAATAAAAATGCATTGTCATATTATATACTGTACTTATATATTGCTACTCTACTAAAAATACTGTTTCAGTTTTTATTTACCTTATTGTTGTTATTGTTGTCCATCTTGAATTATCATGGAGTTGTAAGCACTGTACAGGAAATGCGTACTGTGCTGTAATTTGAGACAGTTTATGAAAACTATTGTACACTAAAATTACTGCAAACCTTAATTTATTCTTAAAACTTTAACACTATGTACTTAAATTGAACACATGTTCTAACTGTACACTCCACACACACTATGTTCTTAGATGTTTGCATCAGGTTTGCTGGTGTTCGCTGCTGCTGTGTTGGCTTCAGCTGCTTCTGTGCTCGTGCTGGCTACTGTTGTGCTCGTGCTGGCTACGGCTGTGCTCGTGCTGGCTACGGCTGTGCTCGTGCTGGCTACGGCTGTGCTCGTGCTGGCTACGGCTGTGCTCGTGCTGGCTACGGCTGTGCTCGTGCTGGCTACGGCTGTGCTCGTGCTGGCTACGGCTGTGCTCGTGCTGGCTACGGCTGTGCTCGTGCTGGCTACGGCTGTGCTCGTGCTGGCTACGGCTGTGCTCGTGCTGGGTGGCGTGCACATGGATTAGACTCGTCCACTCGCTCTGGAGTTGTTGTGCTAATAACATGAATAATTTCTCAAATAGCAGATGTGTATCATATTACAGTATATTTTTTGGTTTTATTTAGTTTAGTTTAATTAGGATAATAAAGAGCTATTAGAACACTGGTTTTGGAACAACACGGTGCCGGAACACGGTCAAGATACCTAGTTCTTCTAGTGGTTTGAATGAGAAAACCAAGCAATGTTTGAAATAGATATATTGTAACCAGTTTGCTATTTTTGCAGGGCCACACTGAGGATGCTACGCGCCTCTACCTTAAGGCTCTGGAGGTGTTTCCAGAGTTTGCAGCAGCACACTCCAACCTGGCTTCCATTCTTCAGCAGCAGGGCAAACTTAATGAAGCCCTCATGCATTACAAGGAAGCCATTCGTATCCAGCCAACTTTTGCTGATGCTTACAGGCAAGTGTTAAGGCTTGTATTTACAGAGTCCATGAATAAGATTTTCCTCAATTCACTCATTTGTACATTGTAGATATATTTTGTGATTTCACTCTGTCATTGGCCGTGGATTCTCAAACTGATCATCTCTGATAGGGTTGAATGTCCTTTTTTTCTAGAGCTTCTCATCTTGCCTACTGTTTACCTTGTGTTGATTGCAAGGACCAATGTCACCCAGCGTGGTCTTTGACAAGGCCTCCACTTAATGGTCTTGTCATCCAAGCTGTTAGACCCCACTGCTTAGTCTGATGTATGAATCATAGCTCACTTGATCATGTATCCTACCTACCTTTTGTAGCTTCCGGATATCAACAGCCTGCAGCCCGGTCTCCGACCAGGCCTCACGGTTGGTCGTCTGGTCAACCAGGCTGTTGGATGAAGCTGCTCGCAGCCTGGTCTCAACACCCCCTATGGAGATGATTATCAAATACGATAAAGACCTTGAAAGGTCGACTAGTTGTGTCCCTTATGTTTAGAGGAAGAGTGTTTAAAAGTCTTGGGCCTTGATAAGAATGGAATTCTCTCTTAGTGTACCTTTTGCACTTCTGCTTTTCAATGGGGTTATTTTGAACTTCTACCATGCCTCATAAGGATCCGGATTTGGAACCAGTCCCGCTGATATGTCCAAGTGTAAATTACTGTATTATGTATATCTCTTGCCTGCACTTAAGAGAATAATTGAGGAATCTTAAATGTTCCCAATAATTTAGGTACTGTAATTTATTTAATAGATTCAGATAGTAATTTTGAATGAGGCTGTTAAAGTGCAACAATATTCCACCCTAGAAAACACATGAAAATTCCCATTATTGGTTTTGCATCTCTTGTTTGATAGGATCTTGTTATCCAGCCTCTCATTTTTCATGCAGTTGTAATAGTTACTTATTGTGTTCTTTAAAAGTAAGATCTTCTGACATGATTATTCACAAATCTTTTATGTTGCCTTTATTTTCTAGACTGTGATTTGAATGCGTCTTGTGTATGGTTTCCATTGTGATATTTTCTCAAGCTGTCCCGATGTCTCGATAGAGCTTGGGACTTGGTTATCTAGCCAGACTGCTATTGATGAAAAAGTAATGGGGATTTTTGTCTTTGTTAGGCCTCATTTATTGTTATGCCTTGCAGATTTAAAATCTACTTTGGTAGTGAATAAAGATTTTGATTTAATTCCAACACCGAACATCTTTCTTCAACTTTTTTAATTAACGTGTGGCATTTGGCCTCTCATCTCACATCTTGTGCTTCAGATCCTCAAACTGCGCAACATGTCAATAGCTGTGGTGGATAACAGTAACGGAATTACGCACCACAGCTATTGGTGCGAGTGCCACGCAAGATTTAAAAGTTCCACGGCTACACGGGGTTCGCATCGGCTTCCTCAAGGCTCCTGTAAACTGACACCCTTTTCTGGGGAGAGCCCCTACGGCTCCCCGAGCTTACTAGGCTGATACGCTAATGTCAGACTTTGGCATCAGTCATGTGTATGGAGTTCTTATGGACCACGAGTCAGAACCTGGCCCCCCTCTAGAGGCAAGGGGGAATGTCTGCCATCGACCGGGTTAGGCACCCCAGAATGGTAGGTATCCCAAAACAAACCCCTATTCTGGTGAAAATTGCAACCAAAAGCCGAACGAGTGGACAGAACTTCCCAAACAAAAATGAGCAAACTAGTATGACGTCATCTGTCGTTGAGCCGTTGTCTGTTTCCTGTTGGAAGGCTGTTACACTTTTGGCTGTGCACAAGTCTGAGTTGAGCTTCAGCCTTGTGGCCTGTCTGCTTGTAAATATATGGGCTCAGTGGTTTTGATGAACCTCAAAGGTGTTAGTTTGCCCTGGGCTTGTGTGTGACCATTGTCGCTAGCTTCCTCTGCCTGGGGGTATTTTCTGCAGCTCCCCTTTGCCTCCTAATGAGTGATCCTTTTTGTTTTTTTCCATTGTGACATAACAGAAAGGAGCTACCATTATGAGCCTTCTTAGATAACCAGAATTGAATGCAATGAAATGCCTTTTTTGGGGGAGCTCCTTGGGACCCTCAATTTCTCATTCAATGGCATCAGTTTTCCATCTTTATGGCTATAAGACTGAGGGTTTAAGAATGTTAGATAGAGGAGGATGGTGCACAGTTTCCCGGTGGTGCACAGAAGAAACAAATATGAGAACCGTTTCTCCACAGCTTCGTTTATGAATCTCTGGGTTTCACTGACCCATTTTCTATGCTTTTTTTTTTTTAATCGCTCTTTGTATTTTTGGTTCACTCACCTTTCCGGTGGCCTTTTCTTGTTTAGGGTGATCTTCAATTCTTTCCTGATTGCACCTCTTTAGAGTGGGCCAGGTTTTGGCCACTGGTACCCAGTAAACTTATACAGTATATGCTAATGTAAGACTTGTAAGAGCCATGTGTGAATTGAATTGGGTGGAACTTGCCAGGTAGCAAGAACAAAGGAGATACAAAGGACCCACCTATAAATTTTGTTGCACATAATATATTGATGTATTTCTTCACAGTAATATGGGCAACACACTTAAGGAAATGCAAGATATTCAAGGTGCTCTTCAGTGTTACACACGTGCCATCCAAATCAACCCGGCCTTCGCTGATGCTCATTCCAACTTGGCCTCCATCCACAAAGACTCTGGTAACATCCCAGAGGCTATACAAGTAAGCTGGAAAATTTATATATTTTACGTCTTTTAACCCCTGGGCTACGACCCCATTCTATTATAGCTGACATCCCCCCCCCCCTTCCCTCCTCTGAATGCATAAGATTTATTTATTTATTTATATATATATATATATATATATATATATATATATATATATATATATATATATATATATATATATATATATATATATATATTTATTAGTTTTATAAAATTGTAATATCAATATAGCTATATGTTAAGTACTAATTGTAATTAAGGAGCAATAAATGTTATTTACATGCTTGTTCTCCTACACTCCCAAGGTTAGGTTAGGTTGTGGTTTTCTACACAGCTTTTTAGGTAAACTCTAATATTCACAATATTTTGGTGCAGTGCTGGCGATTTAAGTGTGTTTATGTACTATGCCGATAGTCAGGATTGTACTTGTTATATTTAGTATTAAAACGTACTGTCTATTCGGAGGATGGGCTGGTCTTTACACCTTTTCCAGTTTGTTGATGTGCTTCTTAACACTATTGGTAACTTTGGACCGGACTTGCGTCCATTATTTTTCTCCCGAGTCCTGACCCTGGACCGGACTTGCGTCCATTATTTTTCTCCCGAGTCCTGACCTTGGACCGGACTTGCGTCCATTATTTTTCTCCCGAGTCCTGACCTTGGACCGGACTTGCATCCACTACAAAAATATTTGTATAAAATTCATTTTTTTATCCAATCGACCTCGGGATAGTATCAAAATAAGTGCCTTTAGAATGCGCACAATTTGATTCCAAAATGAAAGATGCAACATGAAACTTGATGTCCGAACACTTATATGATTATAAATAGGTTTTTGGTCAAAATTTTAAAATATTTGTTAAAATTCTATTTATTGTGCTAATAGGTTGAGACTAGTTTTAAAATGTGCGCCTTTACGTTGTGAACAATTTGATACCAAAATGAAAGATGTAACACAAAAATTTATGTCAGAACACTGGAAAGATATAAATAATTTTGTGATGATTAGCTTCCAGAAATAAAATATTTGTTAAAATTCTAGTTATTGCTCTATTATTATGGGACTAGTTTTAAAATACGCGCCTTTTTATTGCGAACAATTTGATACCAAAATGAAAGACCTAACACGAAAATTAATGTTATTAAACTGAACGAGTATACACATTAGGTTGCAGTGTACAAATTGGTGCTCGTTTACGGGTAACTTTAGGCTTTTCTACGGGGAGGCACTCCAAACTTTTGTACATTATATTCATACACATCTGTAGGGAATTTAATTGCGAACACAATGATACCAAAATGAGCGATGTAGCACAAGAATTAACCACTGCACTGCGCAAAGCGCCTTTTGGCGCTCTAAGAGTTGTGAGTTTTGTTTTTTAATTAGACTATATTTTTATGTTTTTTAATGTTTTCATTACTCTTTGTGTTCTGAAAGGGAAATAGTTGACTTTGGAAACATTTTGACATTAACTTTACCTGAGCATTTATGAAAACAACAAAAATATGTCCTTGACAATTGCACCAAGACTTTTTTGCCGAAAATGTGTGAGCAGTGCAGGGGTTAAGGTGAGAAAACGGAACGAGTGTGCACATTTTACCGATTTTGTAATTACCTAAGTACGCTTACGGGTAACTTTTGCCGACTTTAGGCTTTGCTGTTGGGAGTCACGCTAGGCTGTTGGACATTATATTTATACACACCTGCAGGGAATTTAATTGCGAACATAATGATACCAAAACGAGCGACGTAGCACGAGAATTAAGGTGAGAAGGCTGAAACGAGTATTTACATTTAGGTGTCACCGTGCGCTTACCCGCACCCTCGCCCGCACGTCGGGTGCATGACCCGTAAGTTGACCGCGCACCTGTCCGGTGACCGATAGTGTTAAGATATGAGCACCATACAACCGCTGTATATTCCAGCTTCGGTCTAGCAAAAGTCGTGAACAATTTCTTCAGTATTTCTCCATCCATGTATTTTAAAGCAATTCTGAAGTTAGAAAATGTAGCATTGGCTCCTCGTACACTGTTCTTTATGTGGTCCTCAGGAGATAGTTTTCTATCTATAACCACCCCTAGATCTCTCTCTTTATCAAAAGTCTTTAAATGATTTTCCTCATAGGTTGTGTGGGGTCTATGTTCTCTTATTCCACAACATAGCATTTATGCACATTAAATTCCATTTGCCACGTGGTGCTCCATGTACTTATTTTGTCCGAGCAGCTAGTAGGCTGTCGAGTCCAATGTGTTATATGAGAGAGTATTGAGAAGGCACAACAAACATAGCTCTAATCTTGTAATTACACTTAGGTCATTGTACAGAAAGGTGCAATTTATTACTTCTTTAATAATACTTCCCTTTATTGTCTGCATTTTAAAGATAGGGAAGTCTCTAAATTATAATTCACTTTCTTGTTTTCGTTCTTTTCTTCTAGTCGTACCGGACAGCACTGAAACTGAAGCCAGACTTTCCAGATGCTTATTGTAATCTTGCCCATTGCCTACAAATTGTGTGTGACTGGACCGATTATGATGCTCGTATGAAGAAACTGGTTGCCATTGTTGGTGAGCAGTTGGAGCGCAACCGTCTTCCATCCGTTCATCCTCACCATTCAATGCTGTACCCATTGTCCCATGAATATCGAAAGGCTATTGCCAATAGGCATGCCAACCTCTGTATGGAAAAGGTAAACTAGTGATTTACTTTTTTTTTTGTAGTGATTGTAGATACTGTAGATTTTGTAGTGATTGTAGATACTGTATATTACTTTGATTGTCCTTGAGTGAGGATTTGGCTTGTCTCATTTAACGAGCAAGATGTGTAAAACATGCACGATTTTTTCATGCGCTCTAATGTTGAAATCAGAAATATGATTGTTCCAAAATTTTCCACAGGTGAACAACTTTCTTACCTTATTATAACTATAATGTGATATTTTTAAAGTAATAACATTTCAACACCCTATAATAAAAATCTGTGCTTGTAAGGAGCCTGGTATTTGTAATTAACTAATGGTTTGTTTGGAGTGATGTCTCACCTCCTAGCTGTTTGTTGTTGGTTTGTTTAAATTTTTGACATTCTACTTATTTTTAAACTGTAGGTGCAGTTAATGTCCCCTATTCTTTTCAGTGCATCCCACTTTGTCATACTTCTCTGCTTGCTTTGCATGTCCAGCCTTTCACCCATGTCACACAGAAATCACAATAACGTGATGCATCAAATAAACAAATCCATAAGGGCCGTGACGAAGATTCGAACTTGCGTCTGAGAGCATCCCAGACGCTGCCTTAATCGACTGAGCTTTGACATGGTCTAAAGAGTTGAAACCGAAGTTCTATTGAACTTAGGATCCAGAGGCTGCAGGATCCAGTAAGTTCAGTAGAACTTCAGTTTCAACTCTCTTTGACCATGTCATCGCTCAGTCGATTAAGGTAGCGTCTGGGATGCTCTTGGACACAGGTTCGAATCCTCGTCACGGCCCTTGTGGATTTGTTCATTTCACCCACGTGTCCTACTTTTAAATATCTGAACTTTTCTCAATCTTTTTGTTCTTTACAATGTTGAATCTAGAGTACTCGAAAAACGTTTGGGCCACCCTGCTCGAGGCGGTGCATATTTATTCCATAAAAAGAATGATAGTTGTGTGGGGTGGAATATGGGAGAGAGAATTCAGTGCCGAGTACACGACGTCAGGGGGTTTCCTGACTTCCCGGAGACACACAACTGGGAGGCTCATTAAGCCCTGGGCATTCATAGCGAGTGGTTATGTTTGCACTTCTTATTATGGCACCTCGCAGTCTGTTATCATAGTTAATAGTGGTGTTGGTACTGGTAATTCTTCCCCCATATCATGTATTATATGCATATGTCTGTTTAGGGAATTTTATTCCGATCAATATACAACCAAAAATAACTGTGTGCAACAAGTATAATCTTGACAAACATAACAAAAGTAAAAATATTTTGTGTGTGTTTGACGCTCACTGATATGTTCCAGCGTTGTTTTATATTTGTCGCTATTCTAACTTACGGTTTGTTGATATTTTTTACCTATGGGCACATAGAACATTCTATTGCGAACACATTGACATAAAAATGAATGACGTACATAGAAAATTAATGTCATGAGAGTGAAATAAGTATAAACTTTCAAAGCGCCGTGCGTCGTCCCGTCACCGATACCGGGTAACAATTTCACCACTTCCCACACTCTTGCGGGCGGGCTGCATCATTATTCTACGCTTATATTCATATCACCGTGTTGGGAATTTCATTGCGAGTCCATTGATACCAAAATTAACGCTGTAGAACAAGTGTGGAGGTGATTACAATCCCAAGAGTAAAAACATTTTGTTGCTGATGGGCGCTCACGGCGAGTCATCTACGTAGTTATTTATGTGGTGCTGGTATCCCTATATGTTTCGTGACTTATTTTACTAATGTTCTTCTAGAGAATTTTATTGCGAACACGTTGGTACCAAAATGAAATACGTAGCATGAGAACTAAGGTCAGAAGAGTAAAAAGAGTATACACATTTTTGTTTTTACGCTTAAGCGATAAAAACGCAGCGCGCACATTCGGTTGGCTGAGTGACCTTTGCGGAGAGCGCGAAAGTGTTAATAAGGTTTATGACAATCATACATATTTCTACAGATTAATGTGCTACACAAGCAACCCTACAAGTATCCATCCGAGTTAACACCTGAAGGACGTGTTCGAGTGGGCTACGTATCGTCCGACTTTGGCAACCATCCCACCTCGCACCTTATGCAGAGCATCCCTGGCTTGCATGACAGGTCTCGGGTGGAGATATTCTGTTATGCTCTCAGTCCAGATGATAGCACAGCATTTAGGTAAGTTCAGATGATACCACAACATTTAGGTAATTATTTTTAAGTATTTTCGTGACACTTTTTACGGGGAGAATTTCCCAAAGGCCAACATTTTTACTGAGAGATTGCTATTGCAAGTCAGTTTAAAGCTTTAGATTTGTAAATAATGGTACAAAGAAGATCCCTGTGTGTGAGGGGGCGGGGTTTAGCAATGATAATTAAAAAAATGAGTAGACCTAGTTGCTCCAAATATTTTATCATTTATGCCCTGATGTAGTGTGTGTGTGTACTAGTCCTACTTGCAATGATACCGTGTAAAATTTTGCAATGTATGTATTTTTTTTTCATTTTTATGTTTAATGATATTGGAATTATACTATGCTATGAATATGTGTTTAACACTATCGCACTCTTCGAACGTCCCTGGCATCCGATTTTTTTTCTCTCGAATCCGAGCATCGGACTGTGCTGGCATCCAATAAAAAAATATTTGTATAAAATTCATTTATTATCTGATCGACTTCGGGATAATTTTAAAATGAGCGCATTTAGAGTGCGCACAATTTGATACCAAAATGAAAGATGCGACACAAAAATTTATGTCGGAACACTTGAAAGAGTATAAATATGTTTTTGTTCAAAATTTAAAAATATTTGTTAAAATTCTATTTGTGCAATTATTATGGGACTAGTTTTAAAATGCGTGCATTTAGATTGTGAACAATTTGATAGCAAAATGAAAGATGTAACACGAAAATTTATGTCACAACATTTGAAAGATCTAAATTTTGTGATGATGAGCGTCCAAAATTAAAATTTGTTAAAATTCCAGTTATAGATCTATTATTATAGGACTTGTTTTAAAATACGCACCTTTATATTGTGACCAATTTGATACCAAAATGAAAGACGTAACACAAAAATTGATGTTGAACTGAAACTTAACAACAAGTATATACATTTGGCTGTGGTGTGTAAATTGGTACTCGTTCACGGGGTAACTTTAGCCTTTGCTGCGGGGTGTTACGCCGGGATTTTGAGCATTTTATATATATTTTATATGCATACTCCAGGATTGGTCTTATGTGTGTGGTATACAAGGTTATGAAGGATTCTTTACACAGGTTCCTGAAGGCAGTTCTGATGGTAGCCAGGCTTGCATACACTGCTGATGTTAATCTTTTGATGTGGGCTTCAGGAGACAAGTTTGGCGTGATATCAACTCTTAGATCTTTCTCTCTGTCCTTTTCATGAAGGGCTTTATCTGCCATTCGGTATCCTGTATCTGGCCTCCTATTTCCACCGCCTAGTTTCAATACCTTACATTTACTTGGGTTGAACTTTAGTAGCTATTTGTTGGCCCATTCATTCAGTTTGTCTAGGTCATCTTGTAGCCTCATACTATCTTCCTCTGTCTTAATCCTCCTCTTAATTTTTGTATCATCAGCAAACAATGAGAGGGACAAGTCTATTCACTCTGGGAGATCATTTACATATATCAGAAACAGTATAGGTCAAAGGACTGATCCCTGCGGGACTCGACTGGTGACATCTCGCCAATCTCATACTTCACCCCTCGCAGTGACTCACTGTCTTCTGTTGCTTAATTACTCCCTTATCTAGTGGAGTACCTTCATTTTCACTCACGCCTGCATCTCCAGCTTGTGCCACTAGTCTTTTATGTGGTACTGTGTCAAAGGTTTTCTGGCAATCCAAAAATATGTAGTCTGCCCACCCCTCTCTTGCCTGATTTTTGTTCCTTGGTCATAGAATTAAATTAATCCTGTGAGGCATGACCTGCCATCCCTGAACCCATGTTGATGTTGTGTTACAAAGTTCTTTTGCTCCAGATGGTCCACTAGCTTTTTCCACAAAGCGGTCTCCATCAACTTTCATGGTATGCAAGTGTGTGTAGTCGCAAGTCTAGGGCCCTGGTAGCATTATTTGATGACTGTGGTACCATACAGAGTCACTGCATCAGGGAGCTACTGAGGATATCTTAAAAATAGTTTTCGTTGTGGTATATTCATTGCTACATTTTAGTAAAATGTAAATTTTGATAAGTAAAAAAATCAGAACTGGCCCTGCTAATTAGATTTTATAATTGGCAAGTTTGACCCAAGAAAAGCATAAGAATGTTTGCATGTATGTACATGTATGTATGTGTACTGTATGTGCATGAATGTTTGTATCAACAATTACATTTTCAAAACTTCCTGCAGCCCCTCAGAGGGAGGGCGTGTGCCTTGGATGCAGCAGGCATTTCCTCTCTCGATGACAGCACTGAGGCCCTGGTATATATATATATGATCATTTAGTTGTGTGGTTCATGAGTTTGTTTGTACACCAAACAGGTTGAATACTCTAGCCCAGTACATTTCATGAAATTGTCGATGAACAAATGTGTAATTGGAGTAAGTAGTCTACTGTCGTCTCAATTGCTGTTTAGCGCTTTTCTTAGTTTTATTATTAAACATGATCACCAGGAATTAGAAATTTTAATAAATTTATTTCTTTTTCTAGGAATAAAATAAATAGAGAAGCTGAACATTTTATCGATCTCTCGCAAATTCCTTGCAATGGCAAAGCTGCTGATCGCATAAATCAAGATGGAATACACATTCTTGTGAACATGAATGGTTACACAAAAGGAGCTCGGAATGAAATCTTTGCCCTTCGCCCTGCACCAATCCAGGTAAGTAGAAGGTCTTGGTTTAGTGAATTATCAGTAAGAAAATACAGACAATAAAGATATTGAAAATAATCCATGGATTTTATTGTGCACGTGCGTGCAGTCACACAGTTGTCTTATAGAGGAAGGCCAAGTCACAGAATTGAAGGATAATTCATCTTATCTTATTTAGGTGGTAGTAAGGGTGCGAGATCAGCAAGTGGAGTCCCTGCTATTTTAACACTTGCCCGATCTCATGACACTTAATGTGTCGCCAGTACCCTATCTCGTGACACTTAATGTGTCGCCAATTTTTCTTGTGACATTATTTGAGTCCATCAATAAAATATTTGTATAAAATTAATTTTTTTTCCGATCGACTTTGGGATAACTTCAAAATGAGCGCTTTTAAATTCCACTCAATTTGATACCAAAATGAAAGATGTAACATGAAAATTTAAGTCAGAACCCTGGAAAGATATAAATATTTTTGTGATTATGAGCGTCCAAATTTAAAAAATATTTAAAATTCCAGTTATTGCTCTATTATTATGAGACTAGTTTTAAAATATGCGCCTTTATATTGCGAACAATTTGATACCAAAATGAAAGACGTTAGACGAATATTGATGTTATCAAACTGAACGAGTATACACATTAGGCCGCTGTGTGCAAATTGGTGCTCATTCATGGGAAACTTTAGGCTTTGCTGTGGGGAGTCACGCCAGGCTTTTTGTACATTATATGCATATACACCTGTAGGGATTTCTATTGCGAACACAATGATACCAAAACGAACGATGTAGCACGAGAATTAAGTTGAGAAAACTGAAACGAGTATACACATTTCGATGTCGCCGAACGCTCTCCCGCACGCTGCGAGCATGACCTCTAAGTTTGCAGCGTGCATGCCAGGTCGAGGTGGAGTTACCTCACCTAATTGGACTCGCCTAATTGTGCTTGCGGGGGTTGAGCTCTGGCTCTTGGTCCCACCTCTCCACTGGCAGTCAACTGATGTACAGATTCCTGCGCCTACTGGGCTCTATTATATCTACACTTGAAACTGTGTATGGAGTCAGCCTCCACCACATCACTTCCTAATGCATTCCATTTGTCAACCACTCTGACACTAAAAAAGTTCTTTCTAATATCTCTGTGGCTCATTTAGGCACTCGGTTTCCACCTGTGTCCCCTAGTGCGTGTGCCCCTTGTGTTAAACAGCCTGTCTTTATCAACCCTGTCAATTCCTGTGTGAAAATTGCGTTTCATTACTTTCAACGCTAGATTTTCCCTACATTATATTATATTACTTCTGGTAATATTTAGATAATATTTTTTGTTTTCCCAGGTGATGTGGTTGGGGTACCCAGGCACAAGTGGAGCTCCATTCATGGACTACCTTATCACCGATCGTATTACGTCTCCTCTAAGAGTGGCATCACAGTACAGTGAGAAGCTTGCATATATGCCTGATACCTTCTTTGTTGGTGATCACAAAAACATGTTCCCTCATCTTTCAGAACGGGTTCTTCTTGACTCTATTGTAAGTTTCTCGTTGCATATTTGTAATTTGTATTTATTTGATAAGCTTATGATGTTCATTTCTTTAATATGTGATAAATTTACTAAATAATGTAGCTAATTATGCACCTCGTAGTGATGCCATGTTGTTTTCAGAAGATTCTATTGTATTTCGATCATTTTTGTATTATTTGTAGAGAATGCCTTCACATGTATATATCATCTTTAAACATTTTATCACTAAAGTATGTTTGTGATGCAAGGGAATTTCCTCGTTTATGCAGCATGCATATCTTAGAACTATTTTAAGATGCACAGCTGACGACACATAGGGGGTCTTCATTATAGATTCTGCCCCTTCCCCAGTTTTAAGCTTTTCAGGCAGGTGTTACTTTATAGGCTAGGTTTGTCCATGACTTTATAGGCTAGGTTTGTCCATGTTAGGCATTTGTGGCAAATCTATCAGCTGGTTGCCCTGGAGTTGGCCCCTCTTGTCTTTAGGGACCCAGAATTGAAGGTCTTGGTGACCTCCACCTGGAATCTGTTTGCCTCCTTTTCATTTATTTTCACCTTGTTATTTCATTTTTTTACATTTCATAGTATATCAATCTTGTTACTTGCTTCCTTTTGCTGGTGCTACTGTAAAAGATGATATAACTGGACTGGTTTTTGCAATTGAACCACACAAATGTACCACCCCCTGACTTAGAAATAGTTTCCTTTTATAAATCACCCTAAATAATGCAAGTTTAATAATGTCATTCTTTTGTTTCATCACTTTGATTGCAATAAAACTCAGTTTTGTTAAGCGTGTATAAACTCTTATTTATTCTTTGCAGGACAACCCTAAATTATTAAACAAGGATTGCATCAAGGACAATATAGCATTAATAAACACCACCGACCTCAACACTGTAATTGAAAATGCCGAGGTGCTCACCGTCAAAGAGGTGGTGAAACCTGCTACCACCAAAGATTCTGTTGAAGTAGCAGTTACAGTCGCTCAACTTCCTACAACTGCACCTATTGAGGTTCGTGCTTTACAACACATGTGGGTTGTAGCATGTGATCTACACGTTGCTTAAATTATATATATCATCTTTGCCTTTCACCTTAGGTCCTGGAAAATATATGGCTGTGAAAGTAAATGCATGTAAGGTTGAACAATATTAACCAATTAAATATTACAAATTTAGTTAATTTGCATTAGGATGCAGTTACTAGTGGTAACTTTCATGTCGTAATTTTGTAAATTTATTTTTGCCTTGCAGTCGATGATTCAAACTGGTTTGGCTCAAGCTACTATAAATGGACTAGTTGTGCAAAATGGTTTAGCCACAACGCAAATCAACAACAAAGCTGCTACTGGAGAGGAACCTCCCAAAAATATTCTCATTACTACACGCAAACAGTATAATTTACCAGATGATGCTGTCATCTATTGTAATTTCAACCAGTTGTACAAAATTGATCCTTCAACTCTACAAATGTGGTGCAATGTAAGAAAGTTATCCTGAAATATTAAACTAATGGATATAATATTCTTATACAATTTACCATTCCTACTTTATATTGGAAAATAATTTGGTTTTGTCATCGTCAGATTTTAAAGCGTGTGCCGAAGGCAGTTGTATGGCTGTTACGGTTTCCCGCTCATGGAGAAGCAAACATTCTTGCCCAGGCACAACACCTAGGAGTTGGACCAGGGAGAATAATTTTTTCTAATGTAGCCGCCAAAGAAGAGCATGTCCGTCGAGGACAATTAGCAGATGTTTGCTTAGACACGCCGTTATGTAATGGGCACACTACAGGTATTTAGCTACTGCTGATTTGCTATACATGTTCTAGTTTTAAATGTGTTAGGTATTTTCTAGCCACTTATCCTAATATGCTTGTCTCTCATATTTAAGGGCATCGTGTCACGATGTTCACTTACCCCCTCACGCTGCTCCATTTACTTGAAATCAAGTGTCCCATATGCTCCAATCACTTAGTGATTTAAGGTACAGCATCATATTCAAAAGTCCTGCCAGTTCTAAGGATATGTTATCAGCTCAAACCTATCTGTCTCCCCTGCCAGAATTATTGTTGAGCTGGACGAGGTGTTTCTTAGTAATGAGAAACATTTATCAGGAACTAGTCATGAATTTGAGCCCTCTGACGAACATTGACGTGAAGAACCACCTGTGTGTGGTGGCGGCGTTTGTGAATTTTCACAAGGCGGGGGAAATGTATAACATGAGGGAAGACATTGCCAATGTGTATTATTACTAAGAGAGAATATTGAAAATGAGCCACCTTTGCAGGAAAGGGGAAGGTTATGGAAAAAAAAGAGGTTCCACCTGTACCCACCTAGTTGTGCTTGTGGAGGCTGAGCTTTGGCTCTCTGGTCCCGCTTCTCAACCGTCAATCTACTGGTGTACAGATTCCCGAGCTTCTGGAGCTTTATCATATCCACATTTGAAACTGTATGGTCAAAGCACAGCACAATTCTCCTCATCCAGGTTTTGAAAACAAACTTTTCCTTTAACTACTGCACTGCTCTGCATTAAAATACTACACACCCGTAGTGTGCCGAAAATAAATTCTTTCCAAAATATTATTTTCTCTAATTGCATTGTTAAAATGCAATCTCTGATCACTGGAAACTTAAAAATATTGTACAGTATGTGAGCCGGTCGGCTGAGCAGACAGCATGCTGGACTTGTGATCCTGTGGTCCTGGGTTTGATCCCAGGCACCGGTGAGAAACAATGGGCAGAGTTTTTTTTACTCTATGCCCCTGTTACCTAGCAGTAAAACAGGTACCTGGGTGTTAGTCAGCTGTCACAGGCTGCTTCCTGGGGGTGGAGGCCCGGTCAAGGACCGGGCCACGGGGACACTAAAGCCCCGAAATCATCTCGAGATAACCTCAAGATGTGACATACTTTAGCTGTGATGAAGCTGGGATGTTGAGCATATTATGGGCGATGAGGACTCAAGGTCACTAGGCCCCGTCACCCCATGGGGCGGCAGTTGCCGCAAATATAATGTTTCTCAATTATTTTGATGTTTCTCATTCGTTTCTTCAATTTCGTTTTGCTGTAATATTATTCAAATGTTTAATTTGTGGAATTTATATAGTTCAATGTGTGGAACATCACTATGCTCAAAATTATGGGGCTCATATATGTGACATGTATATTATATTCTATGATCAATCAAACGGTGTTTTTGCCATTATTACACTATATACACACACATTGTATATACTTATCTACATATGTGTTCACCATAACGACCCACTTAGTTGGTATAGTGAGCCCAAAACAACAAGAGTGGGACTGCACACCCAGCCAGCCCTCCCTCACTCCTTCAACACCTAAATCCCCAACATTCCTACTTCCACAACACTGTTCGTGCTTTTGTTACACTATGTACACATGTTATATATAAGTATTTACACATTTTGTTCACCGTAACTGTACAACTAAGTATGGTGTCCAAACAACATGGTGGCAACAAAACACTCCATGACAAGTCACACAGCCAGCAGACAAAAGTCTCACTCCCTCCCTACCTCACCACATCTCCCTCACCAAAATAGCTTTTCCCAACATACTCCTTTTGCTGTTATTACACTATACACATGTTATATATAAGTATCTACATTTGTGTTCACCTTAACGAACCACTAAACTGGTATGGTGATTCCAGACAATAACATGTTGCTAGCCACCAGATAATGCTATCTACCTTCCCCCCTCACCAACAATACTCCTGCTCCCACATTGCTAATTCTCACTACAGTCATGATATTATCAGAATCCTGGTCACTAAATCATGTAAATGAATAATTTTCCACAAGTATATTTTGTAAAGGAACATGAGAAGGTGTTTGAAGAATCTTAGATGTACGAAATAATAGCAGTATGGTGTATCTAGCGCTGTGAACATCTTGAACAGTATTGATTCACTGATATGAACATTGTACACAGTCTTTATCACAGTCAGGCTCTTCTGTAATACTATCATGGCTAAATAATACCAGATACACATATATTTTGGCATTTTTAGATGATGCTGTGGTCACAAGCCTAACAGCAATGCTGTTAGCTTGTGCTGCGTTCGCCAGCCTTGGTTACTCACTCAGTACCGAGGCCTTCACTCCTGCGAATGTTGCCCACAATTTAAAAAAAAAAAAAGAGGATGTCTCTTTACGAGAGCCCTGAGGAAGCTAACCTGAACCCCGTATAGCCACGGGTGTTTTGAATGCTACGCTATACCTATAAGAGCCCTGAGGCACCTTGTGCACCTCCCGTTGAGAGCCTCAAGGCGCGTTGTGCAGTGGCAATTACTGTGCCAATGTGTCTTTACTGCTCTCATGATAAACTAGAGTGCTCATGAAAAGTATGTGGGTACCACAACCACGGTGCAACATACATTTTTGACAGATGTATGTTGCCGCTACATGACGTTATGGCATTTATGAGGTCTCGGGAGCGACCACAATAACAGCCAGTGGCCTGCTGGCTGTCATCATGAGCATTGTGTAATCGTTTGCTCTGTGGCTATGCATTATTGTTTGCACTTGCATGTGATATGACATTGAATCCTATAATCAGACTGAGGAGTTGAGAAGGGTGTACTCATCTAGAGTACAAGAAAATGTGCAAGGACCTAGATAAAGAGCTCCCAGTATGTTTACAAAATGCAAGCAGATCGGAGTATGAGTAGAATAGATAGCAAATTGCCAGAAGCAACACCTGATTGTTTGAAGTCGCTGAAGAAATGTTGAAGACAAGGTATCATCGTGGCTACTGAAGTCTCCCTGAAGGAGACTTCAGGGGTTGTGTCATCCACTACCTAGAACTCTGAATTTTAATAATAGAAACTGCCAAATTCCTGGCAATTTGGAAAAGGTGACAGGTGTCAGTAACTTATTCCAAACATCGTTCTGGCAAAAGTTATCAGAATATATTCTATAAATAGTTAAAGAATATTTTAACCCTTATTCCGCATAATACATACATATATGATTTGACAAAAAAATAATTTAACGTGTTTTTAAAGCTTGCTTGCTTTTTTTTTTTTTTTTCATAATCAACTAGGCAAATACCCCAACTTTGCTTAAATGATTACACTGTAACTTGAAAAACAAGAGAATCAAAATTAATTTTAAAATTGAATATTGAAAACTTCAGATTTTTAATTCAAAATAAAAAATATGAACTATCATTAATTGTTCATTTAATGTTATTATTCTCCAAGAATAGCATATGATCTTCATTATCATCAAATTAGAATATAGGTTTTCAGTATAGCTTACTGTAAAAAAAATAGTCAATAGGGCATTTGAAATATGCATTAAATTTAGACCCCAAAAAAAATTATAACTCCAAATGTATAGTTTATGAAAATTCCATTCTGATGGGATTGTAGAACAGACAGTTGAACACACAATGTCAAAATAGTGAGAATTGGTTAATGACTGGAATATTAGAAGCCACTCAAAGTTGAAACTCTGGTTTCAGAGAGAACTGAAGTTGAAGTTATCAACAATGAATAAAGGTAGTTTTAATTCTTTAACTTAATTGTATGTTTTAATAAATATTGTTCGGCATTTGTACTCGAATATGTGAAAGTTGTAGGTCAATGTGTGTGTGTTGAAATGAAGTCAAGAAAAATTAACCCCCAAAAATACAAAATATAGGGATAATTATAATAAATATAATGATTTAGGGGATATATTTAGGGTATTCTTTATATAAGTGAAACAGCCCTGATATGGATCCTAATCATCAAAACAACAAAGAGACGAAGAAAATTGAGTTTGATTTAAAAGAAAATAGTTTGAAATCAGAGAAAAAATCAGCTAAAAAAATATATATATATGTCCCAAGTTTTGAGAGTAGTGACTGATTTATTTGTTGACCAATTTCATTCTCTCTTCACATAGTTAGGGACACATATGCATTCTCCAGGATGTAAAGGTTACAACAAAATCAGATAATAAGCAAAGGGAAAAAAAAACTTAAATCTTAAAAAAAAAAATCCCCTAAAAAAAAATATTTTTTGGACTTTGATGAAAGTAACGTATATTAACATTGAACAATGTATTTATATGATATATAACAAAATAGATCATATTATCATAGTTACTCATTATTATTTGTGTTATTATGTATTACTCAGCAATGTTATAAAGGCACCAGCTGCATATCCACTTTGTGGACACTTCTGACTACTATTGTTGTTCTTTATGCATCAGACAGGTGCTTGCATCCTCTATTACTGCATAATCCTTCAGTTACAGTTATTAGCAGCTCTTCTCCTTATCAATAAAACACTGAAGCCAATATGTTGGAGATTTGTTTAACATTTTTAAGCTATTTTTACATAATTTGAACATTTTTCGCTATTATGCCCCCTAGATTTGCGGTAATATGCGCGGTCTAAGGGTTAATGATGATTTACTTGTAATATTTGTATATGTTTGAAATTCAAAATTAAGAATGATCAATAATTTGTATCAACAGGTATGGATGTATTATGGGCAGGAACTCCCATGATAACATTATCAGGCGAGACACTAGCATCCCGTGTTGCAGCCTCGCAACTTCATTGTCTGGGGACTCCGGAACTTGTGGCCACCACACGTCAAGAATATGAAGATATTGCTTCTAAACTAGGAAATGAAAGAGGATAGTAAGTGCTGTTCATGATTATAAGATATTTTGTATGCAATTGTAGTGAAGGTATTTGTAAGCGCGATGTTCACTCTGATCGTCAGCCGGCTTCTCGTATGGAGCATCGGTCCTTTCACAGGTCGTCCCATTGACGGGGTGATGGGGAAGGATTCTCGTGTCTGGTCCCACGATTCATGGGCGTCTCGGGTTTTCTCCTCCGGCCTATGGTCGCGTTGGGCGGTTCCACCCCTTTCGGGCAGGTTTCTTTCCCTGCTCTCCTTTAGGTCATCTCTGCCCAAACACAGAGTGGGTGTGCTTGGACAGGGTCAAAACGACCCTTTCCCTCATATGGGTTTCCCGCCCGTTTCCAATCCTGTGTGCTGATATGTGGTTCATTCTGGACTTGTCCCGTCTGAACTCCTGGAATACTTGGCCGTCTTTTTGGATGACCACTCTGTCTCAGGTCTGGCTCCTGTTTGAGCCGGGTGCTAGGATGGTGCATCTGGACCTTCGGGACGCATATTGCTACGTTCCTATTCATCTGAGGTTCAGGGACTGGTTAGGTTTTGTGGTGGGGTGGCATGCTTACCACTTTCATTGCCTGCCTTTAGCTTGAATCTGGCACCTTGTGTATTCACGTGTCTTATTTGGGTTGTGGTGGCCAGTCTGCATCTGCTAGGGGTTCGGGTTCTGGCCTACCTTGACGACTGATTGGTGTGGGCTCCCAGCCGGTCTGCTTGTCTGCTCACCAGGGGTGTGGTTCTTTTCCAGCTCGCTGGGTTCGGGTTGCTGGTGAACTGGAGGAAGTCCCATCTGGTTCCCTTTCAGGTTCAGTCTTGGCCGAGTCTTGTGTGGGATACTCGGACAGCTTCCTTGTCTCTTCCTCTGGAGACTCTGCGTTCCCGCCTTCGCCTGTTTTTGAGGGGCTCCCTGGTCACACGGCAGTTGCTCGAGCAGTTGTGCACAAGTCTTAACTTTGCCGTGCTAGTTTACCCGCTGAGTCGGGTTTGGTTTTGGCATCTGTTCTGGCTCCTTCAGGGACGCCCTTTCTTTCTCTCTCGCCATTGTTGAGTTTGGCCCCCATGGGCCTTGTGTCGCCGGCTTCCTTTTCAGGTTTTTCAGGGTTCAGTGCTTTGGCACCTCTTTGAGCCCCCCTCTCGATGTGTTCACAGATGCGTCGTCTCTGAACTGCGATTTTGTGACCAGTGCTCGCCATGCCGGCCATGGGCAGTGGGGACCATCCGTCCATCGATCTCACAGCATGGTGCGAGAGTTCTCAGTGGTTCAAAGGGTTTGGGTTACTCAGGGTTCAATGATCCAGCTCCAATCGAACTGCAATCTGGCGGTTCATTGTCTGAACCGCAGAGGAGTATTTTTGGGGAGTATCCAACGTCCTGGTGGATACTGGTCCCAATTCATTCCTATGTCCACAGAATGGACGGTTGATGCCGACTCCTTCAGTTGGCCCTGCCTGTTGGCCTTCCTGAGTTGAACCTCTTCACATCGGCGTGGTCTCGATGGCCTTGATATGTGGCTTCCTTTCCCGACTGCAGAGCCGTCGTGGTGGACACCTTTCGGCAGGACTGGTCGAGGTGGGGTTACCTGCACTACTTCCTCCCAGTCCAGTTGTTGCTTCATGTCCTAGCTCATTTGGAGACTTATCACATGGGAGATAAGTCTTTCTTTCACCCTATTCCTTTGTTACCTAGCAGTAAAATAGGTACCTGGGTATTAGTCAGCTGTCATGGGCTGCTTCCTGGGGGTGGAGGCCTGGTCGAGGACCGGGCCGCGGGAACACTAAAAAGCCCCGAAATCATCTCAAGATAACCTACTCAGCATGATACAATCGTTCCTCAAGGACATGAAGGGAACAGTCGTGTACGACGGCTCAACTTCTGAACCATTCAACATCAACAGTGGTGTTAAACATGGGGTGCGTTCTTGCTCCAACCCTGTTCGGCATTATCTTTGCGATTCTCGTCAAGTATGCCTTTGGAACAACCACAGAGGGCATCTATATGCGTACAAGATCTGATGGAAAGCTCTATAATCTATCCAGACTCCGAGCAAAGATGCGAATCCTCAGTGAGTTCCTCTTCGCCGACGACGCAGCAATCACCACACACAGCAGAAGGCCTGCAGCAACTACTCGACCGCTTTGCTGCAGCCTGTTCTGCATTTGGCCTGACAATCAGCCTAAAGAAGACAGGTGATGGGACAAGACGTCAATAAGCAACCCTGTATAAAATTAGCAGACTATGTGCTAAGCAGGCAGTTCACGAGATTGTGTACCTGGGCCTCACTATCTCAGACACCCTTTTCCTGGACACTGAGCTCAACAGGCGTATCGGGAAGGCTGCAACAACACTGGCCAGGCTCACAAAGCGCGTTTAGGAAAATGCCAAACTGACAGTACACATCAAAGCACAAGTCTACATGGCATGTGTGGTGAGTACACTTCTCTACGGCTCAGAATCCTGAACCCTGCGCTCTCGCCAAGAGAGACGGCTCAATACCTTTCACATGCGGAACCTGAGACGCATCCTTGACATCATGTGGAAAGACCACTTCACCAACAACACAGTACTCAAGAACAGGTATCCCTTCAATGTTTACTTGCCTGAAGCAGAGATGCATGCGATGACTAAGACAGGTCACACGCATGGAAGTTTATCTGCGTTTATCTGCGCTCGCTGCAGTCGGAACTGTCATTCTCGGGTTGGCCTTCACAGCCACAGCAGGCGCTGCATCCAACTAGACTACAATAACTATTTATTGACAGATGCCTACTATATATTATATATATTTTTTTAATCATTAGGTCAATTTACAAAAATAATGTATTTTACAGATCTTTATTTTTTTAGCATCTTACTATATATATAACTTCTGTCAACAGCTTGAAAGCAACACGTGCTAAAGTGTGGAAGGCACGCATGGAGTCTCCACTGTTTGACTGCAAGACTTACGCCCGGAACCTTGAACGTCTTTTCAAGAGGATGTGGGATAAACATTCTTCAGGTGAAAAGGCAGACCACATTACCGAGTGGTAATTAATCCATTTAATAAATTAGTGCTGATATATAGAGAGAACAAAATCCAGAACTAATTAACATTCAGCTACTGGTGATTATCTGTGGTGTATCTAATATTGTATTGCACAACTGAAAAGTTATAAAATTGAATTGGTGCATTTGCCAATAAAGGAGTGAGACAGTGTGATGTAATGAAACTTGTATGTGATACTGCTCTTTCAAATTCATGTCATCATTGTCATGTACTTTGTCAGTTCAAATTCCGCATTACTTGATATGTAATGGCCAGTGATGCAGTGGTGTGGGATTGTTTCTTCCTATGTCCAACACATTTACATTTGTATCTTCTGGATGTGGGTGTTTCCTAGCTAGCTGCATTTGGTATTTCCTTGTACATTATACTGTTTGGCCATCACTGCGATTATAAATGTGTCGAGGCTGCTACAAATGAACTCGTAAGGACTAAATGAAGAGTGTATATAGAAAATTTTCACATAGGTTAAGTATGCATGAAAAGGCTCAGGATTTTTTTTCTCTCTAGAGTGCTAGGTTTTCAAAAGCTGATTTGGCAGGCCAATTGTCTTTGCCTGCGGAAGCACTGTTCTTGATGCCCATTTAAATGTGGTTGCACACAGGGTTAGGTGAATATTGCTGAATTGTTCAAGAGTTACCAGATGACACTAGACATCCATCTTGTCCACCTTGATGTTCATGCACCGGGAATTAAGAGCATGTAGCGGTGAAAGTCATTGCTTTTTAGCACATACACTTATTAGAATCCAGTACCAGTTCGTTATATTGCATTTTTTGATAAATGCCCTTGTAAATTGACCTGTCAAGTTTAAATTGTCATCTTGAGTCTCTCTGAAGCATTCATAGCTATATTCAACATTTATGTTAAATATTGCCTTCTGTGAAGTGATAGACTATAATCTCAAGCCATTCTTTATTCTTACCCCCTTTCTTAACCCATCCCTCACCCCTCCCACCATCACCCCTCCCACAGTCACTTCCCTCACCCCTCCCACCACCAACACCTTCCTCACCCCTCCCACCACCAACACCTTCCTCACCCCTCCCACCACCAACACCTTCCTCACCCCTCCCACCACCAACACCTTCCTCACCCCTCCACCATCAACACCCCTCCTACCATCACCCCTCCCACCACTCCATCACCCCATCTACCTCATTCCCCCCACACTACTACTACCAATTCTGTCTCACTTTCTTCTACCATTTGTTTTCTCCCTCCTAACTTTACTCGCCCTTTCCTCCTCTTCTCCTTCCACACAAATCATCATTCTCTCAGTTTACATATTTTTTTCTCTCTCAAATGGCATAAATCATTATGTTTAATTCTGTATATGTTATGGAATTGAGGCAATGGTTTTTATTCTTATGTGGCTTCAAGTAATGCATGCTGAAGAGGACTGATGTTGTACCTTTAGTTTTATTTGTTTAACTCTAACTTGTAAGTTCCTTTCATTGTGATTTAGCTATGAAAAAGTTATGGTGTGTGATACTAAGGTGTTTTTGAGGCAGAGTGAATTTGATGGTTATTCTCGTAACTGCCTTATCTTGTTCTTGAGATAATGATTCTTGATAAAGAAGACATGATGAGTATAAGACTTCACATTAGTGCACATTGGTGTGCACATGTGTGCATGTGCATTCACATGGTACACAGTGTACCTGTACGTATATATTTATATATATGTACATCACAATATAAATATTTATATTTTTAATGTATAATCATTTGTATGAATACCAGGGCATTCCTCCTTTTCATATCATTATGGTTTTTTGTTGATGCCCCTCATTAAGTTTTGAAGTGACCAACTCCTCCCTCTTTATGGGTCAAACTGGAAATCATGTTCGTATATTTTTTTTGCTGATAATAGTTGCATTATGAAGTTTTGTGACCCTTCAATAGAGGGAATCTTTGTTTGTATATTGTTCAGTGCTTTCCAAAAATAAATACAAAGCTTGAAATATGTTTCAGTCTCCTCATATCTAAATTACTAGAGCTGTTTAGAATATAAAGAATTTTTTGGGGCCGAATGCAATGATTTCTTGAAAGGTATTTGCTAAAGATATTGCTAATTACAGTAATTAGGTATCTCGATGCCTTATGGTTTTGGTTTTGTGTTTATTTTTGTGCCTTCATCATACAAACATTAAAATTTTAAATGAAGCAAAGTAATTGTGGCTGCTGTTAAACAGAATGACCCATTACTATTAGTTATAATTTTCCTTACATTATTAAAAGTACAGGAGTTCAGTATGATTATAAAACTAAGGTCAAACATATGTGCACCAATCTTCCACATGATTAGCTAAATAGTCTTCGTGGCCTGGTGCCTTCTTTTGATACTTGCCAGTCTCCACGTGATAAATGAGCAAAAACCCTGCATTCTGCACTAAAAAAATTACTTGTACAGTATGGGATAAAGTTTCCACTGATATCTTTGAAGGTATTAACAGTTATGTCTAAATTTATGTGATCCCTCCCTGCACCTATTGAAAATCTGAACATGGTTCAGATGGTTCATGGTTCATGGAGGGGGCCTCGTAGCCTGGTGGATAGCGCGCAGGACTCGTAATTCTGTGGCGCGGGTTCGATTCCCGCGCGAGGCAGAAACAAATGGGCAAGGTTTCTTTCACCCTGAATGCCCCTGTTACCTAGCAGTAAATAGGTACCTGGGAGTTAAGTTAGCTGTTACGGGCTGCTTCCTGGGGGTGGAGGCCAGGTCGAGGACCGGGCCGCGGGGACACTAAAGCCCCGAAATCATCTCAAGATAAGGGTTATAATTAGTGAAAGGCGGCTGGTCGAGTCCCTAGATTTCTTCAATAAAAAAAACGATGAGAGTCAATTTAGTACAGGTACTGTAGTACACTTTCTGAGATAGAAAAGAGAGAAGGGAGCGACGTTTGAAGAGAGGGAAAGGGACCAACTGGGTAGCCCCGAAGTATATATAAGAAAGAATGTCTGTATGAGGTTAGAGGCCAGACGCTTGGGGCTACCCTCACCCAACTCTGTTGGGTGAATGGTCTGGAGTACAGGATGGATATAGGTTGGTCGTGGTCGGTCCTATTCGTCCTATTAATTCCTATTAATTAAGAAGGGTCGGGCTCATACATACTATCCCACTCCTTGACACAGTGAAACGTGGCTGGTTGAGTCCCTAGAGTTCTTTAATAGAAAATTATGAACATCAATTCAGTATTATATATTCTGAGAGAGAGAGAGATGGGGGATAGCTGGGAGTTTAGGTGTTTAGGGAGAGGGAAGGATTAGGGCGATGTTTGGAGGGAAAGAGAAAGTTGAGATAGGTAGAGAAGGGAGATGAGAGATTTGGAGGAGAGGTGTGAGAGCGGAGAAGATAGATATTGAGGGAGAAAGGTGAAGAGGGGAGGTGAGGGAGTGGGAGAGGATAGAGAGAGACTTGGGTGCAGTAAGATGTCCCTCCCTCTCCTAGTATATATATAAGAGAATGTCTCTCCATCAGAGGTTCGAGGCCAGATACTTATATTTAGCCTCGTGCAATTTTTCATAATGATTTGGGAGTGTAGATCGTCATAGGGGAATGGGGTCAACCACCATGCCCCTCTTTAAGTAGGATGGGTTCTTATTACCTGAATTTACCTGAGGGCCACTATCTCTCTAGTGGCCTCAACGAGGACAGGAAGCCGGAGACTTGTCGAAGGTTCCCCCCCATTTGTCCTGATGATTTTGTTGAAATGGATATTAAAAATCAGCCGTGTTTTGCCATTTACGGCTTGGCAGAAGGACGGTTCCATGGGGTTATAACTCTACGGGTGAAAAAGCATCTCCTGTTTTCCTCATATTTTTGTTCATATTACATCTGACCTTTTCAACAAGTAGTATGGAGTAATATCGTTCAAATTGTTCAGTATTTAAATAAATTTTGATCAGCCCTGTCAACCTAGGTTTCCTATGAAGTGTGATATAAGGGTGTTTTGTATTTCCATAAGGTATTTCCATATTTTAATCTCCATAAGGTTAAGAGTGTGATAAATCCAATGTCCCCAGCCTACTGTCTCCCTCAGTCACACAGCTGCCTGTGGAGGGTGTGGACACAATGCCACCCAAGTTTCTAAAGGTTACATCAGCTACTCCCTCTTGACGGGCGTGCTTTCCGGAGAAGCCACATTCTTAAGGTCCTGAAGGACGTTACCGGCATCACACCCACTCACATTAGTCACGAAGGTGATGATATATCGTGCTCTTCTTTTCATGTGAGGAAGAGCTAGGAAAACTCTTGACCAACGACGCCATGCTTCGCAAGGATCATGCTTCGCAAGGCATTAGGTAGTGTATGTACTAGCTCTATCTATAAATCCATCATTATCTTTGTAACTCATCTTCTATGTATGTATTTTTAATTGAATAAAAATATTGATTTTTTTTTTAATTTTGACATTGCCAAGGAACCCATCTTCAATCCCGGGCCGGAGGACGGAAACGCTTGGGCGCGTTCACATACATAGCGGTTAATTGGCACCCGTGAGTTATGGCAATATTGTGATTGTGGGTTACATCAATGGCAAGATCAGTGGTTCGGCTAGGCCTATGGGGTGACCTCGATCAATTTATTTAAGTACATCAAGCCTGGAATTGTCATCAATATAATTATTTTTATTATACCGACACATAATATTATTATAATTATATATAAAATATGCATGTACACATTCATACATACATACACAAACAATAAGTACTTCTTCAACCCTGGAAAGTTCTGGAAGAAAATTTGTTATATAATAACTTTCCTTGGAGCCATTATCGGTGGCCAGCTTTTGCCTTGGCTTTGCTGGCTTTTATTATTTATATGTCTAGCTAAAGTATAATCGTCATTAAAATATTAAGCTTATGTATATATCTTAGCATATACCATATTATTTATTATAATAGTATGTTTTTAGTTGGAAATATATTCATGTATATTATACACATTTTGGAAAAAATTGAGATATTCATTATTACGTAAAAGAACAAAGATTCAGCTGGTGTGCTTGGAAGAACGCCGGGGCGGCGCGGGAGCCAATAGGAGCCAGCCAACTCTGCCCTCACTCACACACTCCCCGAGTTGCCATTGGCTGATGGCCGCGCGTGGTCTGCGCTGATTGGGGATTTTCATGACCACGCCTACTTAGGGAGGCTCCTAGCCGTCGTGTACACAGTAAAACTGTGGCGCTTAGTCGTGTGATAGAGCCGTCGGTGTGTGTGTGTAGCTGTCCCACGGGTGTTGACACCATGTTACACCTCAGCTCCCGGTGTGTGTCGCTGCTGGCGTGTCTCCTGCTGCTGGTGGCTGGTGAGGCGGGTTGTGAGGGGCCGCTGATGTAGTACATGAGGGTAATGGTTGAGGGAGAGGCGGGCGGGTGCAAGTGTTGGGTCGCCGTCACTACTCTAGTGGTGTACCAAGTACACGTATTGGCACCGGGTTTAAATGGGGAAATTCCAATGCAGGAAGTAAAGTTTCCTCTAGCACAGTGGAGGAAAGGAACATGTCAAAGCATCAGCCAGCAGGGAAATGTGGGCTGGGAAACTGTTGGGAGCATTATAGTAGTACAGTGGCTCTCCATTAACATAGGAATTTGGTAGCTGTAATATTGACTATCTGCACAGTTTGATTAGCTGAATTGTAAATGTTACCAAACTTAATTTCCTTGTAAGTTTAGTAACGAAAGGCTGTGATCCTCCTGACTGAAATTATAAACTATAACGTCCACTGTACTATCTCCCTCCACTTTCTGACAGTGCTTGTTAGGGCTAAATTAATTTTGGAAGTAACGGCAGATCTCTAAACTGACGCGTTGTCTTCCATTGGGCCATGAGGGAGGGGTGGATGGCATGGCATTTAACAAAGGTTCGGGCTTCTATGCTGTGGTAGGAACAAGTCGGGCAGGGACCACAAGGAACAAGTCATTCGCTCGAAAAGGGGGAAACATTGTGGAAGAATTGGTAGTAGTCCTCTTGGCTTTTCCTTTTAGGAAACTAAATAAAATGCCACTCAAAACTATAAAAGAAAATGACAAACTGGATAATGCAAATTTCAAAAGATGCCAGTCTAGTGAAGGTAATTTAAGATGTTAGTTCATTCTGTTGCACACTTACAGCCCTACTCTTAGCCTAGTAGTGTACAAGAGGTCTTTTGCTGTTGGAATACATTGTCAGTTATTGGTAAGGGGATGGTGGTAATCCATTGACTCTAGCACTGTACCTACACACTATATGGCATTGTACCTATACACTATAGATAATCACTTCAACAACTTCAACGGATAGTAATTGAACACCGACCTGCATGAAGCAAGTGATTACTATCCAGCTGAAGTGGTTAGGCGATAGAAAATATATTTAACTTGTTGGGAATGTGCATGAAATTCATAATTGTTAGAGGAAAGTTGCATAATTTAAACTTGGAAAAGTGTTGGAGGGACCTGTTCCAAACTTGCAGATAAAAGCCTCTTAACAGGAGGCACAGTATGAATGACTATTGAACAAAAAGATGCACTATGTATGCCAGGAAAATTCCATTGTTTAAGGGACAAACTTTTCAACACCTCCCTAAACATACACAACTAGCTGACCTGTGCTAAGAAAACTGATACACCTCCAAAGGATACCAGATCATCTAGGGAAAAAGATTCATAAATCAGATTGAAAGCAGTGTTGTAAAAGAGCCTGAGTGGCCAGACCCACTATAACCAAGGCATTGGTCATAGACTGGGTGGTGGGGGGGTAATTATCCCTGTATTGGGTAGTACTGTACCTTGTAAATGTACCAAAGTAAATGGTTTAACTTGATGCAATGTTGTCACCCCTTCCCATGAAAATCTAATATGTTGGGAGTCTTTACTAAAGGAATGGTTCTGTAAATTGTACAACATATAGAAATTCAACAGCATAAATTTAGTAAATTGTTTTAAGTGCAGTAGTTACATAACCACCTTGGAAGGTACACAAACCTGGCTATGAATACTGAGCAAAGTAATGCACACTAAACTTGTAATGCTGTAATAATTCTCATTGACAAGAAATTCAAGTTTTATATATTTTGTTTCAGGAAGTGCAAGAGGAGATGTGGGGACTGTGGAGCAGGATGTGGGCTCGGGCATGGAGGGATCACGCACCGATGACAACGTGGTGGCCAGGGAAGAAGAGGCTATTAAACTAGATGGACTTAATGTGGCACAGGTTGGCAGTTAAAGGATAGTTTGGTTTGTGGTAGTCATTTATAAAATTCTTGTTTTGCCCATGGAAATATGGATATAATAGCTTTGTGACTAAAGATAAATTTCTGAAGCCTCAGAAGGTAAAAAAAGTCAGCAAAGTAGAGCATCATGGGTTGAAAAGTGCCACACAGCCTTGCAGGGTGCCTCCACCCAGTAAAATATTCTTTTAATTTTTCTTAAATTTTACATGAATTAATAATTCATTATGAAATAATTTGTATATACCAGTGCTGCTACACAAACTGCTGGCCATCCTTGGGATTTGATCCTGTGACTTTGCTAGCATGTCATCCCTAGTTTTGGGCATTTTGCTGTAAGTGAACTGGGCATTGCTTACTCGGGCTTCATGAGCCTAGGTCTACTACCATTGGTGGTGGTTGATTACATTCTGGTGTTTGCTTGTTGATCCGTGACAAAGCCACTGGGGGTTGCGAGTCTTGTGTTCTTCAGCATAACCTCGTGATTAGAGGGGGGAGGTTTTTTATGGGATGCATTAGGGTGCATGGGCTAGGTTTATATAGCAGGCTACGAGCACACTTTGTAACTGTTTTATGTAGGCTGTTCAGGGGTTACTTTTCCCCGCTAACATCTGTAGTGCCTGGGTGTCCTGCTTGATTAGCTGCCTTTAGACCCAGGTAATTTCTTATCGAGCCAGTGACCAGTCGTTGACTGCCCTGTCAAACCTGTTGGTTGCATGAGGGTTTATGCTTGTCTGCTTTGCTACCACCAGTCACTGTTACTTGTTGGGTTGATCAATCCTTCGACATGGTACCATGACATGGTACTGTGTTGGTCACGGGCCAATAAGGCTTCTGTGAATAAAATGTAGGAATGTGTACATATTAGTTGTGCTCTTCTGGCAGGTAACTGGCAAAAGATGGTGAAAATTCTCGGACAAAACAATTTAGTGTTGTGTAGTTGACAAAGGTGATCTTTGGATGGTCCCTTATTACTTTGGTTTTCTGATGCAGCTAGTTGTCTTGTCCAAATGGACAGTGATGCATTAACACTTTAGTCCGGGCATGACGCAGCATTGCGTTATCAGTTTACTGTCGGTAATCTCGGGGATGACGCAATGCTGTGTCGTCCACTAAAATAATTGCCAAAAATCTTTTTTTATCAGATTTTTTGGGGACTGTTTGGTAACTGTCAACAAGCCAAATGCAATCTGTGACTACAATACAAACATGAAAGGTGTTGATCACTTTGACCAAATGATCAAATATTATCACTTCATAAGGAAAACTCACAAATGGACGAAGAAAATTACCTTCTATTTTGTGCAAATGGCTATCTACAATGCTTATGTGATGTACAACTACTACACACAAAATAGTAAACTATAATACTAAATATACTAAAATACTAAATACTAAAAATTTGTGGGCTTGACATAATTTCCTTTATTAATATGAAGCCTAAATGAGGCATCTTTATAATTTTTTGTATTGAAATCACCTTTATTGAAAAGTTGTTCATAGGGTTGACAAGTGTGCATTTGGCTCGAGTCATTGGACAGGAATCTTGTTAGGCTTAAGGTTAGTCCCCCCCCCCTGCCCCTTCTCCATCTTCTCATGCAAACTAAACCTTTCCCAAGATTTCAACCATTTCATACTGTAACAATTTCATACTGCTTGGGTAGGTGAATAAAGTGAAAAGTTAAGTTCATAAAATGTCCTGCTTTGAGAATTAAACTTTGGACACTTGTTGTGCCACAGCCATACACTGGAATTTAAGGCATGATGAAATAGTAAAATGGTTGGTAATGATTGTTGCAGATAAAGGAGTTGAGAGAGAAGGCGGAGAAGCACGTCTTTCAGGCAGAAGTGAACCGCATGATGAAACTGATCATTAATTCCTTGTACAGGAACAAAGAGGTAAGTAGCATTAATTTAATACTGTACTTTGTTTCAATCTATTTGATGTTACTGTAGGTGTGCCAACATTATGGTACTGTATAAATTTATTGGTTGAGAGTGACAAAGTTGTGCTAGTAGAAACTTGTACATAAGTAATGGAGGAAATGAGCTAGTTTTGAATACCTGTAAGGTGGGAAGAGATATGAAAGAAGGGTTAAGATATAAATGCAGTAAGAGTAGTGAAACTATATAGTGCACATTTGACTAGTTTGATGGCACAGTGGGAAAGGGTAGTGTATAGTATTGGAAGTAGTTTGTGAAAGTTAATAAACAGTAATTTAGGCCCCTGAAAATATATGAATAACTTAGAGGGCAGAAGTCTGGCTGGTAAGGTGGGTGCAGTGTTAAATGACAAGCACGAGATTTTCAAAATACTTGTAGTAGATCACATAGTTTGAAAGTGTAAATGCACATTACTTTAACCTCCGCACTGTGCATCACAACCATGGTGGGTTTTAAGTTTACAGTACCAAAAAATTCAACTTGCATGTACACGGCTCTCAATTCTTCCATGGGCCTCCTGTATTTATTCACCAGCGAGAGTCGCTTTTCTAGGACAAAGTATTTTTACTAATGTGTTTTGTGCAATAACTTTAGGTTTGTATATATGTGAATACAGTGAATTTATATACTGTACATCTGTAAATGTGTGTCTTAGAGTTGTACATAATGAACTCCAATATTGACACATACAAATTGTTAGAATTAAAAGTGAGAAACGGTGAGAGTGGGCCGTTATTCCCGTGTGGCACCTACCTCATTTTAACTGAAAAAGCTACTCTGGGCCACTAAGCTACATCACAAGAGGGAGTCATTTGGATCTTTGCTTCCTGGATGCTAATTAACATAAAGCTGATTTTTTTAGCAAGATTCAATGGTTTTTTAATGTGCAAAAGAAAATGCTTGTACCTATTATCTCAGATAAGTGGTTTTGCTATTAACTATATATAGTTATAAAAATGTATAAAAGCCATAACAAAATAAATCTGTGGTAATAAAATCTTGGCATAGTATTGCACTGTGCTGTGACCTGCAGATGACTTGCACCCGATTGAGCAAAATACCGAAAAATGTACCATGTACATTATTACAATGAACACTGCTAATATTGGATTTACTAAATCATGAATAACTATAATTTTGTGAAAGATTATCTAATAGAATATGAAGTTACTTTGCATGATGCATAGATTCACAAACCTTATCAGTGGTGTGAATGTGAGCCTCCTGCTGTGAACATAATGACTAGCATTGTGTTCACTGATACCTGATCCATGTACATAATTTTTGTCAGGATCTGACAGTCATTAAAAAATAATTGCAGTTAATCATTTTAGTTATCATAGTGGTACTATGACCCTGTAACTTGTGCAGAGCTCCAGATGCATGGGCCAGCCTTGGTCACCCTGGCAGTACAGAGGGGCTCGCAGCCACGAGAGATGCGCACAAATTTTTTGTGAAAATAGCAGTTTAATAGTCGTGAGCTCTGTGTACCCATTGGAGGTTTGAATCCTTATATACTAAAATGTATGCTGGTGTGTGCACCCAGTTTGGCCATGATATTTTGCCGTGTGCAGTAGTGATTAATGCTACAGGACACTTTCCTTTTGTTTGTGGCCTGGGAATCCTGCCATGTATTTTATCAGTGTTAAATACATAAGGATAGTTCTTGATTACACTGGGGCTAGAATGTTGATCTACAGAGCGGAGTACTTGTAATTTTCTTACCAGCCAAAGATCTGCCCTCAAAGGTAGTTTCCATTTGTCTTGTCTGGGGCCAGATTCACGAAGCAATTCCGCAAGCACTTGTGAACCTGTACATCTTCTCATTCTTTGTTGGCTTTGTTTACCATTATTAAACGGTTAATGAGCTCTGAAGCACCAGGAGGCTCTTTATAATAAGTTTATTGGGAAGTTTTCATGCTTGTAAACTGTTTATCAATAAATGTAACCAAAGCCGTCAAAGATCGAGGAAAGATGTACACATTCATAAGTACTGTACTGTACTTGCATAACTGCTTCATGAATCTGGTCCCTAAAACATTTTGAACTTTAACTTTAAAATGGTTGCACATTTTACCCGAACTTTAATTTTATTCTAGGCAATTAGTTCCCCCCACTAAGTTTGATAATGTTGGGTGTTCTAGACTGCCTTTAATCAGGGGAATAGGATAATTTTTAATAAAAACCTGTTCTTGCAGATCTTCCTCCGAGAATTGATCAGCAATGCATCTGATGCCCTGGACAAAATTCGTCTCCTGTCCTTGACTGATAAAGAACAACTAGATACAAACCCAGAATTGGTGATAAGAATTAAGGCCGACAAAGTAAGTGCAATTATGTATTGATTTGAAACTGAAATTGAATATTTGTTTTGAGAGGCTTGAATATTTTTTAAATTTCAGGATAATCATGTGCTGCACATCACCGACACTGGCATTGGTATGAGTAGAAGTGATCTCGTCAATAACTTGGGGACCATTGCAAAGTCGGGTACGTCGGAATTCTTCTCAAAGCTTCAGGAATCTGATTCTACTGATCAGGTAGGCACGAGCCAATCTAGTAAGAATTTATGAATTGTTAAACCCTTGTAATTGTGCAAAGCCTATATAAATGTACTTCTTTACAGGCTAGTGACTTGATTGGACAATTTGGTGTTGGTTTCTACTCTGCATTCCTTGTAGCAGACAATGTAGTGGTGACTAGTAAACATAATTCAGACAAGCAACACATTTGGGAATCTAACTCTGCGGAGTTCTCAGTTGCTGATGATCCTCGTGGAGACACGCTGAAGCGAGGTAAGCTGGCTGCAGAGCACTTTTCACCTAGTAAGGACTACTTTAAAGGGATGGTGAAATTTAACTGGCAATACCCAACTGGTTTCAGTCGGTACAGTATTTACATTTTAACTAGGAACGCAATTTTTTAATTTCCTTAATATTAAACAATTTTGTAGTTTAGTTTAAAAATGGGCATGCTAGATTTAGATAACTTAAAGTTTAAATTCCAAATCTATTAATCATGAGTGAATGGAACAGCACATGGCTAGCACCCTTGCCCCTACAACAGGGTTTGAACCCTGGTTATGGAACCCTGAAACATCTCTGAACCTGTGTATACATACACAGGCTCCCTGTCCTTGATGAATGAATTTAACACTTTCGCGCTCTCCGCGAAGAGATACTTTAAACTGAAAATTCACAAAGATGGATATTAGAAATTGGTGCAAAAGTAGCATAAAATGCTAGACTGTTAACACTTCAGCAGTCTGACCTGTGTTCCTGACTAAGTGTTCAAATCTACCTGGACCCCCCCCACTTGGCAATAATGTTTACAATAGTTTTGCATTTTCAAAGTTACTTATTGGGTCATGACTACAAATTTGACACTAGATAGTATTAATGCAAAAAAGTTTATAAAGCTTGATGGGCAAGCGGAAAGCTAGTTGGGTCCACTATTGCTCTGTCCACACGGTTGCAGCAATTGTCATGTTTTTACTGACTGATGCAAATGGAATAGCTTGGGAACATGGAACCAAAAATTTAGCACTGACAATGACTTTTAGTATTGTCAGAAGGAAAGTGTTAATAGGTCTCTTAAAGTAATAAAGCAAAATGAATAAATTTACTTAAATTAGCTTTTTGTTCAATTAGGCTGTTAGCCATAATGCTTTGAATGGTAAGGGGAACTGTGTTAACTGCTAAAATGTAATTTCCTAACTGCTACATGGAAAAAAGTTGTACTGTACTAGTGTAATGTGCAATCTTTTGGCACATTGCCACTGGTTTAATATAAAGGCTAGAAATGGTCAATTGACCTGAAGGTTCTAGTTTTGGATTGGCCAAATGTCCTCGGTTTGCCAACTGTAGTCAATGTGGCGGGATTGTAACTTTTCCACCACTGGATATGGGGTTGGTGTATAATTGGCAAATTATGAAACTAGCTCTCAGCATATGTAAGCTACTTGGTCTAAAGACACTACTTGTGGTCATTCTTGAACTCGGTTATAATACATTTCACTAGCCAATACTGTAGCTTGGCTAAATGAAATTTGGGGTGAAGTAGCTGATCCTCTTGACTTTTCCTACCATTGCTTGTGGGTTGGGTATAGGGTATGTAATAGATGAACTAGACCAACAAAACTGTTTTGGATTATCTTTAGACTTCAAGTTAATTTGTTGACACTTAACTAGTCATAAACACTGTTAGATGAAATGCACTGCCCCTAAATTAAATGGTTGCACTTTAAACTCGATGCTCCTTTACAGCAATTTAAGCAAAATTAGTCAACTGGGGAGGAGGGGGGGAAAAAAAGACATTAGACAACTTGTCATAGAAAGCAAGACTTTGTAAATTTGGAAGATTCAAAATTCTTTGATTAGCCCAAAGCATAATTTTCTTAGCTAAAGTTAAAGAATGTGCTGCCTTTTGAGCTTCTGCTTTGACTTGTTCTGAAGACTGTATTAAGTAGTTACGCCACATGGTGGGAAGACTTTACTTTAGCTGCAAGATTTTAGTTCATTGCAACTATACTATAAATTTTGAATGGTTTATGCAAGAGGCCAGAAGCAAGTCATTTACAGTTGTATATTCAAATGTAAGTTCATGTAGTTGATAGCTGTAAGTACTTTCAGTGAAATCTTAAGGACTACGCAGTTGAGGCTCCAAGGTACTTTTTAGCGTTGTGCCCAGTCGGCACGTGCCCAATCGTAAACATTCCGGCCATCTCGGGGTCCCACTTGGGACTCTTAAAATGAATCCTAATGTGTTTTTTAGGATTATAATGATAAATCTTGGTGTCAAATGGGTTGCAAATGAATTTGGTAGTGTATGCAAAAGTCCTGATAAGCAATTGAATATAAAGGTTTAAAATTTTGGTATTGCTTTTTTTCAAACTGATAATGTACACATTTTCTTGTACATTGCTGTAAAGAGAACTAATGTATCTACCAAGTGTTTTGGCAAGCATTGTAAATTTTCTAGATATAATTAGTTGAAAGATAGGTACTTGACTGGGGATTTCTGTAGGGTCCCCTGACGAGCCATGGCCACTGCTCAAAGATTTTTGGTATTTAGATGTGCTTGAGCTTTATGCCTTTATTTCAGAATAGTTGATAAAACTGAAGAATGGACGACTACTTTAAAAATTACTAGCCAAGTTTTTTAACTGTAGACTACCATTGGTTATGTTGGTCATTCCTGATGTCTATATTTTATATTTGATGTCTATATATAAATCTGATCCAAAGGCATTAAACTTTGGTAACATTTGCTTTCAACCATTGGTAGATAATAAAAAATTCACTGATTGGCATTAAAACTTTAATGAATTTCTTGTCCTCGTATAGTAGATTTGCACATTTCTAAATGGTCAACTTTGACAGGGACGACGGTGTCTTTGCATTTGAAGGAAGAAGCTTATGACTTTGTTGAGGTGGATACTGTGAAGAACTTGGTTAAGAAGTATTCCCAGTTCATAAATTTTCCAATCTACTTGTGGGATTCTAAAACTGAAGAGGTTGAAGAACCTCTTGATGAAGATGAGGCAGAAGAGGATAAGGTATGTTGGAGCCCGTAGGGTCAACTTGGACTGTTTAACTTTGTCTCTTTAAATACTTGTATATACTGTTTAAATGTGTAGATTGAAAACTGACACACATTGTCCACAGGTTGAAGAGGAAGACGAGGAAGGGAAGGTGGAAGAGGAGAAAGAGGACAAGCCCAAAACAAAGAAGGTCTCGAAGACTACTTGGGATTGGACTCTTCTAAATGACGCCAAGCCAATCTGGACAAGAAAGTAAGCTTCATATTAAATTGCCAATATTGACCCTAATTTTGCTAATGAAGGAAAATTGTTGGCATGTCTTAAACTTGTCCATCTTTTTAGTCATTCTTAGTATGTCTGATCCCTTCCCCTCCCACTTTCTACTGGAGAAAGTGAAGAGCCATTACAACTATATAGCACTTGGAAGGGATAAGGATCTGGGATGGGACGGGAGAAAGAATGGTGGCCAACCACTTGGATAGAGGATTGAATGCCGACCTGCACAGACACACTCGCCACCTTCTGGACCAAATATTAATCTAAAAGTTCAGTGGGTAATACTAGATACTAAAGTTTATTTGTATGTTAAAGATTTAATGGAAAACAAATTGACCACTAATGCGCCGTGTTTGGGACATTTCCCCTGTGCGCATAAGATAGTGTTCGCAAAATTTTGATCTGTTAAATGATCAATTCCCTTCCTTGAACACGTACATGTAAAAACTAAAACTTCACTTTGGGTGAGGGGATATGGAGAAGGGGGGGCATCACGGGCTGGTCGCCCCATGTGTGAAGCTCCCAGAAGCAGTCTCGAGCACTGTGAGTATCCACAAATATATTTTAAATTACTTGTTCTATGTGTTTTTATTTGGCCCCTGTATCACTTGGCCCCACAGTTCTACAAAGATGAAGCAGTGATGTCAAATGGAAAATCTTAACTAAATTAATAGTGCTAAATTTCAAGAGTTGAAACTTTGTCCAACTGTTCTCCATCCATACATTAGTTTTTGATAACTGCAGATAATTTTGAGCTAGAAGTGAAACTAGTGGCAAATGGAAGTAGACTGGCAACCCTGGTGAAGTAAACCACTGATGTGTGAAGTGGCCTTGTGTTTGATGCAAGAGGTTTCACTATACACTTTAGAATTTTTTCCTTGTTGGTAGAAGTGGTTGTGATTTTTGTTGTACCTTGTAAGAATGTTAAATTTATCACTGGTAACCCTGCTGTGTAAAAAAGTGTCAAGGTTTAGCATACTTGTGCTACTTAATGTGTGTTAAATATCCTACCAAATTTCATGTAAAAATGATCAGGTTGGGAGCTATAATTTTAATTTAGTATTGCCCACAATGGTAATACAAATTTTTCTTTGCATGTTCTCTGTAGTCTTCTGGTACCAAATGTGAACTTCACAAAAGCTATGCTAGCAGTGTGGAACATGTGACACTTGGCCTAGCACCAGCCTTGGATATTGGTGTTATAGTGAAATCTTGAACTGTGCATTTGCTGGTTGCTTGGGCTCTTGTAATTTTTTCAAAGATGTGCAGCCCTTTATAAGTTTATAGTAATTATGGATTAAGTTGATAGTTCTAAATGTAATTTTCCTGCATTAATTTACAGGCCTGCTGATATTGAAGATTCAGAGTATAATGAATTCTACAAGACTCTAAGCAAAGATTCCAAAGATCCTCTAGCCAAAACGCACTTTGTAGCAGAAGGTGAAGTGACGTTTAAGTCACTTTTGTTTGTCCCAGAAGTTCAACCCTCCGAGTCCTTCAATAAGTATGGCACTCGCACGGATAACATAAAGCTCTACGTTAGACGCGTGTTTATTACTGACGATTTCCAGGTGAGTTCTCTCTGCACACTTTAGTTTACACTTAAACTGTTAAAAATTAATCCTTTAATATTGGCACATGTGCTTAATTTGTAAGAATTATGTAAAATTGTACTTGCTTTAATTGTAAAAAAAAAATTAGTTGCCTGCTCAATTCCTAATTAACTTTTGCTACATAATACAGCAGTCATAAAACCAAAATATTGAGCATGCGGGATGATGCAAAAGGGTCGTGCACAAATTTTGTAATGGCTTAAGTATGAACATTGTGGGGTGAATGAGTTTAACATAGTTGTGGGTGCACTGGGAATGCTTGGCCTACCTTCCGTAGGCCTCTCAACTTCCTACCTACCTTCCCTCCGTAGTAATCTCGGAGAATTTGAGATTTCTCGAAGTCTCCGTAGAAATCTCGACAGCCTACTAGTAGGCTGCCGAGATTTCTTTATATAGTTTGTGCTGATTGTAATACTACTGGGAATAGCCGAGCAGGTTCAGTTAGTGAATTGATGCTCGATATAGGACTCGAGGGAGTTTGGACACGTTTTTATTTGGGTATTCATAAAAGACCTGTATGAAAATTGGAAGTTGTGACTTGGGAAAGACCTAGATAAATACAGTAAAAGTTTGTAGGTAGTTAATTTATGCAAAAAAAAATATTGCACAACACATGACTTTGAATTGCTGTAGTGTTTGAAGTGCAGGCAGTCTGGCATTTGGGTGGACATTGAGTGGTTATGTATGGACTAATACCTTTTTACAGTTTCCTTTGTTCTTAATATTGCTCACTTCCTTCCCTCTAAATCTTTTTTATACAAATTAGTTTTGCATAGGCAGTCAAACTGGCTGCTGAAAGGGCAGAACTTTTCCTTAAGAGTTGCAGGCTCCTGAAATTTGATTACCATGCAATAACTAAGAAATTGATTGGAGTAGTGTTACAGTATTCAAAACTAGTCCAAAGGGTTTCTGTATTAACGGAATACTAAATCACTTTACCCTGCTTGTATGGTGGTTATACTAGATTGAACTTTGGTTGAAAATTGTCACCTTGCTGTCTGCATTTAGTTTCTCTAATTTTGAAATTGGGAATAAACTAGGCCTCATAGCAGTCTTGGCTATGAAGTTACCCAATTCAACTGGTCAATAACCTTGTGGAAAGTTGTATTGGTCTCCTTGAAATCATAATGTTCACGATTAGTAATCTCGAGTGTTCCATTATTTGTACAGTGTAAAGGTTCATAATGCAGTAAATATTTCTACATTGCAGTAGTGTGAAACCTGCAAATTAATAGGTTGTAGGTGAGGTTATGGTAGTTTTGTTAGCACTTATATTGGGAACACCTCTTCCCAGGAAGAAGCAACGCAATAGTTGGCCATCGGGAACCCACTTGTTGCTAGGTGGCACGAGACATTACTCGAGAATGTGCCCAACCATTTGTCCCATCTGGGAATGTGACATTGTGAATAATGCAGTTGTAGGCACTTGAAATATTAACAATACAGTACTTAACTGATGCTGTAGACCATTTAGAATGTGGGATTGTGTAATTATATCTGGTATTATTGGTTTAGAAAATTCATAGACTACCTTTTCTACACAGGACATGATGCCAAATTACTTGAGCTTTATTAGAGGTGTGGTAGATTCGGACGACTTGCCCCTGAATGTATCTCGTGAAAATCTTCAGCAACACAAACTCCTAAAAGTAATAAAGAAAAAATTGGTACGCAAGACCCTTGACATGATAAAGAAAATGGAACCTGAAGAATATGATAAATTCTGGAAGGAATATTCTACAAAGTAAGTTAAATAATAATTTTACTAGAACTGTCTACAAAAGTCTACTTATTCCATTAATATTTTACACTAGACACCTATTTTCTAGCATTTCCTTTATATCTAATGACCCTCTGTTGGGACTAAAGTTGTAAACTTTTTATTAAATGTGTTGCACCCAAATGTTTTAAGGGACCTGAAAAAGATCCCAGGGAGGCAAGGTCAGCCCCCCCCCCCCCCTCCAGGGAGGTGAGGGCAGGGCCCCCATCCATCAAAGCCCCCCTAGTTACACCAACTGTCAATTAAGGCCAGGCTAGCCACAGCAGAGTACATGTGCGCACGCTTAACTACAGGTTCTAGAAGCTTGGAATGACTACCTACAGTGGCCATACGGTGTCAATAAATCACAATAGGGGCTATCAGATGATACCCCACATGGTAGTCCTGGCCCCATGCAGGAACTGGTGCACAGGCATCTTGTGCACTCCAGGCAATGAATGCACTCATTGCTCTACTTGTGTAGTAGTCCATTTTTAGTTGAGCTAATGTTGGATTAAATTTTTAAAGTACTTATAAAATATAAGTTTTGTATTTGAATGTTTTACCATTGCAGCATGAAGTTGGGATCGATTGAAGACTCTGCAAACCGCACTCGTCTTGCCAAACTGTTGCGCTTCCTATCTTCGGCGAGCAAGGATAAACTGACTTCGTTATCAGAGTACGTAGAGCGAATGAAGGAGAAACAAGACCACATATATTACATGGCTGGTGCTTCAAGAGATGAGGTAGGTGGTGGGCTGGATGGTAGGTGTGGGAAAGCATTTGGAATATTTAAAGCAAAACTTCATCACTTTGGCCGCATAACTAATTTTGATATTTTTAGGTTGAAAATTCGCCATTTGTTGAACGTCTAATAATGAAGGGCTACGAGGTGCTGTTTCTGACTGAAGCTATCGACGAGTATGCTATAAATGCCATACCAGAATTTGAAGGAAAGAAGTTCCAGAATGTGGCAAAAGAAGGCTTAACAATTGATGAAGGAGAGGGAGCAAAGGAACGAATGGAAGAGTTGAAGACAGCTTTTGAGCCACTAACAAAATGGCTTTCTGAAGAGGCTCTTAAAGAGGAGGTAAGAAATAGGACTTGTAAATAATTTGGAAAAGCTTTAGTTAATGTAATTAAATATGTACTCCAAAACATGGAAATAATGCAAAGTATTGCATAGAAAAACCTTGCCTCATGATATAAATGGTTATAAAAAATCTTAGCATTTTATACAAACTTCTACAACAGTGCCTTTGTCATTTGCTTTAAATATAATAAATTCCTAGACCTTGGTTCTAGCTTCATTAAACTAGTTTTAGAAAATTTTGGGCAATGTACAGCTTGATCACTTTTTCTTTATAGTGTTTTGTTTTTCCTAAAGTATATGCTTAATCAGTTTTATGAAAGATTAAGACCTAGAAATGGTAATGCCCAAAGAAACCAATAAAAATCTAATTATGGAAAGGTAGCATTAATGAATGGTGCATGTTGGGCAAACATTGGCAGTGATAATAGTACTCTAAACCCTTGATAGTCTGTGGTTATACATTACAAAATTGCTAAAGCACTTCTTGAGCTTTAGTAATAAATGCGCAGTGATCAGTTGTACAAAGCGGCAACGGCAGCTTGCAACCTATCTTTGACTATCTTGCTCTGGCCTGGTCCCAGGTCTAACATTGCTGATTACTTTCCTTCCCCATGTTTGCTAACAGTCGTACCTGCTTTGAGTTCTACTCCCCAAGCCTGGCCGGCGAATAGAACTCAAAGCTGGTACGACTGCAAACATGGGGAAGAAAAGTAATCCTTCCCCCATGAATTACTTGTGAATAAACTAGGCATAAATGCACTATTAAAGTAAATTTGGTTTTGTGGGATTAAGTATTGAATCTTCCAAAAGTAGAGGTTAATAACACAACTGGTTTTTAATTATTATTCCTATCAATATTGTAATGGCTTTCAATAATTCCTTAACACTTTCACGCAGGGGTGGCGCCAGACATTGATCGTTACCAAGTTTTCTCTCGTGTCCGCGTAAGGGACTCCGTCAGGAGTCTCAAACATTTGTATAAATTCCATTTTTTATCCTATCTACTTGGATAGTTTACAAATGTTTGCCATGAAATTTACGTTTTCTCTAATAGCTGAAGAGCTTATTTGGGAGAATGGCATGGCATTGAATCATTGTGGTAAAACAATTGTATTATTGACACGATGAGTATAATAGACATAGTTTTTGTTGCCGGTCTAACGCATCCTTGTGACATTTTACATTTGTTCTTCTAGAACATTCGATTGCGAACACATTGGTACAAAAATGAGACATCGAAAATTAATGTCAGGACAGTGAAAAGAATATGAACTTTTCAATGCGGGTTTCGCTGATATGCCGCTGTGGGTAACACTTCGGCCACTTCCCACTCTTGTGGGTGGGCTGCGACATTGATTCTCTCTTTATATGCATATGTCCACGTAGGGAATTTTATTGCGATTTCAGTGATACCAAATTAACGTTGTAGGACAAGTTCAGAGTTGACAACCCTGAAGATAATAGAAACATTTCATTGCTGTCTGGCGCTGACGGCTAGTGATTGACGTAGTTCTATATTTGGTGCCGATGTAACTCGTGTTTTGGTGACATTTTATACTTATGTTCTTCTAGAACATTCTATTGTGAACACATTGGTACGAAAATGAAATGCGTACATCGAAAATTAACGTCAGGACAGTGAAGTATACACCTTTCAGTGTTGCCGCTCAATCGCCCGAAACGCCGCACGCATAAGGGGCAAGTTTTTTTTCACTGCATCAATTGTGCGAAAGTGAACAAAAGTTTGACATTTAATGTGGATTTTAAGTTATGGTGTATGGATAAAAAGGTCATGGTAAACCTGTTTGTGCTGAATTTATAATTTGTAGATCTTGGTATTTTATCCTTTTATGAAGGGCATTAAAACCATTGTATGAACTTTACTATTGGCTCCTAAATATTAACTTGAAATTTGATTTAATAAACATTTTGAACTTTGATTTCTGCTTTTAACTGCATGTGAAGTCTGTAAATAGTTTTGGGTGCTTTGGTCTAAGACTCCAACTTTAAATACCATTTTCCTAAATTAAGAGGAACCATAAGCATTGACTTTCTGCACTGACTGGGTTTTACCTATGCTTGAACTTTTCACTCAGGTTTCAAAGGCAATTGTATCGGAGCGTCTGTCTGACTCTCCATGTGCTCTAGTGGCAAGCATGTTTGGCTGGACTGGCAATATGGAACGCCTGGCTATATCTAATGCACATCAGAAGACTCATGATTCTCATAGGGAGTAAGTTTACTTGGCATGGGTAATGGTTTTCTTTCCTGTAACACTTACCTTTGCTTATTAAGAACTTGTTTCCTTAAAGCTTCTTAAGGTAAGAGTGGCATCCAGGTATTTAATGCAAGAGTGAAGCTCACAAATTTACTGTTATAGAAGTGAAGAATGACTTGCATAAAATTGTATGCAGACACCAATAACAATCAATGGTAGTAAACCTAAACTGTAAACCTGTAACTGGCAGTGCTTTAACCTCCGTGCTACACCACTTTTGAGACATTCTGGTGGTCCGCTGAAAAATTCCCCTCCCCCTTTTTCTTTGTTAGTCACTTTCCTCGACATTTACATGGTGGTGGTTGGGGGGGGGGGGTAATTATAAAAAAAAAAAAATTTGGTGACATGAAGATGCAATGTCATCGGTCTGTGCGCCCATGCATGAAGCTCACAGAGGCGGTCATGCGGGAGATCTCGAGACCCGCCACAAATATATTTTCATTAATTTTTTAAACATTTTCTGGGCTTTCTAATTGATGCACACTTGTCATTTACAATATGTACACAGTAGAACATTAATGTTCCAAGGAGCTGAGATACAGGTGTCACTGGCAACACAATGTTTGTTGCAATATTACTTACTTTCACTTAAATGTACACCATGTACAGACACTATTTAGTCATACACTGTATTACCCAATACTTCGGAAGCGCGTAATAAGTCTATGGTACACAGCGTGATTTCACTCGATGCACAGGGAACACACAACTTCGCTTCCTGTTTCTTTGTGCAATTGCAAACAATGCGCTCGTGTACACCCTTGGCTTTAGTTCCTGTAGGTGGTATGTAGCAAAGCTTGTGAAGTGTAAGGTAGTCTTGAAAAAATCTAGGTAAAGACAAAATCAATGACAATTGTCCTGGTATCACTCGTATCTTCACCTGTGTACGGTAAAGTGGGTGCAACATCGCTTAAATTGTTAAAAAAATTGTCCTCCCTTGCAAATTCACCCATACTCCTTGCACTGTAACCACCACCACCATGGAAGCCGCTAACACCGTTTATCTATGCTACTTGTAACCACCACCACGGGCAAACACTGTTCATCTATGCTACTTGTATCGGATGCATCATCACTGAACCCAGAAATGATTTATCTATAGTATCTATGAAAATTGGAGACGTCATGGGTGGTGCTCATTTACTGGATATGCTCCCTGTATTGTCATCATTGCTGTATCACTTGTATCTCACCCTTGTTAGGTCCCTATTGTGCCTAGCTGCATCAGTATCATGATCCTTTTCTTCAAAATGTCTGAATTTCAGACAGAGTAATCTTTCAACACTGTGTCACAGGCGTTTGAGACAGATGCACATGCGCGCCACCCATGGTTGCTCGCTTGAAACTGATCCAGCCAGCAGCCCTTAGGGCATGCTGGGATTTTTTTTTAAAGATGGCCGCCTCACTGAAGGTCTTAGGTGTCCATTTTGTACATGACCAACTGTGCGTTTTTTTTTTATTCGTACGATACCTTTAAATGGGATTTTTCTTTGCCTGCGCTTTGCCTTCTGCAAGTAGTGGTGCAGTTCAGTGGTTAAACTGCAACCTTGCCATAGTTAATTTTTAATAAAATTTGCAAGGCATTTAAAGACTGATTATAGCAGTAAACATGTTTTATAGCTGGTGCAACTTTGTTAAAAGCTGGTCACAAGTCTTTTCTACAGTACTAAATACAGTACTGGGAGATGTCGCTCCTGACTAACTCTAGTGCATGGGAAGGATTATTGTAAGGTAAGCTTCAATGTTCTTGTGTAGATTGTGAAAGCAGAAGTTGGAGAGAGGCTGTCGGAGTCGCCGTGCGCATTAGTATCATCGAGGTTCGGTTGGACGGCAAATATGCAACGTATTGTGACCTCGCAAACTCATGCAAAGAGCAATGATGTCCAAAGGGAGTAAGTAATGTATTTGATTCCTTTTAACAATGTACAGTATACTAGTAATTTACTACCTAATGCTTTAAATTTAATTTTTTGGAGGGCAAACTGCCTGGTGTGGAATAGAGAAATTTTGCTAATTTATATACTGTAATATTGGAAGTTGACTATCCTGTAACAGATGGTAAAAAAATCCTGGCTTGATGCATTCTTTAGATTACTCGATATGAACCCATTGGAAAGTTGGCTACACTGTGCAACTAATTCTAGTAAACTGACGTAGTGTGGCCTCATCACGTGATAGTGGGAGGGAGATGCAAGAGCTATATACTGGCCATTCATGGGGCTTGAGCAAATTCTCTACCCTTAAAGCAAACTAGAGTACTTATGGCAAGACAGATCCATAATGGTTGGAAGGAAAGTGTTGTACTATTCTAGATGGGTATTCAGATTTTTTAGGCTTAAAATTTCTTTGGCCCCCACAAATCACAAAAGTACTTAAACCAGAATTGATGTTTATACAAGTGTTCTCTACTATAGTTCTCATGAATTTCTCGACTTGATATTCAGTGCTGTGTAGCCATGGATTTTCTCGGTTAATAAACTATAATTTAAAGTATAGGTGCATTTTGCTCCTTGGTTCTTTAGTGCTGAGGTAGGCTTAGTGCCCAAATGTTTTAAGCAAGCATTGACAGTGCAGTTGTAAAATTTTATTCAATGTTTTATTAAATATCTTGTGTTCTGCAAATGATCTCACTAGAATGTAAGATTCTGGAAAGATGCGTAAAAATGTAAATAAAAATGTCCTGGGCACTAATACACAAGCCTATTCTAATTTTTATAGACGTATTGTACCCTGTTTGTATTGTTGTCGTGTTCGGTTCTTTAGATAGAAACTTTAATGTAGTGCTTAGTGTAACGGTGTCAAAGGCATAAATGTTTAGTACCTTGCAATTAATTTGCCATTATTTTCAGTTACTACCTAAGCCAAAAGAAGACGCTAGAGATAAATCCTCGCCACCCACTGATTAAAGAACTTTTAAAGCGGGTTGGAGATGATCCCACAGATGTTACAGCAAAGAACATTGCAGTTATGATGTACCATACAGGTGAGTGTCTTTTAATGGTTTTTGAATTTTATATTTGTTTAATATAAAAAATTGTGCTACATGGAAATTTATTATTTACAGCTACACTAAGATCGGGATACATGCTGAAGGATACGGTGAACTTCTCAAAGTCCGTAGAGGAAATGATGCGCCAATCGCTAGGAATTCCTTTGGATGAACCGGTGGAAGCAGAGCCAGAGTTTGAAGATGAACCAGATGAGGATGAACAATTGCTAGATGAGGATGAGGAAGATGATGCCGGAGAAGTGGAAGAGATGCACGACGAGCTGTAAATGGATAGCGACTTTAGCATGGGTACAAATAATGGTAGTTGGGTATCATTGATGGAGAGGTAATTGTAAAGAAAGTTAAGTGGTGCCATGAAGGTCAAGTGGACAATTTCATTATCATGTTAAGCTCACTAGGTTTGAGATAAGAATTAGCCATTGGAAAGATTCCTTAAATTTGGGTAAATTCAATAAATTACTGTATACAATTGGGATTTGAATGATTGAACAACAGACTTGTCAAACTAACAAGTCAATTTAAGTTTATTGGAATTCATTATCTGAAGCCAGTGACTGCCATATATCATGTCAGCTTTAAATTAAACTGTAACACTTTCCTGTCATTCATTGGCTTTAGGATGGGTGTATGTGATCATAATCATTTTGATAATAAAATGCAAAATAATTGATATTTTTTTTACCAAAGCATTGTCCCTACCATTAATGGGGTATACTGGAATGTTGTGTTGAAATAGTCTACATCTCTATTAGCAGGACATTAAATTTACAATATTTATAAAATGAGATTATAAAAACTTAACGGCTGCAATGTAGTGCCTTTACCACTGCACTGCATTAAAATGACATCCCCGTGGTGCGCCAAAAGTATATTAAAGCATTTCTCTTGTATTGTTAAAATGCAGTCCCTGATCACGGGAAACCAGAAATATTGTATGGGACATACCTTAGCGGTGATGGAGCAGAGAAGTTGCCCTTATTATGGGCGGTGATGGAGCAGAGAAGTTGCCCTTATTATGGGCAGTGAGCGATGGAGCGCTCAAGGTCACTAGGCCCTGCCACTCAGTGGGGGCTGTAGTTGCCGTGAATATAATGGTCTCGCAATTTTGATGTTTCTCGGTAGTTCTTCCCTCCCGTTCCGGCCCATTGTAGTCGTGAGGGGGCTTGGTGGGCGGCTGCCAGTCTCTGATGCTCCATGGGACAGTACTGTTCTTTTGAAGCCTTGTGCTCCTGCTGCTGTCTTCACCAATTTTGCTGAATGTCTTTTCCTGCCCACTCATTTAGACACACACTCGCCCTTTCCTGTCTTGATCTTTCTTTGCTTGTCTTCCCTTTACTGTACTTGAATTTTGAGTGGCAGGTTCTTGACCTCCATGGCAGTGACCATTTTCCCATCCTTGTTTCCTTTTTCTCTTTTCACCCTCTCCTTCCCTATGTGGCGGTTTGCTGAGGCTGACTGGGGCCCCCTCTTTACCCTCCGTGCTGCTGTCTCCGACCTCTCCATTCTGCCTCTCCCTCGCGCCCACCCTTCTTTGACAGTCTTCGATGCTGCCCTCTGCTCTATTCCTTGGGGAACGCGGACTGCTCAGGCTGTCCGCTGAAAGTGTGACCCAAACAGGAATTGTAAGACTATGAACTGTGGGCACACTTAGTTGCCCATTGTCACAAAAGGCCAAAGAGGAAAGTAGAAGCCACCATCAATGACCAGAAATGAAGCACAAGTGTCCCCCTTGCCATACAAAGGCGGTGCCCGGGGGAGAGCTTTAACCCTTTAACTGTGCGACCTATAAATGATAACCCCCCAGTGCGCAAGAAATAAATTCTTGAACACATTCTTTTTTGTTCTGAAAGTGACAAAAACCCCTCCCTGTATATGGGTATAGCAACGGAATCTCGAAATTGTACTTACTTTGGCTGCTATGGGGTCCGAAAGGTGGGGGCGTGACATCATCATTCCCCATGCGCCAGAGCAGTATGCTCCCGGGGCCGGTGGGGCGTGCGAGTTGCCGCGAATATATATTTGTTTTTATGCACACAGTTCCAAATACATTTTATTTGTTTTTACGTGCTAATCCTATGTATAATGAACACGTACACTATATTATGGCAGTAAAACATCCGTACTGTCCAAGGACACTGTGTTACATGCATGACACTTGTGTACACACATGTTGCACATATTTACCATGTATCATGCTAATTTATGTATATATACAATCTATTTACAGACTATACACTGTCACACACTATACATTCACCATCAACACATTCAGAACATCGCGAGTGTGAGCAGCCACACTCACACAGGCCCTGCCTCACTCCATCTTACTCGCCAACATTGCTCCTGCCACCATACTGTTGTTGTTTTTATTACACTATTTACACATGTTATATATACCTATCTACATGTTTTATTCACCAGAACTATGCAAGTAAGCCGGTATTGTGTCCAAACAGTAGTGGCCACCATACACTGCATGAGAAATCACTCGCAGACGACGCTACGATTACGACGTCACCTCCCTCATCAAAATAGCTCCACTCAACATACTCCTGTTGCTGTTATTACATTATATACACACACACTGTATATACCCATGTACATGTGTGTTCCTCATAGCGAACCACGAAGCTAGTATGGTGAGCAAAACAAGAGTGGCTGCCACACAGTGAGGCTACCTCAATTCTCTCCCTCCCTCCCTCACCAAAATTCCTCCTTCCACAATACTATGCACAACGCTAATTATAACCACAATCCTGGTCACTAATTCCTGTAAATGAATAATTGACCACATGTTTATTTTGAAAATGAACCTAAAAGTCATTTGAAGATTCCTAGATGGACGAAATAATGCTGTGGTGCTATGGCTAGCGCTGTGAACATCGTGAACAGCATTGAATCGCTGATATTTGAACATTGTACCCAGTCATTATCACACTCGGGCTCTTCTATAATACTATCATGGCTAAATAATACAGGTTATATATATATTTTGACATTATTAGGCGATGCTGTGGGGTTCATGCTGCGAGCGCCAGCCTTGGTTGCTCACTCACTACTGAGGCTCTCATACCCGGCAATGTGGACCATGATTATTTTAAAGATGGCATCTGTTTACAAGAGCCCTGAGGAAGCTGATGTGAACCCCATGTAGCCACGAGAGTTTTGAATGGAACGTGAAAAACAAAAACACCCGGAGGCGCGTTGCGCACCCGAAGCCTGGGCCTACAGGCGCGTTGCGCACCCGAAGCCTGGGCCTACAGGCGCGTTGCGCAGTTAAAGGGTTACCTTAGTCACAAAGTTATTGTTATGAGTGTTCCTGGCCTGACATACTTTATTACTATGAAAAAATAAAGTACTGGATTTAAAAAGGAGATGTAGATAAGCTTCACGTGTGGGGTCCACGGTTGGAGTCTCCTAGAGCCCATGTCAATGGAGATGTAGATATATGAAGTGAAGATACAAAAGACTAAAGAATCACAATTAAATTTAGACCATGTTTTATTGATTAATTTCTAGCTATTAAGTATATATTAAAGCAAGAAAATGGTATAATGCAACACATTCACAGGAAAACACTTCATTGGAAAAATATCAGAATAGCAATATAGTAGTGTTAATTGATTACAAAAATTGTCAAGATGCAGTGTGCTTAATTTTAATGGGCACCAGATTGTCAAAATATAGCTTTCTAACCCGATCCATTCCTCTCATGCTGTTGCTACATAGTCTTCCCAGCTGGGTGCCTTTTATTTATACTCCACTCATCTCTTTAGCATGCACATACTTTTATACTGTACTGACTGTTGACCATCTCTCAATGATCCATTTACTTAATTTATATGAACAATTCTTGCTGTTCACACCTGTACTATTATTTACTGACAAGCCTCAACTCTACTAAAATCACATATAAATTCTCTAATGTTTGCGCCGCCAGGATTAGTTAGGCCAGTGATTTTTTAGCACTGATATCTCAAAGATACATAGGTCAATGATACCTAATTAAGAAAAAAAAATCTACAGCTGTTTTCCAATGGTTATACTACAGTATTTGCTTCATAATCAAGATTGTGTTTTTTTTAACACTTACAAGTATTACAGTACAGTAAAACAAGTGTATAAAAATATTTACCACACTCGTTAAACAACATTTTTCTCGCATCACCATAAATTCTCATGCGATTTTTCCTATACATTAAAAATTTATACACAATAATAAAAATTCAAGAATATGTATGTGCTAGGCAGCTTTTTAATGTTATACAGTAAAACTTTATATCAAACACAAACTAAGTGGTCACTTCATGGTGTAAAATTCACCCAATTTTATTAAAAATCTTGATTTCAAGAAAATTAATATTGAGATAATATTTGTCACCATCTTCATGTCATTTCTTACTTTCCTGGGGTGGGAAGACATTTGGCTAGAGTGATATACTTAAAGATTAAAATATATTCTCAACTATACCAGTTCTTACCAACTATTAATATTAGTAGCACTGTAAACATTCTTTTGAAACAAATTTAAAGGAAATTTCTGTACAACTGTATTCAAGCTTTTGTTGTGTTCTTGATACACTTTGGTAATTTAGTTAAAACATATTAACCAGCTTCTAAATAAATACGTTTAGTATATTTTTATGTTTAAATATTAATAATCTACCAACAATATTAATTTAAATATTTCAAATATATATAAATATATATACAATATTAAAATTATATAAAAAACCAAGAAACTTAAAACTGCTTGCATGCTTTTCTTCTGTTATTTATCTATGCTTTATGCAATAAAAGGAAATTTGTAAAGCCATTTCCATAGTTTTTATCTCACACTGCAGTCGTTTTCGTATGTACAGAGTATTTTCTGGTATGCTTAACCTAAAATCTAGGATGCAACAGGCACAAGTTTCCAGTTCCTGAGCAAGATAGAAACATGCACCAATAAAATAAGCAGATAAAATAAGGCAATTATATCTAATTGGTGCTAAAGCACTTGGACGGTACAAGGTCCTGAAGGAGACAACTATTTCCTACTTAATTCCTTCCTCACTCAGGCAGCAGTCTTTCAAATTACAAAATTATTAACACGAAGGAATGCATACTGCACTTGCTGGTCACACTTTAGTTTTGGTTTCCACGTCAAATCTCCTTAAGTTTCAGAATTCATACCTTGCTTTTGAATCATTTACCTAATAGATGTACAGGCACACACACAACTCTAAAGACACTAATTTATTACTCATGGTAACATGAGTAAGGTTAACAGCAGCTTTATACACAAGACATTACATATTGTATATGTACAGTACTGGGAAAACCAAAAGCCAATTACAGTACCTATTCAATTTCTCGCCAAAATAGGAATATACATGTTGTAAATGGTGAGAATATAAAACATGTAAGAAGTTTGCCTTCTATAGTATGGCAAAGTTAAAGTATATATTAGCATATATATTAAGTACATGATTTTGTAACAATGCCGTATTGCAGTTAAGACAAATGTTAGACTTTCATGACTCAAATGAATCTCTCTCTCTGGAAGTGGCCTTCTCTTCACTAGGTGTCTTTATGTAGAATATCTAATTCTATTTCAACTGCTTTCATGTGACAAAAACTCTTCAATAAGCACTAAAATAAATCTACAGGAGCAATAAATGGATGTACTTGTATATTAATAACTCCTGTAAATTGTAAATTTAGCTAATATCCAGAATTCCAAAAAATACCATGTTTTTCTAAAATTCTGAGTACAGAACTGTATATCAAATATAGCTTGGAAATTATTGTGAGAAAACTAATATAAAATAATGTGCAAAAGATTGTGTGGAAAGCTTCTAAACATAAGCCTGTAAAGCCAGCTGATAATTAAGTACTCCATACATTGGTGCTATAATTTCTAATTTATGTACTTGTACACACAACAAACAAATATTGTATATAAACAAACACACACACACACCCACCGATGACATGACTCGGTGAGTTCTGGAATATTTCATCACTATCTAGGTGATAGTGCTGGAGAGTCATGCAAGTGGTGTCCAAGATAACCATGAGCAGTAATAGGTGGAGGAGAGTACTGATTATTGTAAAAAAAATATATACACAAACCTGGAAAAAGTTAAGAGCAAGGCTACTAAACGGAAGCAACTGAGAATAATGAAAAAAATTGTGGATATGAGGGGAACATATGGGGGACCAACACTGTCATCTAACGACCAAAATTTAAGGAGTTTTGCCAAGAAAGAAATAAGAGTTGTTTTTCTGGTGGGTTAGTGAAGGTTTAGGATCTGCTAAGGATTCATGAAAGAAAATTTCTTACATTAAAAAAAGAAAGTGAAAATCTTAAAAGTATGATTAACCTCTTACAAGGAAGTATTTTGCAGAACTGGACTGGAAATGTGTAAAGAGGAAATGAAAGAGACAAATGCATACCAATGTTGTAAAATAGAGAGAAATATGTTTGGAAGTCAAAAATATTAGATTTAGGAGAAGGCCTCACAACAAAGGAAATGGAGTGAAACAAATGACAGAAGGGTTTAGGAATGCCAGAACATTGAATATGATGAGGATAGGGAACTACTGTCATTAAGACGAGATCTATCAAAAAAAGACAAATAAGCTTAAATTTAATTTTTGCTTCAATGAAGAAATTCTTTTTCTTCAAGGTGCTAACACCTTGTAGAAAAAAGGTGATAGGATTTTCACAAGCTTTCCAAGTCTGTGAAAAAGTATAAAAAAGTAAACCTAACAAAATTGTTAGAGGAAAAGGGAGTGAAAAGCAAAGCAGCAGAGAACATATTCTGGAAAGAGAACAAATGACAAAAAAAGGGAATCAATATAGGAAAAGGTCAAGCCATCAAACATACAAACCTGCAAGAAACAACTACACAGCAGTGAGATGAGAAGCAGAATGAAACTTTGAGGAAGTGGTAGAGGACAAATGAAAACAGAACCAGGCCTGTTCTATAAATATGTTACAAGGCAAGTTGCATGTAAAGGATAAAATTCTGAAATTGAAAATGGGGAACAGATTCACAGAAAATTAAAAGGAAATGTGTGAAACACCAAATGAACAGCTTTAAAAGGTGTTTGTGCAAAATGATGTTTTCAGAGAACCAGACACAATACAAATTTCAGAGAATGAGTACATAGGAGTGTCTAGAGATGAAGCAGAATAACTGCTCAAGGAGCTAAAGTTAAAGTTGCACCTGGGCCAAATGGAGTCTTACCTTGGGTTCTGAGGGAATGTTCCGATACTTAGCTGGTACCTCAGCCGAGTATTCCACTTCAATTGATTTTTGAAGCTTATTTATGTACAGGAATCTTAGTAGAACAGAAAAAGGCAAACATAGTTCTAGTCTACAAAAATGGTAAAAGAAAAGACCCTCTAAATTACAGACCTGTATCATTGACAGCATGGTTGTCAAAACACTAGAAAAATAATTGAAAGTAAATGAGTAGAACATATATTGAAAGAAATGGAATAATAAGTGACACAGTATGGCTTAAGCCATACCTTAAGCCATAAGTATTAAGGAAAATTATGGAAAAATGCAATAAATGAAAACTGGTTCAATTTCAATCAAACTTTTTTGACTAGTTGTATATAAAATTTGGTTCAACTGGCCCAAGTCTCAGCATCGTAGCATAAATAGGAAGGGAGAAAAAAAATTGAATTATGTGTCGAAAGTTTTCCAAAATGGTAAAAAATTAACATCAAACAAAAGTGTCAACTGAAATCATGTCTATGACTCTAAGCTATCATAATAGCATATAATAAAGTATTTTAATATTTAGTTTTATGCCCAAACATTAAAAAAATCAATAAAAAAAAATATTTTTTTTATCAGTTGATTTGCATGAAACTTATACACCTTACATGTGTAAGGGTGCAAATTTTGGAGGAAATTGGTTGAAGTCAACTTCAACCACAGGTGGAAGAATGTTTGATCTTATTTATTGTCAAGTAACAAAATTAACTCTCCTCTTGTATTTTTTTTAAATTTACATGAAATTTACACCTTATATGTAGTTAACATCTCTAATAAACTTATAGAATACTATATTCCTAAGTTCATTTATTGATTTCATAAATATTTGCAAACATGAAATATTGGCATATATTTTGGGGAACTTTGACTACTTGTCAAACTAAAAATATTTTGGATAATCCTTTTTCATACAAATCCTTTATTTTATGCTAATGTAATAGACGAGTCTCATAGAAAGGATCTCATTTGAAAATTGTGGTTGTAGAGTTTTATTGAAAATGTGTAAAAATTCGTTGCAAAAAAAAAAAAAAAAAAAAAAAAAAAAAAAAATCCCTCCTTTTCTATTTAGGGTGCGATACTGAAACACAGAACAGTTGCAGCCCTTCTTATATACAACTAGTAAAAAAAAGTTTGGTTGATATTAAACAACATTTAAAAATCAGGTAATACGCTCCCTTAAGAACTGGAATATCCTCTGATAAATCTAATTAGTTTTCATGATAGAGCCATAGAAATTCTACAGGAAAGAGATGGTTGGGCTAACTGTATTTATCTGGACATAAAAAAGCTACTTACATAGTCCCACACAAGAAGTTTTTCTGGAAACTGGAACATGGTGGTGACAGGCAGATTGGTGACATAGATGAAATATTTTCTGACAGAAAAATGAGGGCAGTAATAAGAGGCAATGTATCAGATTAGAGAAATGTTACTAGCGGAGTATCACGAGATTCGGTTCAAGCCCCAGTAATGCTCATTGTTAATATAAATGATCTCCAGGGAAATACAGAATTATTTAAACATATTTGTTGATGATGCTAAGCTACTAGGGAAAAATAAAAGACCTAGATAACTGTCATGCCCATCAAGGCGACCTGGACAAATGTGTATAGAGCAACACTTGGCAGATGGAATTCGATGTGAATAGCTGCCACATTTCAAAGTATGGAATAGGATTAAATAGGTCCCACACAACCTACAAATTATGTGAAAAGACAAAATAACTTGGACAAAAAAAAAATAAAAGATTTAGGCATGGCTAAATGATATTTAGAGCATGGCTCTAGATATTAAACCATCACCTGAGGACCACATAAAAGACATTGTGCAAGAAACCCATACAATGCTTTCCAACTTCAGAAATGCTTTTAAGCACACAGACAGTGAAATAAGTTAAATAAGAAGGTGGTGGAGGCCAAAACCGTCAGTACTGTACTTTCAAAGCGTTATATGACAGAGTACTGGGAAGAGGGAACACCATGAGCATAGTTCTCATCTTGCAACTACACTTGGGTAATTACACACACACACACACACATACACAGTGTCTATAGGTATAAAGTAAATTATAAGTTTTTTTTAAGAATACTGTACCTTTAAACATATAAATATAAACACTCAAGGTCTATCACATTATATAGTTAAAAATTATATTAATTACATATTATATTAATAAATAAAAACATGGTAATTAAGTAAATATAACGAACCAGCTTTAATTTTTTATCTTGTGCTATTTCCACTCTATGTTAGGAACAAGTTGTTCTGTAGCAGTCGGAGAAGAAGCGGGAGTAAGGCAATTCTCAGCTTTCTTATTCTCGTTACAATCACCTTCTTTAGGAACTTCAGCATCGTAAATTACCTCAGTTTTCTCATCTGAACTAAATTTTTTTTGGAAGTCACTGCACTCTTTTTCATTAGAATTCTCAATATACAGCTCCTCTGATGTGGCATTAGCTGAATTTTCCTTGTCATTTATCCCTGTAATATTTTCCTCATTGCCAGCACTTTCTTCTCTGTTCTGCTGATTTGGTAAAGTAATTATATTTTCAATGTTTTCCTGATTCACAGAAATAGTTGAGTCTATATTAGAACTGTCTTCAGTTAACACATTCTCTTTTGTTGAAGCTTTCAAATCAACAGCAAGAACTTCTTGTTGGCAGCTGTTTGTGGCTTCTATAATATCTACAGACCCTGATGATAATGAACCATTTCTGTTTATAGCATAAGAAACAGCATTGTCAGTTACATCAACACAACAATCTTTATTTATAGGCCTACCCTCTGCTACCTCAAAGTCTTCACAGTTTTTTCCATCAAAATCTTCTTCTGCCTCTGCAAATGCTTCGGCATTAACATGCTGTTCAGCATGTTGATCTTGTTCAGTCTCAAGTCGATCATCAGAACCATTGTTGATACACTGATCATTTTGAAAAATTTCCTTCACTGGTATTTCTTCATCCTATGGAAATATGCGAGGTAAATTCACCGTGAATGATTTTATGAAAAACAACATATCTCAGGGTACAGTAAATGGAGTGGGCAAAATTAGTCTGGCAACTCGCATAACTGAGGAAGATGACCGAGAAGTTAAATCTACTCAAAAGAATTTGATTGCAGGATAAGGCAAGACAGGCAGACAGTGAGTAAGTGTATAAGGAAGCATGAAATGAGAAAATATATATGTAATTGTGGCGTGAATGTGAATAGCATGCACAAAGTTGTAGTGAACAATGCTGAGTGAAAGCAAATTGTAAGGAGGATGTGAGTTATCAACTTCCTGTTTGTGACAGAACATGAGAGAATGATTATTGTACTGTTCATAAGAGTTCATGAACAGTAAATGACTGAAGTGTTCCTGGCAGCTCATAAGCAGCTTATAATTTATGATAAAATGGTTAAAGTGGTAAAGTGGTTACTTGTGTGGACAGCAGTCATATTGTAAATATCCCCTAGATTATAGCCTTATAAATCAAGATATTGTCTATTAAAGAGCAATGCCCCCACCACATGTCCAGGTGCCATCCAAACAACATTAGTCATCACTTAAGACTATAGTGTCAGTAAAGTTGCCAAATTAAAAACAAAAGAAAGCTTAAAATGTATTTTCACATTTAGATATTGCAAGTCATCTAGTGCATATTGTCTGCAAGCAGAAGGGAAAGATAAATCATGTACACATCCTTGCATTAAATGTTGGATACAATGTGATGCCTGAGCTAACAACAGTAAGTTGCCCTCATTATTATTACTAGACAAGCAGATTGTTTCACTGCAAAAACAGAGCATTGAATGTAAGGAAACGCCATTTTCTAGGCAAGTCCCGGAGGCTCCCTGGAGCTATCCAGGCTGATATGTAACTATTAGCTTTCTGGCATCAGTCAAAATGCATGGAGTTCTTGCCTACCGGGAACCACGAGCTAGAACCTGGCCCCCCTCAGAGAGGCACAAGGAGCAATGGCCTATAGAAACTCCCAACTGTGTGTTTGGGAGCATTCTGTCCGACATCGACTGGGTCTGGCACCCAGAAAGATAGGTACCCCAAAACAAACTTCTATTTTGCTAAAAATATTGCTACCGAATGAGTGGACAGAATTCTCCAACAACAAGACCCACAAAGAGGGTACTAACACCCAAGTGGGGGTAAAAGGGGGCCCAAGGTCCCCAGGTCGACTTCTCCCCAGCCTCGGGATGCCCCAAGTCAGGACCCGGGACAGAGCAGTCCTCCATACCTTCTACCCCTGAAGAAAAGGCAGAGTCCAAGGGAAAGGCTGAAAAGAAGAGGGCCTGCTGGTGGGACCCAGAAGCCTTGTTAGGAGGACCTGGCTCCGATGCCTCTGTCCCCAACCCGAATTGGACAGCCCCAGAAGCTGCCTGAATCTCATTACCAACTAAACCCTGCCCCGACCCTTAAACCCTCAGACGTTTGTGAGCCGGAAGTAGGGAGGGGGGTGGGGGAAGTGCAGGATAAACTACAGGGGAAGGACCAGGGAGTGCGGGACTGAACCAAAATCGAAGCGAATGGTTCACCTCCAGGTCCGGGTCCCTATAACCAAAGCAGGGCGGTCGCGGGGCATACGGGTGGGAAACCAACCTACCGCATTTCAGCAACGTGGATGCTGCCTGTACCCTAACAGTATGTCATCAGAATGGTACTGGAGAACAAGCAGAGAACATGACTCACAAGACTCCAGGTCAAAGGTGTCGTTGACCCAACAGGCAGCATGACGGAGGGAAAAGCAATGACTGTCACCCTGAGACAAGGACACACAGCAACCTTCAAACTCGCACAAGGCTAGGTGGAACTCGGAAAACGCATGCAACGGTCCGGATACGGCTGCAAATGAACAAACCGACCACTAGGACCAAAGAGCAGAAACCCGTGCTGTAGGAGAGCATAAAGTTCTCAGACATGACCCCCAGAGGCCATTGGCCCCCAGTAGAAGGGGAAAAAAAAAAGAGCCTTAGAAAAACAATCCTGAACCGAAGGGATACCATCGACGAAGAAACCTGATCACCATACAAGTGGTGGTAAACCCACGTCAGAAAGACCAGACCAAATCGGGGGAGAAGATTGATCTAGCTACGTACCGGACCAGACTGATCTGCTGAAAGAGGCAGAGCCGCGGAAGAAACCCCAGGTTTGGACACCGAGCAAGCAGCACCTGAAACCAAGGCTGGGTCAACAGGACTACTCTTCTCCCGTAGTAAGTCTCCAACCGAGCCAGAACCCGAAGCAACAGCTAGACCGGGGAGAAGAGGACCTTGACCAGTCTTGATGAAAGGCATTAACCACGACGGCCTCAGTCGGGGAAGGGCGCCACATATACCGAGAGACTCCTCGACCAAGCCGGCTCGAAGAGGTCCACCACTAGACGCCTGTATGTCTGGCAGAGCCAACTGAAGGAGTCAGCATCAACCGTCCATTTTGTGGACAGAGGAATAAACCGAGAAAGGCCATCTGCCAGGACATTGGACACTCCCTGGATATGAACCGCCAGGAGAGCCAAATTCCATGAATCCAGCAGACGAGTCACCCGAAGGGACTAGCCCCAAAGAGTCAAGGACCACATCAAACCCCCACAGTTCAGACAATGAACCACTGGGGAGCAGTCCGAATGGAGCCAGATCGTCGATCCTCGAGCGACGAAAACCCTCTGAAGCGAAAGCCACACCGCCGCGAACTCCCACACCATGCTGTGAGCCCGACGGAAGAACGGACTCCTCCAACCCTGGCTGGTCTGGTGAACAATGGTCACAAAGCCCCAGCCAAGAGACGACACAGCAGCTCCCATCCCCCCCTAACATTCTCACACTACCCTACCCATCCCCCCTAACATTCTCACACTACCCTACCCATCCCCCCTAACATTCTCACACTACCCTACCCATCCCCCCTAACATTCTCACACTACCCTACCCATCACCCCTAACATTCTCACACTACCCTACCCATCCCCCCTAACATTCTCACACTACCCTACCCATCCCCCCTAACATTCTCACACTACCCTACCCATCCCCCCTAACATTCTCACACTACCCTACCCATCCCCCCTAACATTCTCACACTACCCTACCCATCCCCCCTAACATTCTCACACTACCCTACCCATCCCCCCTAACATTCTCACACTACCCTACCCATCCCCCCTAACATTCTCACACTACCCTACCCATCCCCCCCTAACATTCTCACACTACCCTACCCATCCCCCCTAACATTCTCACACTACCCTACCCATCCCCCCTAACATTCTCACACTACCCTACCCATCCCCCCTAACATTCTCACACTACCCTACCCATCCCCCCTAACATTCTCACACTACCCTACCCATCCCCCCTAACATTCTCACACTACCCTACCCATCCCCCCTAACATTCTCACACTACCCTACCCATCCCCCCTAACATTCTCACACTACCCTACCCATCCCCCCTAACATTCTCACACTACCCTACCCATCCCCCCTAACATTCTCTCACTACTCTACCCATCCCCCCTAACATTCTCACACTACCCTACCCATCCCCCCTAACATTCTCACACTACCCTACCCATTCCCCCTAACATTCTCACACTACCCTACCCATCCCCCCTAACATTCTCACACTACCCTACCCATCCCCCCTAACATTCTCACACTACCCTACCCATTCCCCCTAACATTCTCACACTACCCTACCCATCCCCCCTAACATTCTCTCACTACCCAACTCATCCCCTCCTAACATTCTTGACCTGTATATTAACCTATGGTATGATGACCTATGCAGTGGGTGGTCGGGACAACAGGAGTTGCCAGTCACAGTCAACCCATCTCCTCAACCCTTCCAACAACATGTTATCACTCAAAACCAACCTCGGTGTTATCACAATACTAAGACATCTGTCTGCTCATTATTCCTTTTAAAAGTCAACTTGCTAAAATTATATGAAATATGTAGGCACTGTATTTTGTAGTTACAAGGATACTCTATGAATTACTCTTCTGAATACCTGTTAACAAATTCCAAGTATTCATTTTGTACCAAGGCTTTAGAGCCATTATAAAATGCAGCCTTGACAAGATATCCAATTTTATAGGATCCAGAATTACAGGAATAAATATCAGAGTTTTCAGAAAGTGTTAGTTATAAAAAAGGTTTGGACACAAATGGTCCTCTGCACTGTAGAATGTTCTGTTAAACAAATTTGTTTGATACATTGATTTGTGTTGTAAAAATGACTATTCACCTTAATGTCATTCATGGGAGCTCCTTCACTAAGTACTGATGTTTCCAGGCTGTCATTACCACTATTGCCACGTGTCCATGAACACTCATCAGCAGGTAATGCTGAGGTGATAACACTAGCTCCATCTTCTGCATCACTTAGTGCCTTCTGGAATAAAAATGGTTTATCTATAATAGGTTTCCAAATCTATCAAAATTAAATTCTGTACAATTTTATATACAAATTATTATCAAAAACACAAGTACAGTACAAGTACTCCCTGTGGTTGGGGTATTCCTCCCTGGTGGTACAGGGAGTTCTCAGAAGATATCACCCTTTCATGCATAAAATCATTGAACTAACTCGCCGGACTTAAGGGTTATCTTCTTGAGGTTATCTTGAGATGATTTCGGAGCTTAGCGTCCCCGCGACCTGGTCCTTGACCAGGCTTCCTTTTTGTTACAAACACCCCAGGAAGCAGCCCATAGTAGCTGACTAACTCCCAGGTACCTATTTACTGCTAGGTAACAGGGGCAAGTTTTCATGAATTAATTGTTTTTCGACTACCTAACCTAACCTATAAAGATAAGATAAGATAGGTTAGGTTAGGTAAGGTTCGGTCATATATCTATGTTAATTTTAACTCCAATAAAAAAAAAAATTGACTTCATACATAATGAAATGGGTAGCTTCATCACTTCATAAGAAAAAAATTAGAAAAAATATATTAATTCAGGAAAACTCGGCCAGCTATGCAAGGCCCGATTTGCCTAATAAAGGCAAATCGGGCCTTGCATAGCTGGCCGAGTATGACATTCTGGCTACTAGGTACAACACACACACACACACACACACACTTGATAGGGAAGACGGGACACCACGAGCGTAGCTCTCATCCTGTAACTACACTTAGGTAATTACACTTAGGTAATTACACACACACACACATATATATATATATATATATATATATATATATATATATATATATATATATATATATATATATATATATATATATTTTATTTATTAACACACATCCACTCATACCTATATACAGCCAAATACATAACACTGACATGCGGTTTGATGGTTAATGGTTAATGGAAGTACAATAAAATGTAGTAGTTATTTAAAGTACCTGAGTTTGATAAAGAGTTGAACAATGGGTGCTTGAGGTGGAATGAGAGAGAACCAAATGCTTCTGAGGAGTCTCCAAGTTCTCTGTAGAATCTGAGGTAGCAGATGCTTGGCCATCCCCCACAACTGACTTGGACACAAATTTCTGAAAATTATTTCATCACTCACATATTAATGCTCTGGCAGTCCTTAGTTATCCAAGGCTTTTTGTCAGGATGGTGAATTGGTTTCTGTTCTGCATGCTGGCACAACTAAAATTATTACAATTAAACTCACTACAGATAATAATAATAATAATAATAATAATAATAATAATAATAATAATAAGTCTTGAATGTAATGAAAAGCCACTTTCTGGGTGAGACCAGGAGGCTCCCTGGAGCTATCCAGGCTGATATTAATATATTAAACCCTGGCATCAGTCAATGTGCATGGAGTTCTAGGCCTACCGGGGACTAGCCTAGTTCCACATCAGCTACAGAACTGTAGGGTGGATAGCCGGTACAGGGGTCTGCAGCTCCCCCTTCCCACTCCCGGGGAGGGGGGGGGGCAGGGTTGGGGGTTGCTAAGATAGCGGCATGGTGGTGGTGTGACATAATGCTCGTTTGCTCGTTTTCATTTGGGGAGTTCTGTCCACTAGTTCAGCTTACAGTAGCAATATTTTAACCAGAATAAGGGTTTGTTTTGGGGCACTTACCTTTCAGGGTACCTGACCCTGTCAATGGCAGACATAGAATGCTTCCAACCACACAGGGGTTTATATAGGCCATTGCTGCTCATGCCTCTTGAGGAGGCCAGGTTCTGGTAGGCTTAGAACTCCATGCACATTGACTGATGCCAGGGGTTTAATGCATTCATATCAGCTTGGATATGTCGAAGGGGCTCCCCCCCAGAAATAATAATAATTATAATAATAATAATAATAATAATAATAATTTTATATTCCCAGGTACTGATTCTGGATTTCTATGTACTGTACAGCATTTATATGTCACATGGCTATGTACTGTGTTTATGTATCACATCTCATGTCTATGAACTGTGTGTATGTATAGTATCATCACTTGCATGGTGATGGACTTTGTATATGCATCACATCACTCAAGTCTGTGTGTAACAAGCTAAGATGGTTTAAGAAGTTTATACCTCTTGTATTATATTGTATACATGGACAATTTGGTTGTTGGGAGTGCAAGTGTAGTTCTGACCTGTTTCTTGCAAAAGGTCGGACTACAGGGTTTAGAGCTTGTATGTGTTAGCAAGGTTGTCTAATCCCTGTAGTCCGACCCTTTGCAAGAAACAGGTCAGAACTACACTCTCACTCCCAACAACCAAATTGTCCATGTATACAATATAATACAAGAGGTATAAACTTCTTAAACCATCTTAGCTTGTTACATGTGTACTGTGTCACATGTCACTGTACTGAGTCATATGTCACTGTACTGTGTCACATGTCATTGTACTGTGTACTGTGAATCCTTCACAGTACATGGATTAGTAAATACGTGAATTTAGAGACAATTCTATAACCAATGTTCCAGCGATGTGTCAATATTTCATTCAAAATGATCTGCTACCAGAAATTTTAGCCAAATATCCCCAGTTTGCTAACTGTAGGTAGTTACTAAGTGATTGTAACCTATCCACCGCTGCCCACTGGATGGGGGGCGGTGTGCAGGACAAATATATCAATTGTGACACTAGCTCTCCACATATGTCAGTTGCTTAATTTAGAACCTGTACTTGAGGTCGATCTCGAACCCATTGTTGATGTGACGACTTATATTGAATTTTGTAACTAGCTCATCAAGATTGTAACTTGCTTAGCTAAATGAATTGTGGGGTTCAGTCCCTGAGCCCATTATGTGCCTCTGTAACCCTTTCCACTACCGCCCACAAGATGGGTATGGGGTGCATAATAAATGAACTAAACTAACTAAACATTACTCATATATATCTGTACTTTGTTAAAGGTTTATATACTGTGTACGTATTTATGTAACATATCTATGTACAGTACTGTGTATTATGTTTGTGTACTGTGCATTGTGTGTTACATGTGTTTGTACTGTGTGACACAAACATATATTCAAATGTAAAAGCATACTAATTTGATAATTGTCTTACATCCTTTCCAGTATAGCTGCCATACCCTTGACCTCGTCCACGTCCTCGTCCTCTTGGGTTCCTATTTCCTCGAGCCCAGCCCTTCTGATGCTGCTTGTCCCCACCGTGGCCATTACTTTCTTCAAACTCACGCTCATTATGGTCAATATAGGATGCAGGTTTTCCCCTACGACCTGAGCCAACTCGTACAAATTTCCCTAAAAGTAAAGACCCATAAAATACAGGTTATAATTAGTGGTAATACTTGTACCATAATTTCTCGGTAATCTCACTTGGTTGCTCCTTAAGTAAGATTACATGGTATTGGTAATAGTAATGTGTAGTCAGGTGGGGTGACAATCTGGCACCCCTAACACTTGGAACTTTTCCAGTGGTTCCTGCAGGTTCATAACAGTAAAAAGGAGCTCTGGACAATACCATTCAGCTTGAATGACCTCCAGAATCATATATCAAATAAACTCTGAACTGTCTATGGCATTACAAATTTCATTAACCACTGTGCTGCTCGCCTTCCAAATACGCCCCCCCCCCCCAGTGCGCAGGAAATAAATTCTCGGGAAAAATTATTTTTGTTTTTGAAAATGTTAAATACCCTTCCCTGATCACAAATATGTAAGAAAAAAATCGAAATTGTAATTAATTTGGCCGCAATGGGGTCTGAAAAATGGCATGTGATGACACGATTTGGTGGTTCCCCGTGACGTAGACTCCCGAAGCCAGTTGCCCGCCAGCTTCAACATGTGTGAGTTGTCACAAATATATTTTTATTAATTTTTTGCGTACATTTCCAAATACATTTTTGTTTTTTTCTTGCCAATCCAAAGTATAATGAACACGTACACAATATTATGACAGTAGAACATCCGTACTGTCCCAAGACACTTGTGTGTGTCTCAAATGTGTCCACATATATTGCTTATATATCCAATGTTTCATGTTCATTTATGTATATTTACAACATATTTACACACTATACACTGTCACACACTATATACATTTACCATCAACACACTCAGAACCCCACGAGTGTGAGCTGCCACACCCAGCCAGCCCTCCCTCATTCCTCCAACTTTTATTACACTATTTACATACCTTCTGTATACGTATCTAATGTTTTATTTACCATAACTATGCAAGCAGGTATTGTGTCCAAACAGCATAATGGCCACCATACACTGCATGAGAAATCACACAGTAGCCAGCAGACGCTACGATTACGACGCCACCTCCCCTCACCAAAATGGCTCCTCCCAACATACTCCTGTTGCTGTTCATACACTATATACACACATTGTATATACCCATGTACATATGTGTTCACAACAGCAAACCACTAAGCTAGTATGGTGAGCAAAACGAGTGACTGCCATGTTACATATTCCTAGTTGGATACTTATATAAATTCATGATAAAACTTATTAAGTGTTTATAATGTACTCCCAGCTCGCACATGGTCTGTAGAGACAGGCCACACCACAAGACACAAACAGACAAAATTAGGAGCCAGAGGCACAAGACCTCGCCAGTATCACATCAGCCAAGAACTAAAGGGTGGATCACCGGCGTGAGGGTCTGGGGGCTCCCCCCCTCCCCATCACAGGGTGGGGGTGGGGGGTTGAGCACAGACAGCGGCGCGGCAACATGACATCACGCTCGTTTTGCTAATTTTCATAGGGAGTTCTGTTGACTCGTTCGACTTTCGGTAGCAATATTTTCACCAGAATAGGGGTTTGTTCTGAAGTGCCTACCTTTCTGGGTGCCAGACCCAGTCAATGACAGACAGAATGGTTCCAACCACATGGGGGTTTCTAAAGGCCATTGCTCATCGCCCACCTCTGAGGGGGCCAGGTTCTGGCTCGTGGTCCCCGATAGGCAAGAATTCCATGCACATTGACTGATGCCAGAAAGCTAATATATCCATATCAACCTGGATAGCTCCGGTGAGCCGACAGGGCTCCCCTTTAGAAAATAGGAATATGCGGGAAATATATAGCCACTCTTGAGAAATCCAGTTTAATTTTCTCCACACCTTCCGTGTTAAACCAAGCTTCCATTGCAACTGGACTTTCCTAATTGTATTTTTTGTCACTTGGATACCAAAGTCACATTGAAATAAACAAGTATATTAATATAAATGATGATTTTCTGTGTTGCAATCAAGCAGGCCACATGGGAAGACTACAGGTACTACAATATCTGTCCCTGTAGGGTCATATAAGGTACTTAGGAATCACTTGGAGACGGTGGCCATCTAGCCAAAATAACTAGTGCTCAATTGGTCTGTTCATAAACATTCCAGAATTCTTAGAGACATCACTCTTGGAGCCACCAATGGTAACCTGGGAGTGCCATAATCTGTCAGTTATGAACATGCTTGCACTGACATGGAGGCTTCTAACATGGAGGGAAGATTTTATGTCTAACAGAAAAATGAGGGTAGTAATCAGAGGCAATGTATTGGACTCAAGAAATATCATGAGTGGAGTACCACAGGGTTCAGTTCTTGCACCGGTAATGTACATCATCTAAATAAATGATCTACCATAAGGAATACAGAATTATATGAACATATTTGGGGATGATGCTAAGATACTGGGGAACAAGGGAGACGCAGATGATTGTAATGCCCTTTAAATTGATCTAGATAAAATAAGTACTTGGAGCTTCAAGTGGCAAATGGAATTCAATGTCAAAAATACAATGTTATTGAATGTGGAATCGGAGAAAATAGACCACACACAACATATAAATCATGTGGCAAGGAATTACAGAACTCTAGGAATTACAAAAGAACGAGACCTAAGGGTGATTTTGGATAGTAAGCTGTCACCAGAGGAACACAAAAAACATTGTGACAGGAGTGTATGTGTCACTTTCCAACTTCAGACTTGGTTTTAATTACAGTATATGGATGGTGAAATACTAAAGAAACTGTTTATGACTTTTGTGAGACCAAAACTGAAATATGCAGTAGTTGTATGGTGCCCAAATCTCAAGAAGCACATAAATTGGAAAAGGTGCAGCAGCATGCTACAAAATGGCTTCCTGAACAAAAAAAACAAGAGTTACAAGGAGAGACTAGAGGTGCTAAACATGCCAAAACTAGAAGATAGAAGAACGAGAGGTGATATGATTGATCACCACTTACAAAATACTAATAGGAATAGACCAAGTTAATAAAGAGGAATTCCTGAAACCAGAAACTACACTAACAAGAGAACACAGTTTCAATCTAAGAAAACAGAGGTGCCGTAAAATTATTAAACAATTTTCTTTTGCAAACAGAGTGGTAGACGGTTGGGACAAAGTGAGGTGGTGGTGGAGGCCATAACCGTCAGTATTTTCAAAGCGTTATACAACAATGAGTGCTGGGAAGACGGGACACCACAAGCATAGCTCTCATCCTGTAACTACGCTTAAGTAATTACTCGTAGGTAATTACACACACACACATTCATGTACTTTCTCTTGAGTACTTTTTATATTTTTTTACTTTTTTTCATTTGCAGTCTGCAAAGCTGGACATTGCTTTAAATAAAGTAAGTTTAACATCTAGGGAGAAAAGTGGAAGGGTGACATTACCCATTACTTTGTTACACGTACACCCTTCTCTTGCAAGTGGTCCTTCTACCTGCTTGGTTACAGTGTGCAAGGCTCTAACACCTTTCCTTTATAATGGTATATTGCCTTACAAATACACATACAGCATTGGTATTAGCAAGACCTAATGTTCTTGCAGTCCACTTTTTAAGCAATAACTCACCAAATTGCCTCAGACTGTTATAGTTTCTTTTGAGCATCTTGCACTCTCATTACAGTCTTTTGTTTTATATATTAGTTTCTGCTACAGTACTAAATTAAAACTCAAATACTTGTAACTGCTTCTCCTTCATCCTTACCAGCAGTGCTTTGATTAGTAGTAGCAACAGATACTGTGAAGGAATCACCATGGCCCTCTATCGTGCGCTCGTCAAACACACCATCATGCTCTAACTCTGCCACAATTTCTTCTTCATGCCTCTGGGCTATAGATATTTAAAATAATCATGAGATAAATTAAAAAATACACCTACACTTACAAAATAATAATACTATATATAAAAATTATCTTCCATTGTGTTGTATAGTGTCAATCTTGCGGGTCTATATTAACATTTGAAAACTCTGTAAATCCATCCAAATATGATTGCATTATGTTTATAACAACTTTTGTGTAACATTTGAAGATATTCAGGTGTAAGCTCATGCAAATGGTGGTCATACTCCTCACATATATTACTCGCAATATTTTTGTTTACAAATGTACTAGAATACAGGCTAATGAAATGATAACATCTATTTATATACATTGCGGACGACCTGAGAGACCCAAACACTAGAACAGGGAAGAAAGGAAATCTGATCAACCCAAAGCGCGTCCCCGGTCAGAGTCCGTGGTGCGCAAATAACAGCAGAGAGCCGCAACCGGACACAACACATGATGCACCCCCAGCCTGACCAACCAAGCATCAATAACCCAAGGACCCCTCTGGAAAGCAGCAGTCTCATTCTTCGCCAGAAAAGGAGGAGATGGCTACAAACGAATGAACCTATCACCTCGACCAAAAGAGCAGAAACCCCTGCACCGGTGAAGAGCATGTAGCTCCCCAACCCGACCCCTAGAGCCAACAAAAAAAAGCCTTAGAAAACAATCCTGAACCATAGGGGCTACACAACAACAAACCGAGGAGAAGACAAATAAGAGTCCATTCTGTTCAAAGACCAGGATGGCTCAGGTGGCGCATGAGCAGGCCAGAGGTGAAACAACGTCCGAGACAGCTTGCGAAACGGTGCAGAAGTAACATCAATACCGAAAGCAAACTCTGCACGATATGAGGTGACAGTATTCGGCATAAGATGACGGTCTTGAAACAGCCACGAGAAAAGACAAAACAACCTGAACCAAAAGCAAAGTACAGCGACGAAGAGACAAAAAGAACCAGAAGGGCCGTCAGGAAACTTCATACTGCCGCCAAGACAAAGCCTGCAGGTGGGACACCATCAAAGAAGACACATGATCACCATACAGATGGTGATAGACTCGACTCAAAAAGACCAACTGCAAAAACTCAAGAAGAAGATCGAACCAGTCTCGTAATGGACCGGAGCGATCTGCTGATTGGTCCTCTGCTGAAAAAGGCAGAAAACCTCCAAGTTCAGACACCGAGCAAGCAGCGTCTGAAACCAAGGCTGAGCTGGCCACCATGGCGCCAAGAAGACTGCTCTCCCCTGGTAAGTCTCCTAGCAAGCAACCTGGAGCAACTGCTGGAAGGTAGGTACAGGAACCTCGACCAGTCCTGCCGAAAGGTATCGACCTCGACTACCTTGCGGCACATATACTGGAAGACACCTCGACCACGCTGATGTGAAGAGGTCCACCTCCAGGTGCACGAACTCATTCAGATGGCAGAGCCATCTGAATGAGTTGGTGTCGACCGTCCATTCGGTGGACAGGGGAATGAACCAGGACTGGCCGTCTGCCTGGATGTTGGACACCCCCCCCCCCCCGGACGTGAATAGCCAGGAGAGCCAAACATCGAAAACTCAGCAGATGAGTCACCCGAAGCGACCAGCCCTAAATAGCCAAGGACCGCATCGATCCCCTTCGGTTCAGGCAATGAAGCACCAGGGAGCATTCTGAACGGAGCCGGATTGTCGATACGATACGACCCGATTCCTCCGAAGCGAAAACCACACCCCTGTGAACTCCCGCACCGTGCTGTGGGCCCGACGAAAGAACAGACCCTACTGCTCCTGGCTGGCCTGGTGAACACTGGTCACAAAGCCCCAGCCGAGAGATAACGCGTCCATGAATACATCGAGCGAGGGCTCTGGTAGGCGCCAAGGCACTGAACCCCGAAAAACCCGAAGAGGAAGCCGGTGACGCAGCAGCCAACACAAGGCCCCCAGGGTAGAACCTCATAAACCCAGTATGGAGATAAAGACCCAAACCTGAAGGAAGATGGGTCCATTATAGGGGCATAATCCGGGTTGCGCAGGGGTAAGCCGCAATGGCCGCGTCTCGCCTACTGCACCTCAGTAGGCGAGATACGGGAAGCCGAAAACCTCCAGAAGGACGGAACCGAAGGATTCGCAGGGATACGGAATCAAACCTGGAAAAGAGCCGAACCAAAATCCAACTTGTATGCAGAGGATAGGGAGGGGGGGGGGGGGGCCGAGAAAACCCCACTCCTTGTAACAGAAAGCCCGCTCTGAGGATTGGAAAACCAAGGCGGAGACCAACGGGGCAGCTTAAGCCCCTCCCCAACCTCGGCAACCCTGTGAACTCTCACACCAAGCCCTTACCTTGAGGTTACCTTGAGGTGATTCCGGGTCTCAGCGACCCCACGGCCCAGTCGTCGACCAGGCCTCCTCGTTGCTGAACTGGTCAACCAGGCTGTTGGACGCGGCTGCTCGCAGCCTGATGTATAAGTCACAGCTTGGTTGATCAGGTATCCTTTGGAGATGTTTGTCAAGTTCTCTCTTGAACACTGTGAGGGGGTCGGCTAGTTATGCCCCTTATGTGTAGTGGAAGCGTGTTCAACAGTCTCGGGCCTCTGATGTTGATAGAGTTCTCTCTCGAGTACCTGTTGCACCTCTGCTCATGCAGTGTTATTTCTGTGTGCAGGTTTGGGACCAGCCCCTCTACTATTTTCCATGTGTAAATTATTATGTATCTCTCCCGCCTGCGCTCAAGAGAATACAGGTTTAAGCTCTTTAGTCGGTCCCAATAGTTTGGATGTTTTACCGAGTGGATTCTAGCAGTAAAGGATCTCTGCACACTCTCCAGGTCAGCAATTTCTCCAGCTTTGAAAGGGGCTGTCATTGTGCAGCAGTATTCCGCTCTAGAGAGTACTAGCGTCTTGAAAAGTATCATCATCGGTATAGCATCTCTAGTGTGAAAGGTTCTTGTTATCCAACCTGTCATTTTTCTTGCGGCTGTCCAAAGTCCCGGCCTCACAAGAAATAGCCGGGGTGGCCAGAAAAGGAGGAAGAGGAAGACCCACTGGTCAGACCCCAGTGCCACGGCAGGAGGAATGGACTCGAATGCCTCCATCCCCACCCCGGAAGGGGCAACCCCTGAAACTGCCAGAGTCTCAGAAACCTCTAAACCCCGCCCCAACTCCAAAGCCCTCAGATGCTTCGGAGCTGGATGCCAGGGGGATGGGGGGAACAGAATGAAAGCAGGGCAGGGGAAGAATGAGGGGGTGCAGACTGCACCAAGGCCGAAGCGACCAACACCCCGAAGTCCAGATCGCTCTAAGCAAAACAGGTCAGGCTCGGGGCATCCGAGGAAGCAATCAACTTAGAATGTTGCAGGAACCTATACCTAGCATACAACGCTTGAGCCGCCTGCACCCGAATAATGTCATCAGTTGATAGGGTGAATTGAGTCACAAACAAGCAACGATGCTCCCAGGACTTAGGGTTGAAGGTGTCACCTGCCCAACAGGCAGCATGACGGAGGCCAAAAATAATGAGTGTCGTCCTGAGACAAGGGGGGACAGAGCAACCCTCAAACTCACACATGGCGAGAGGAAACCCAGGGGTCGCATCCATTGGACCCTGTGCGCCCCTAGACTGGTATCGATAAGGGTAAGCCCAGGCAGAGTACTGCTAACTAGTGCCCAAATCTACCAAACAAACTTCTAAAACTGAATCTCTGGTATATGTCCACTCACTGAGGCCAAGCAGGGGGTACCACCAAACACCGGAGGTCAAGACCCTAATATAACTGGGGCAAGGGACACAAGGCAGACCCCCACCAGGCAGAAACAAAAAGAAAAAGAAAAACCCTGGAAGTGGACAATGTACCCCTGACAGAGCCGGCCGCTATAATAGGTGAAAACTAGTTGCGTAGTACCCTGTACCCCACCAGTGCAAAACTACCACTTACCCCAAGGTAAACAAGGGAGGAAAGCCCCCTAACACACTCGGGGCATTCAATCACAGAGAAAAATGGGGCTAGTAATTGGAGGCAATGCATGGGACTGGAAAAATGTCATGAGTGGTGTATTGCAGGATTCAGTTCTTGCACCGATAATGTTGACTGTCTTTAAAAACAACCTACCAGAAGGAATACAGAATTATATGAACGTTTCCTGACGATGATAATAAGAAACTTAGATGATTGTCATGCTCTTTAAGAAGACCTGGACAAAATAATTGTATGGAGCACCACTTGGCAAATGAAATTTAATGTGGATAAATGCCATACTATGGAATGTGGAATAGAAGAAAATAGACCACACAACCTACAAATTATATGAAAAAGAATTTAAAAAATGTTGATAAAGAAAGAGATCTATGGGTGGTTCTAGATATTAAACTATCACCTGAAGACCACATAAAGAACATTGTGTGAGGAGCCTATGCTAGGCTTTCAAATTTCATAATTACTTTTAAATACATGGATTGTGAAATACTAAAGAAATTGCTCACAACCTTTTTGAGACCAATGCTGGAATATGCAGCAGTTGTATGGTGCCCATATCTTAAGAAGCACAACAACAAACTGGAAAAGGTGAAAAAGACATGCAACTAAATAGCTCATAGAACTGACAGACAAGAGCTACGAGGAGACGATACAGGCAATAAACACTGTATACAAAAACTAAAAGAGGGAAGAAAAAGAGGCAATATGATCACTACATACAAAATAATAATGGGAATCGACAAAACTGATAGGGAAGAATTCTCGAGACCTGAAACTTCAAGAACAAAAAGTCATACAGTACATTTAACTTATCACTTATGTTATTTTATGACTTATAACATAATTTTCTTATGTTAACTAAACATAAGAAAATTCACTTATGCAAACAGTGGTAAATGGTTGGAACAAGTTAAATGAGAAAGTGGTGGAGGCCAAAACAGTCAGTAGTTTCAAAGTTATATGACAGTGCTGGGAAGGTGGGACACCACACACATAGCTCTCATCCTGTAAATACACTGAGGTAATTATATCTGTTTATATCACAATCACTTGGACATTTTAAAATATTTTGTATATTTTCTTTCAAGTTTTTTGTAACAAATTTTACCCTAGGAAATACATTAAATCCACAGAAATCTCTCATTATTTTTCTACTGGAACCTTTTCTATTAGCTTCTTATTTACAAAACAAAATCCTTCCATTGCATATCGATTTCTGGAAGACAAAGTTCCGCAGGAGCCAAGTCTCCTGTAGTTCCAAGTCGTACAAATTTTACTAACATACCTGCTTGATGGGGTTCTGGGAGTTCTCCTACTCCCCTATTCCCCTCCCCCAAGCCAGATCCGAGGCCAGGCTTGACCAAGAGGCAATATTCATTTGCTTGGACTCAAAGATTTATTTTAGCAATATATGCTAAATACAGTAGAGTAAATGAAGAAGGTTTTACAATGTTGAAATTGTGTCTATGTATGTATTAACACAAAGTACTGAACGGGGTGAGAACAGCTTGAGCTACCTCATCCCTTTGTGTGTATTTTACCTCAATAAACTTATTTCAATTTCAAAGTTGAAATTTCTGTAACTTGATAAAGAACATAAAGTGTGTACACTACCATTAATCTCAGGAGTCGCGTAATTCCCTCGGCCTCTATAGCTCGAGCGGGAGCCACGGCCAGCATTAGATCTACGGTCTCCCTGTTGTCCTTGAGAAGGAGGGTGACCAGCTTGAGGGTGACCAACTTGCACTTGGCCTGAATCCCCAGCTTCAGCCTCGGGAGTAATTACAAAATCACCCAGCTTTATAGCTTCACCTGCAATAAAACATTATTCCAATAATGTTGTAAAGGAAGAAAGCTTCAGTAACATCAAGAGAAGAAAACTAAAAGATATTTTTACATTCTACAAATGAAATTATATATTAAAAATCAGCAAAAAGTTAAATTTGTGATTTTTCTCAATGAGTTTAGCAAAATCTTTTATTGTTAATCAGAAAAGATTGTTGTGTTAGCTTAACTGTGCTCAGTCAAGGTATGATCACAACATAGAAGATATATACAGTAAAAAGTATCATCATAATACTGTACAGTAAATACATAAAGGCTGTATGAAAGTGGCGGGGTAATAAGTGGAATGCATTAGGAGAAGAGGTTGGGGGGAGGCAGATTTCGAAAGTGAACTAAAATGTTATGAGTGTGTTAGAACCATGTGGTTGAGATTGTGTCACTTTGGTTGATAAATTGATAACAGGCAGAAGCCCAATGGGTGGAGTTTTATCCCGGAAAATATTTGTACTCGGAAGTACTCCTGGCCACCATACTAAAACAGCAGAGAATGCCACACGAGGCAAACACCGCCCAGGAATTTGAGGTCAGAGAAACGTCTGTCCCGGTTGACGCTAGCTTACGAACTGAAGGCAGCCGGCGTGGTGAGGTCTGGGGCCCCCCCTCCCCCTCCCGGGGAGGGGAGGGCTGTGTGGACAACTGGCGCAGCAGTAAATTGATTGTTTGATTGTTTCCTTGGGATCGTAGGGAGCTTTCTACCTCTCTGTTCGGTTTTTGTGTGTAGTTTTTACCATGTGGGGTTTGTTTTGTTACACCTACCTTTCTGGGTGCCTAATCCCGGTTGATGGCAGATAAGGAAAAACCCCAACCATAATAGGGTTTTCCAGGGCCATTGCTCCCTGAAACCTCTCTGAAGGGGCCAGGTTCTGGCGCTGGTCCCTGGTAGGTCTGAACTCCATAGCTAATGTTCCGGTCTAACATAACATACATTAGCCCGATAAGCTCCGTAGGGGCTCCCACAGAAAATCACTGTTTGGCGCTCACGGCTAGTTATCGACAAAGTTTTTATTTGGTGCCAGTGTAATACTTCCTTGTGTGACATTTTATACACATGTTCTTCTAGAACATTCTATTGCGAACACATTGCTACAAAAATGAAATACGTACATTGAAAATTAAGGTCAGGACAGTGAAAAGAGTATACACTTTTCAATAGGGGTCTCGCCGATGTGTCATCGGGTGTGCAGTAACGGGTAACACTTCCGCCACTTCCCACACTCTTGTGGGTGGGCCGCAATCATGATTCTACATTTATATGCATATGTACAAGTAGGGAATTTTATTGCGATCTCTGTGATACCAAATTTAATGCCGTAGGACAAGTGTGGAGTTGACAACCCTAAAAAGAGAAGAAACATTTCGTAGCTGTTTGGCGCTCACGGCTAGTGATCGACGTAGTTCTTTATTTGGTGCCAGTCTAATGCATCCTTGTGTGACATTTTATAAGTATGTTCTTCTAGAACATTCTATTGCAAACACATTGCTACAAAAATGAAATACGTACATCGAAAATTAAGGTCAGGACAGTGAAAAGAGTACTGTATACACTTTTCAGTGTTGCCGCTCGATCACCCGAAATGCTGCGCGCACTTGGGGCAAGTTTTTTTTTGTTTGTGGAGGGCGCGAAAGTGTTAAATGAGATACTTACTGGATTATACACCAGTAGAATTTAGGAAAATGGGAAAACTTACTTTTACTTCTTGGATACCTGGGATCATAAACTGCCTCTGTTTCCTCCACATTCCTTGAAAAAATAAATGGAATTTACATAATGATTAAAATAAATCAATAGTATACAGTATTGTTACATGAGAACATAAGAATAAAGGTAACTGCAGAAGGCCTATTGGCCCACACGAGGCAGTTCCTATTTATAACCACCCAATCCCACTCGTATACATGTCCAACTCATGTTTGAAACAATCGAGGGATCCCACTTCCACCATGTTCTGTGGTAATTGGTTCCACAAATCAACAACCCTGTTACCGAATCAGTATTTACCCAGATCCTTCCTAAATCTACTTATCCAATTTATACCCATTGTTTCGTGTTCTTTCTTGTGTTGATACTTTTAATACTCTATTAATATCCCCTTTTTTATGTCCATTCATCCATTTGTAAACCTCTATCATGTCATCCCTAACTCTTCACCATTCCAGCAAATGTAATTTAAGCTTTCTCATATGACACGTTTCTAATTTGCGGGATTAACTTTGTCATCCCACGCTGGACGCGTTCTAGTGAATTAGCATCCATTATATAGCACGGCGACCAAAACTGATCTGCATAATCTAAATGGGGCATAACCAGAGCAAGATGTAACTGAAGAACAACATCGGGTGTCTTATTAGTAATGCTTCGATTAATAAATTCGTGTCCTATTTGCCTTTTTACGAACATTCATGCACTGATTTTTTAGTTTTAAATTCTTACTAATCATAACTCCCAGATCCCTTTCACAATCTCAACACCATCTAGCAATAAAATATCTTGTAACTATATCATCATTACCTAGCCTCAAAACCTTACATTCGTCAGCATTTAACTGCATCTATCAGTCTTTTGATTATTTCAAAACCCTATTTAGATCATTTTGATGTGATAGCGAGTTTTTTCGTGTTTATTTCCCTTCCGATTTTTGTATCGGCAAATTTGCAAATATTGCTGCTCAAACATGAATCTAAATCATTTATATATACTATGAATAACAGAGGTACCATGACAGAACCTTGAGGCACTCCACTTACAGCATTTTCCCACTCAGACTTAACCCCATTTATACTAACTGTTTCCTTTGGTATAGCCATGCCCTAATTCAACTTAATATAGCACCCCCAATATCGTGAACCTCTAAAAAAGTCAGAGGGAACTTACTTTGCAGAAAAGAAATGGAACAAAAATAGAATAGACATACACTAGATGAAAAAGAAATGATCTATGAGAGCAGGAAGCAGGAGGCAAAAGCCCAAGGCTGGAGAAGAAGCAGAAAAGAACAAAATTTTTCCCAGTGCCACACAAGAAAGGCAAGATAAGCTGCGAAGAACAGCCAAACAATCCAAAGAAGGGCAGAAAACAAAATGAACAAGAACCCAGAGAAAGTGATCCAAGAATATACCCTTTTCCTGTAGGGAAAATAGCAACTATGGCAAACACTGAAATTGCAACCCTGTCCAAACATCTGATGTCCATTTTTCTTTCTACATTTAGCAGAGCAAGATCAGTCTGCCTTGACCCCATGGAGGCTCTCAAATATCAAAGTACTGTATTAGTTTTAACTTGAATAATCTTTCACAGCTGGTGATGGTGTGGAAACTGCGATGGTTAGCATTTTCTGAATAGCAATGTAAGGATTAAGGAAGATGCTCTCTTCTCCACACTGAACAATAAATTTGAGAAGCTCTTTGGGTCTTGATATTTTCACATTAGGCTGAATTGATATTAATGTTCTGCAATACAAGAATTTTTCATACAAGTGCTGTCCATCAACATCAGTTCACATCCTCCACGAGTCAGTCGGAAGATAGCTCCAGGAGGGAAAAGAAGCACAAGGCCGCAACCAAAATGCACCTAGCGTGCAAGTCCTCCGCCACCTGCGCCACTGAAAGGGAGGGAACCTGTACATGGAACTGAACGACACCAACATCCTGGGCATGGGCAGGAGCAAACAAGCACTCATTGAGGTGCTCAAGGTCGCCCCACAGGAAAACCTGAAGCACCGTCGAAGCCTCCCGCCACTCAAGCGTGCGGGAACGGCAGCAAGAGTGCCAAGCTTCCGAGGAAAAGACAGGACAGTCCGCCAGCAAGGACGACTCCAGAACCTCGTAACGGAGCCAGAAAGGGAACGAAGTCCCAAACCTGAAAGCCGAGGGATCCATTGCCAAGGCATAATCCGGGTCACACAGGAGGTTTGCCACAAGGGCCGCTTGCACTGCAGCAGGTTGGATGCGATAAGCCGAAAACCTCTAGAATGATAGAACCGAAGCACCCGGGAGAATACAGAACTGAACCAGAGGGGGGGGGGGGAAGACACCAAATCCAACTCGAATGCAGAGGGGGATAAAGAAAACCCCACTCCCTGTAACAGTAAGCCCCACTCAGAGGGTAGAAAAACCCAGGCGGGGTCCAGCGGGGCCCTAAGACCTCCAAGTCAGCCCCTCCCCAGCCACAGGGTCCTCCTCCACAGGACCCGGGGCCGAGTCCTCCCCCCCCAAGCACCGACCCCACTAGACAAGGCGGGTGCAGTCATAGAAACTGGATAGAATGAGGCCCACTGGTCAGACCCAGAGGCTTTGGCCAGGGGAGGAGACTCGAATGCCTCAGTCGCCACATCAGAAGGGGCATCCCCCCCCGAGGCTGCCCAATTCTCAAGACCAACTAACCCCTGCCACAACTCTGAAACCCTCAGACGTTTCAAGGCTGGAAGCAGGGGAGGGGGACCAGAACCTACACCAGGAGGGGAAGGACTAGGAAGTGCAGACTGAACCAGGATCGAAGCGACCCCCACCCCCAAGTTTGGGTCCCTATAAGCAAAACAGGGCAGCCGCGGGGCATCCGGGTGAGCAACCAACCGAGCGCGTGCCAACAAACGAAACCTAGAATGCAACACCTGTGCAGCCTGTACCCGAAGATGATAATTCACAGATTGGGTAAATTGAGTAAGCAGCAATACTCACAAGACTCAGGGTCGAAAGTGTCACCCAACAGGCTGCGTGACGGAGGCAAAAACAGTGAGGGTCGCCCTGAGACAAGGGGACTGAATAACCCTCAAACTCGCATGAAGCGTGGGGGGACCCCGGGGTCACATCCATCGGACCCACGCGTCCCCTAGGGGATTCCCAGGGCCCTGAACTTTTACTGGAAGAGGACTCGCGCCCAGGTAAACCCAGGCAGGGTACTGCTAACCGGCGCCCAAAACTACCAAACAAACTGTCTAAAGCCGAACCCCAGGGACGTGTACACTCACGGGGACCAAGCAGGGGGCACCACTAAGTATCAGGGGTGAGGCCAAACACCAGTGGCAAAAAGGGCAGAACCCCCCACCAAGACAAAATCAAAAAGAAAAACAAAACCCGCAAGAGGACAACGTACCCAAGGAACAGAGACGGCCGCTGTGATAGGTGACAACTAGCTGCGCAGCACTCTGCGCCCCTTACCAGTGCAAAAACTGTCTCTAACCCTAAGATAAACTAGGAAGACAAAACACCCAAGTACCCAAAGGGCGGCTGAAAAACCGAGTAGTTAAACAGACACACAGAGGCAGACCCCGAGGAACTTGTGGGAGGTAACCCCAAGCTCCAAAGGCAGTACTTGCAAGGTTCCTGGGGAAGGGAACCCTAGGCGCATGCAGCCAGAGTACTGAGGAATAACTCCTGGCTCTCACACCCTTGGAGTACAGAAGCCATACACAAGGCACAGCACCGCAAAAAGACTGGAGCCAAAGCACACAACCGACCCGATAGCATCAGCCTCAAGAACTGAGGTGTAGATCGCTGGTGTGGTAGGTCTGGGGCTACAGACAGCGACGTGACAACGGGTGACATCATACTAGTTTGCTCGTTTTTGTTTGGGGAGTTCTATCTACTCGTTTGGCTTTTTTGGTTGCAATTTTCTCCAGAATAGGGATTTGTTTTGGGACGCCTACCTTTCTGGGTGCCTAACCCGGTCGATGGCAGACATACAATGCTTCCAATTACATGGGGGCTTCTATAGGCCTTTGATCCCCTTGCCTTTCTAGAGGGGGCCAGGTTCTGGCTCGTGATCCCCGGTAGGCCCATAAGACCTGACTGAAACATCAGTCAAACTGATGTTTTTTTGACTGAAAAATCAGTCAAACACATGACTGATGCCAAAGTCTGACATTAACATATCAGCCTAGTAAGCTTCGGGAAGCCTCCGGGACTCCCCCCAGAAAAACACCGTAACGTAACACCTAATAAGTTAAGCGAGAAGGTGGTGGAGGCCAAGACCATCAGTAGTTTCAAAGCTTTATATGATAAAGAGTGCTGGGAAGACGGGACACCACCACCACCTCTCATCCTGTAATTACACTTGGGTAATTACAATATTATTATATGTAGTTAAAGTATATAAATCCTTTAATAAAATATAATAATAATACATGTATAACAGATCATACATATGAAGAAAACAATTTTTTCACTATCTGATGATATCCTGTCTGACTTTCTGTTAAAGTGCTCAGTGGTGTCCCTTTCAAATGGTGTCCAGGGCACATACCCGAGATATGCCACTGACTAGTGATAAGTTGGAAAAGCAGGCAGGAGTAGCAGAGAAAGGTGCTCCAGTGTCTAAGATAGTACCTAAACAACAGAAGACCGAGTTAATGAGAGAGGCGAGACCTCAGAATGGCGAGATGTCACTAGCAGTCTCATAGGGTTCTATTCTCGGACCAATCCTGTTTTACATATTAGTAAATGATCTTCCAGAGGAAATAGACTCATTCCACTCAATGATTGCTGATGCTGCAAAAATTATTAGGAGGATTAAGACAGTGGAAGAGATGCTACAAGATGACCTGGATGAACTGAAAGAATAGTCTAATAAATGGGTACTAGAGATTAAGCAATGAAACTAGGTGGAGGGAACAGGAGGTCGAACACTAGGTATCAAATGGAAGATGAAATGGAGAGAAGGATCTAGAGGTTGATATTACACCAAACCTGTCTCCTGAAGCTTACATCAAAATGATACCATCAGTGGTATATGCTAGTTTGACCAATAACATAACTGTCTTTGGAAACTTGCATAAGGAAGAATAGGGGTTGAGCTTCAATTCAACCTTCTGCAAGCACAAATAGCAGAGTACAATTAGGCGAGTACTTACCCCTGGTCTAACTTATCATTGTCCCATTCTCGGCGCCAAGCTCCTTCATGAGTGCGTCCCCTCGTCAATCTTTCCTCATCTATCACTTCCCTCTCGGCTTTCCATTTTTCATATTCATGGTACTGCCCGTAACCCTTTGAAGGAAAATATATTAGCAGATATCTTAGCATGAATACTATATTTCAAATGATCATACAACCAAATATAACATACATAATTTCAAATGAATGAATGTAAGAATAAACATAATGTAGAGAAAGTATATACTGTACTATACAGTATGGTATTTTATTTGTCTCCATTGCATCTATCACCTATAGTATTAAATGAAAGATCACATACACAGACGCTGTATTTATACGAGTGACAACATGTGAATTCACATAATTGTGCTTACATGTACTGTAATGAGCTCATAAATTCAGAAAGATACACATATTATACAGTATACTGTATTTGAATGTGTGTGGTGTGAGAATTTACAAGATGACTGCAGTTTGGTCCTGCATTTTCCAAACTTAGTTATGTAGCATTTGTCCAAATTTTAAGTTCATAAGTAAAATAAAACTCCAGGATCTAGTTCTGCCTAGATCAATTTGATGGGTGTGACAAAACAATTGAAACCTCTCCAGCATCATCTGCAAATAGGCTCATTTAACTGAGCCTATTAAAACTATTTAACACTTTTCCTATCTCGTGACACTTAATGCGTCACCAATTTTTCTCCAGTCCTATCTCGTGACACTACTTGAGTTCAACAATAAAATATTTGTGTAAAATTTATTTTTTATCCGATCGACTCTGGGTTAGTTTCAAAATGAGCGCCTTTAAAATGCGCACAATTTGATACCAAAATGAAAGATGTAACATGAAACTTGATGTCAGAACAAAGGATATAAATAATTTTGTGAAGGTGAGCGTCCAAACTTAAAATATTTGTTAAAATTCCAGTTATTGCTCTATTATTATGGGACTAGTTTTAAAATATGCGCCTTTATATTGTGAACAATTTGATACTAAAATGAAAGACGTAAGATGAATATTGATGTTATCAAACTGAACGAGTATACACATTAGGCAGCTGTGTGCAAATTGGTGCTCATTCACGGGAAACTTTAGGCTTTGCTGTGGGGAGTCACACCGGGCTTTTGGACATTATATGCATATACACCTGCAGGGAATTTAATTGCGAACACAATGATACCAAAACGATCGACGTAGCACAAGAATTAGGGTGAGAAAACTGAAACGAGTACTGTATATACATTTTACCGATTTTGTGCGCTCACGGGTAACTTTTGCAGACTTTAGGCTTTGCTGTGGGGAGTCACACCAGGCTTTTTGGACATTATATGCATATACACCTGTAGGAAATTCTATTGCGAACACAATGATACCAAAACGAATGACGTAGCACGAGAATTAAGGTGAGAAAACTGAAACGAGTATGCACATTTCGGTGTCGCCGAGCGCTCACCCGCACGCTTGCCCGCACGCCGGGAGCATGACCTCCAAGTTTGCGGTGCGCATGCCAGGAATGCAATAATGTTAACTGCCTTCAGGCAGTTCATTGAATAAACAAGGAATTTTACATCTACCAATACAGTTATCCCTATGGGATTTTGCTTGTCACATTCCTCCAGGCTGATTTCTGTTCCCTAACCACTACAGTACTCTCATCCTGCTACCTGTTAGAAACTATTTTATTCATACCATGAACCTTCCTGCTACACACCTACCCCCCCCACAAGTTGTGGAAAATATCCACTTATTCTAAGATAGAGTATGACATACATTAGTTATTCATGATCTATAAGTGAATTATAGAACAAAGCACATGGTCCATATCTGGCTATTTTTAGACCCTAGCCAAGCATCCCTAGAACGAAGAGTGCGCTCAGGTCAGCAAAAATCCTCAATTACATGACGCCCACCCAGAACAGAGGCATCAGTATGGTTCCTATCAGGATACTCAAATCGAATTCCCATATAAATTTAGGAAATGGGGCAAATGGCAAATTTTCAAATGGAGGACCTTTGACAAGCAGCCAGCTTCCTGTCCATTGAGGCCACCTCCATTGAGTCCACTAGTATTAGTGGCCCTCAGGTAAATTCAGGTAAACAAACAATATGGTAATACTGTAGTGTAAAAATAAAAAATAGTGTAGATAGTTATCTTGAGATGATTTCGGGGCTTAGTGTCCCCATGGCCCAGTCCTCGACCAGGCCTCCACCCCCAGGAAGCAGGCCATGACAGCTGACTAATTCCCAGGTACTTATTTACTGCTAGGTAACAGGTGCATCAGGGTGAAAGAAACTCTACCCATTGTTTCTCGCTGGCGTCCAGGATCGAACCCGGGACCACAGGATCACACATCCAATGTTCTGTCCGCTCAGCCACTGGCTCCTTTAATTGTTAATTGTTTAATTAGTTAATTGATTAACCTGATACATTTGGTAAATTCCAGTAGATATCGAATGTTTTAATAGAGCGGCCAACTGAGCCCGCCCTGAGGGGCTAGTGGTTGGCAAAGCGATACCATGCCAGCCAGTAGTGTCTCAGTCACAACACTACAGTACCAACATGACGCCACTAGTACAAGCTGAAAGATCGAAGCTGTTTATAACACAGTGGACAGTGTGGTGTAATAAACTAGATATGGTATCATATCAATACACACTTTGTGCACGAGTGCATACATCTGTGAATGTGTGAGTAAATGAGTGAATGAGTATCCGGAGAACATGCTAGCATTCTGTATTTCCGAAACAAATACTTACTCTTCCCCTTCCTCTGCTTCTGTGTTCAAAATTTCCTCGTCCTCGACCCCTTTCACGTTGTCTGTCAGTATTATCATACTCATCAAATGAATGACGTTGAGCATACTTTCCTCTCCCTCTTCCCCTACTTTTCTCAAGTCTCTGATCTTTACCATCATCTGGATAATACCGAATGTCTCGTGAAGCAAAACTTATTTTTCCTCTTCTTCCATCTTCCCCTCCACCACCACCACACTCACTATTCTCTGTACCATTTCCAGGACCAAAATTTTCATTTTCTTGTCTTGATTTTTCATTAAACCTTCCTCTTCCTCCTCTTCCATGCTCGTATCTTCGTTCGCCATCAGGGCCGTAAGAATTCCCATTACTTCTTCCCCTCCCCCTTCCTCGGTTAAAGCCTTTATCTCCTCGGCCCCCGAACTCTCCTTCTGTCTGAACAATGTCTAGTTTTCCATCAATTTCTCCTTCACTAAAGTTAGATCCTCCTCTGTCACCTCTCATGTTACCTCTTCCTCTATCACTTACAATTTCCATGCCTTTATCTTCTGAACCTTCCCATAAACTTCCTCCTCCTCCTCTTCCACCACGTTTACCTCTTCCCCTTCCGCCCCTTCCCCAGTGCTCTCTTTTGTTGTCTCTCCCTGTTTCTAGTCCATCTCTATCTGGATCAGACAGAAAACGGTATGAGGGATCAGGTGGAGGACCATCATTCTGAAAAAAGTAGAGTATCGGTATAAAAAATGATATAACAAATTTCAATACTTTTAATTTACAAATATAATATCTTAAACTTTACCAAAACAAGTTACAGTACATCCTGAGACCCTTACTTCAGAGAGTCTCTGTCTGGAAGGCATAATGTCAGCAGGACGAGGGGGTGGAGGATGATCCAACATCTCACGAGGTTTGTCTGATCTTTCTGGACGAGACCTTGGGGCCTTCATTTTATATGGCTTTACTTCATCCATTGTTACTTTTGAGCTAAAAATGTCTGCATTTTTCTTGTCAGCTTCAATTTCCTGAAACAATAAACTCCGTGTAAGAGTCACGGCAACAAATGTAAAAACTTTAACATTTAGGTAGCATGTTTATCCAAGATTGAAAACAGAGTAACATTTAACCCCTGCTACACTCAGCTGCAAAGTCAAACAAATTCTAAATTTGTTTTTTTTTCTTCTGACATTGTTAATTAGCATCCAGGAAGCACAACCAGGAAGCAGTCCAGGTTGTACTGATGTGTCAAAGGTGGTGTTCATTATGTATAACTTTGAAAATATATATGTATGTACAGATATGAAGGAATGATTTGACTATACAGTATACTGTGTGTGTATGTGTGTATATATATATATATATATATATATATATATATATATATATATATATATATATATATATATATATATATATATATATATATATATATATATATATATATATATATATATATATATATATATATATATATATATATACACACACACATATATATATACATAAATACATACATACAGTAATCACTCGTTTGTGGTTGTTAAAAGTTCAATGGTTCCTAGTATGTCCAGACACATGATGATGTACCAGACATGGTCTTTATCTTTTAGTTAGGTCCTAGAAGGAAAGTGAGGGAACTCAAGAGTTTTTCAAGATAGGGGATAGTTACTGGAGGCTTGAGGAAGCAAACATGAGCCCCTTGTATGTGCAGGACTTTTAAATCTTACATGTTCCCCCTAATACTGCACCTGATGGGATGAACAGTTTGAGCATATTTAGCTACCCCATCACCTGATGGGACGGCAGTTGAAGGGTTAAGGTTATGGAATAATAACACCTTATACGAGTACAACAGATGAAGCTTCATATACCTGATGTCGTTTGCGAAGTTCTTCATTTTTGCGTCGGATATTCTCCATTTTCTGATTCAGAAGTTTCTCCTTCTCCTCACGTGACATCTGTATAGAAAAACAAGAAAACAGATTTTGAGCTCTAAGTGAACTTTTTGATACAGTCTAAGATATACCAACTTCATCAGTGAAATCTTGAAATATCAAATATTTAATAATAAATAATAATCTCATTCTATGCAAATAATAATCTTATTCTATGTAAACTTAATTATTCTTAGTCTTTTTCAAGGAAAAAACCAGCGTTGAATGTAATGAAACACCACTTTCTGGGTGAGACCCGGAACCTCCCCGGAGCTTTACCAGGCTGATATGCTAATGTCAGAATTTGGCATCAGTCGTGTGTGGAGTTCTAGGGCCTACCGGGGACCACGGCCAGAACCTGGCCCCCCTCAGAGAGGCAAGGGGGAGCAATGGCCTATAGAAACCCCCATGTGGTTGGAAGCATTCTATGTCTGCCATCGACCGGGTCAAGCATCCAGAAAGGTAAGCATTCCAAAACAAACCCTTATTCTGGTTAAAATTGCTACCTAAAGCTGAACTAGTGGACAGAACTCCCCAACAGAAAACAAGCAATCTAGTATGACATCACACGTCACCGCGCCGCTGTCTGTGCAGCTCCCCCCTCCCCGGGAGGGGAAAAGGGGGAGCCCCAGACCTCCCACGCCGGCTATCCACCCATCAGTTCTGAGGCTGGATGTCAAAACACGCGAAAAACCACCGACCGGAGGGAGGGAGGGTTGCCAGAGAGCCTCCGAGTCTCACCCAGAAAATGGCGTTTCATTACATTCAACGCTGGTTTTCAGGGGGGGGGAGCCCCATCGGATCCCCGGAGCTAACTACCCACAGAGGAAGGTCAAAGGGATGGAACCGGGAGGTGGACACCACGCACCCCCACGGAAGCGAGACAACCGGCAGCAAACGCCAACCCAAGGCGCCACAGCCCCGAGAGGGCCCGGGAACAAAACGAGACAACGAGCAGCAAGGCCCCAGTGTAGCAAGACCGAAGATCCGTGCCCAAATGACAGCAAGGACACATCGCTCAGACAGCAGCGAGATCAGCGAAGCCACGAACGCCACGGGCATGGAGGAAGAACACAGGCTGGTTAGCCGCAAGAACACGGCTGACAACCCGGGACACTGGCACCTGCGAACCAGGAAGAACAGAACTAGATCAACGCAAAACGCGCCCCCGGACACAAATGCCGTGGCACACAAATAACAACGGAGGGCTGCCATGGAACACAAAACACGACACACCCCCGGCCCAACCAACCAAGCACCAACAAACCAAGGACCCCTCCAGAACGCAGCAGCCCCATCCTGTGCCAGAAAAGATGGAGACTGCTGCCACCGAACAACCAAAACGCTAAAACCGAAGGAGCAGAAAAACCCCTGCGGAGGAGCAAGAAAACCAGTGATCCGACCCCGAGGCAAAAGCCAACAGGAAAAAGAGCCGATGAAAAAACAAACCGGAACCGAAGGGGCACTACCAACTGAGGAGAAGACAGAGCATGCTGACCAGAGACCGGGAAGGTGCAAGCGGCGCACGAACAGGCCGGAGGTGAAACGGCGCACGAGACAGCTTACTAATGGTGCAGAAGCAACACCAAGACCGAAAGCAAGTCGAAGCGGCTCCGCCAGCGCCGCACGGAAAGAGGCGACAGTATGTGGCAAGACGACGGCCCCCAACCCCCACCAGAAAAACCAAGCCGACGCTAACAACTACAGCCACCTAAGAAGGGACAGGAGGAAAAGGAGGAAAAGGAAGGACCGCCAAAATACCCCATACTGCCGCCAAAAAGAAGTAAGCAGGTGGGACATCTACCATGAAGCCACCCCCGACTGCCAACCGGAGGCGAGACTGCGAGGCAGAACGTAAGCAGCCCCGACAAGGCCCCTCCGAGCCCAGGAAAAGGCGGAGCCGCGGGAAGATCTCAGGCGCGACCACCGAAAACCCAGGCGGCACAAGGAGATGGAATGTCTGCCGAACAGAAAAACTCCCCAAAGCAAGCAAGCCCACCAGGAGTTCAAAAACAACAGGTCCGATGCGAGACATCGCAAGATCCCGAAAAACCAACCGGCAGGGCTAGCTAGGAAACCGAAGAAGGCAGAAGGTTTGCCTCCAGAAACAGTACCCGAACTAAGGGTACAAGCAACTGCAACAGACCGAGACAAATAAGCGCACCACAACACAGGCTGAAAGAACCCCCAAGAAGCCAAGGAACGCACGCAAAACACCCCTGCGGCAGAGGAGGAAACAAGGGAATGCACAAGGAAAGGAATCGGTAGAAACCGACCCCCCCCCCCCACCACAGCATCAAGTGCAGGCAAAACTGACCAAAGGAGATGCCAAGAAAACGACTGGGGAGAGGCAGGACGAAAGAGCTGAAGCACAAACCCCAGGAAACAACCAGGGGTGGACACTCAGGCCGGGACAGAAACCCCACGCACATGGGAGGGCCAAGCCAGGGACCCGAAGACCATGAAAAACAACAAGCAAACCCCCACACGCAAACCCTAGGCACAAAACAGCCGCAAAGTGCCACACCACAACCGGACACAGGAACAAGGACATGCCACCGTGAAACACGGTACCAATGCACACGTGCAGTAGCAGCAACAGACACCACCGCAACATGCAACATGTAAATAGCAACCCGCTTCTGCAAAGGCAGAGAAACGGAGCAGGCAGACCCCAGACAGGGCCAACGGAGACACGACAGAACCCAGCAGGCCCAGGAACCTGCACACCAGGCTACCGACGGCGGAGAAACCCGCACGATACCCGCTGGATGGGGTTCTGGGAGTTCATTTACACCCCAAGCCCGGCCAGAGGGTGGCCCACCAGGCAGCTGTTTGGAGCGGCCCACAGGATGGGCCGGAACTTCTATTCGAAAACAGGCTAGCGTGCCCTGGAAGTCCTCGGACGTACCGGCAATATGGCGTATGCTCGCAGGTAGGTCGTGTAACAACCGCAGACCTCTAATGGTTATACAGTGTTCCCCAATTGTGCCTATAGCACCACTGCACTTCACTGGTACTATCCCGCAAGTTCTTCCATATAGGCGGGACCCAAGAGCCAGAGCTCAAACCCCACAAGCACAACCAGGAGAGCCCTACCAGGTGAGTACATAACCAGCACCACAACCCACACACCGCATAACACGAAAGAGGTGGGTCCCATGAATGACTAGCATGGGTTGGACATGCACATAAGTGGGACAGGAAGGGTTGAAAAAGGGACAGTCACTGGTGTGCGAACGGTCTCAGTCGTACAGAAATATACCTAAATAAAGACAGGTATATAAACATCTCCGCATCCAGCACCCGGCCAAAAGACGCCAGACCGCAGAAACTCACCTGTCAAACGGAGGCACGTGACACGACCCAACAGTGCCCAGAAGATCCTGGGTGCACCGCCAGGTGAAGAACCCAGAGCCGGACACGCAAGAGAGCAGGATAGAGGCGAAGGAGGCAGCCCACACCCATGACACAGGGAAAACTCGGCGTCCTCCCCACAGCTGGAAACCAGGCCACCCCTGGAGCAAAGGGGCACACACCGGAGCAAGGGAGAAGAGCGAGAGGCGAAGCCCCTGAGAAAAAAGGGGCACAAAACACCAGCACAAACACACCGCCCAGACCAAAACAAACTCCACGGCGCATGCGCATGACACGCTGGCCGAACCGCACAACCCGCTCTGCGGGAAGGCTCCAACCAGGACTACTGCACTAGAAAAGTAGCCAAAAGAGGAAGCAGGAACAACAAAATCTGCCAATGAAGCAAAGACAGAGCCCAAAAGGGAACCCAACCTCCCACGAGCAGCCCAACCGGGCCATAAGTAGCCCAACTGGGCTACAAGTAGCCCAACCGGACCACAAGCAGCCCAACCGGGCTACAAGTAGCCCAAAACGGCGATCCGGACGAGGAGCCGACAGACGTTCTAATAATACGGGAAGTAGCGAAAACCTTCCCGATCCCTCGAGAACCAGAAGTCACGTAGAACCCCAAGAACGGGGAAACCATGACGAAGACACCGTCCCAAAAAGGGGGAGAGCACCCACCCATAGGATGGAACAAACCGACTCAAAGACCAAGGAACCGAGCCAGGGGAGGGGCAGATGCCCAACAACACGTACGGCGAGTGGGGAGGAAAAACTCCCACTCCGCATAACCACAAGCCCCGCCTAGAGGGGGAGAAAAACCCCCACGGGGTCCTACAGGGCCAAGGCCCCCCGAATTCAGCCCCTCCCCAGCCCCGGGAACCTACACGACAGGCCCCGGGGCCGAGCCGTCCCCCCAAAGTACTACTGTACTTACCATGAATTCTGTTCACTCCACTTTTGATACTTTCCCTTAACCATTCTCAGCAGGAATGGCACTGAAGATACCTACCCACCTGGGCCAGGGCTTTTAGCTTAAAACACCCAGGCGTTTTAAAAAAAAAAAATTTTTTAATAACTTAGTTTTTAATTAGGGCAAACTTAGTTTTATATTTTTAAATTTAAGCTTACATTTTTATCTATCGATTAAATATATAAACCTCAACCTGTCACAACTCTGGCAGGTTGGATCTAAAGAAAACTCCTGGGTATTTAACCAGCCCTGATTTTCATGCAGAGTGAAACAAACATGCTTTACTGTTCCGAACATTAGTAACTTATTAGAATCCCTAGGCTGTGGTTCCATGTGTTTTCTTTTAATTACAGTTTAAGGAAGTTAACTAAAAGGTACTTCAGGAAACAGTCTGTCAGAGAATAATCACAAAGCTTTATAAGATCTAGTGCAAACAATATCTTAAGACTAAAATAATGTGTAACATACTAACCCCCGAGTCAAGCGACATGGTGACAACCGATGCGTGCTAGTACTGTATAACTCGACACAAGCCAAATTGAACTGTATAATGAAAACAATGAGGAATTAGTATAACCTTTTACAAACATATACAGTACTACTTAGTAACAAAACTCATTCTGCATTTACTTTTGGTTTATAAAATTCTACCATGTAACAAATATGTTTTATAAAATATACAGAGCAGAATTATGACAAAAAATTTGTCCTTTAAAATGCTTAAGGGACCCAAAACATGGAAACTGAAAAAAAAAATAAAAAACTTTAGATTCAATAATACACTCAAGAAATGTGGCAACACTTTGGTACAAATCATATCTTTTATGATGTGTGTGTGTATATGGTATACAGTATTATGTTTTTTTTTTCCTACAACTATTGGGTCAACCCAAGGAGGTCAGCTTCAGGCAATCTATGAGGTCTGCACTCTCTTAACATGTGTGTTTATATAAACTAAGCATTAAATGTAATGAAATATCCTTTTCGGGGTGAGTCCAGAAAGCTATCTCACCGAGATGGCTCTATGGAATTCGGTCACATCAGACCTGGAAGTTGGGAAGTGAAAATGATATTGGGCCCCTTACACAGAGATCTACACGACCTCTACAAATGGTCAGATGACTGGCAAATGCTTTTTAATATTGAAAAATGTAAGACCTTGCATGTGGGTCATAACAATCCTCATCACAAGAAGCAAATTAACAACATTACCTTGCAGCTTATTAATAAAGAAAACGACCTTAGAATTCATCATTCACTGAAAGTAACACAAATAGTAGTTGCAGAAAAACCAGTCTCCGTGGTGTAGTGGTAAGACACTCGCCTGGCGTTCCGCGAGCGCTTTGTCATGGGTTCGTATCCTGGCCGGGGAGGATTTACTGGGCACAAATCCTTAACTGTAGCCTCTGTTTAACTCAACAGTAAAATGTGTACTTGGTTGTAACAACGATTCTTCATGGGGGTCGTATTCCAGGGACCTGCCCGAAACGCTATGTATACTAGTGACTGTACAAGAATGTAACAACTCTTGTATATATCTCAAAAAAAAAAAAAAAAAAAAAAAAAAAAAAAGCCAAACCATTGGAATAGTGAAGCAAACCTTTAGCTTTGGAGAAAGTTCAACACTAGGCAACCGGGCAGAACTAAGTTAAGTCAGCAGTCCCCCGTGGTGTAGTGATTAGACGCTCACCTGGCGTTTCATGAGCGCTTTGTCCTGGGTTCGTATCCTGGCGGGGAGGATTTACTGGGTGTCAATCCTTAACTGTAGCCTCTGTTTACCAAACAGTAAAATGGGTATCTGGTTGTTAAACGATTTGGCGGGGTTGTATTCTGGGGAACATAGGATTAAGAGCTTACCCGAAATGCTATGTGCTAGTGGCTGTACAAGAATGTAAATACTCTTGTATATATAAATAAATAAAATACAAATAAAAAACTCTCGTACCAGAACAGGTGAGGGCCACAGGGTTAACAACATTGTAAACCAAATATAACTGAGTGGATCTCATTGAAACTTAAAATACTGATCAATTTGGAGGATAATGGTCTAGATAGCTTCAAAACGTCAGATGTAACACAAACAAGGAGCAACAGTTTCAAGCTCAACAAGCCACAATGTAGGACAGAAAACAGAAGATGTTTTTTTACCCATAGGGTTATAAACCCATGGAACCATCTACACACCGATGTTATAAATGCCAAAGACCGCTGAACTTTAAATTCCAACTTGAAAAAGCATTGGGACAAATGGGGAGACATTTGACAAGCCACTGGCTTCCTGTCCTAATCAAGGCCACTAGAGTGTTAGTTGCCTCTCAGGAAATTCAGGTATCAGCTAATGTAGCTGCACATGTGTAGTCCCACAGAATCTGCTTACCATCCCTCTATGGTTGCAGGGTAACTCCATCTGGACATTTTTGACTTGTCGGTTCTGCCCATTTGAGGTTCCCTTTGTGTTGGACCTTAGCTGCAGTCAAACTTTTCTCATTGACTACTTCATGTCTAGCAATGTTTCCCTATGACTTACAACTGATGAGACCATGGCTGCTGTATTGGTATGCCAATAGCTGCGGATACACCAGCATTCGGTGGAGATTGGCAGCAAGGTGCATGGCTACACCAGTACTCAAGAGCTCAATGGTTCAGGCAATTGCCCAAGGCAGAATTTGAGATAGCCTTTATGTACATCATTTGTTACATTTTTTGAACATCCCACATATTGTATGTTTAATTTACTTTTATTTATATAAAATTCTTACATTCTTGTAAAGCCACTGTCATGCATAGCATTTTGGGCAGTTCCTAAATCTTAATTTTTCCTGGGATATAACTTGCCAAGTCCTTTAACATCCAAGTACTCATTCACTGCTGGGTTAACAGTAGCATACAGATAAAGATTGGCAGCACCTAGTCAATCTTCCCTGGCCAGGATACGAACCCAGGCCACATTGCTCGCAAAGCGCAGCGAGTGTCTTACCACTGCGCCACAGAAACTTCTCATTTACTACTGTATTGAGGTTTTACCTCTTTTTTCTATAACTTTTATATGAATTATTCCAAGTTTTGCCCAAAATATTTTGTGTAGTAATGGCTTCACATAATGTGTAACCCAATGTACCTATAATTATTCCTCTATGTTCATTCTATGCATATTACTATGAATAAAGTTTATTATTATTATTATACTTAGAACATATTTTATATTAGAAAATATACACTTACCCATTTTTATTTTACTCCAAAACTTAAATTTTCAGATTTTGTAATGTTGTAATGATATACTGTACTACAGAAGGTTCCCATAGTTGGGGGGCACAAAGCCTGGTAGGTTTACCGAGGTTCCCCGAGGCCAACTACTGACCTTCCCAGGATGACACCCACAACAGTTACCTAACTCTCATCTACCAAATTTTGTACTGCTAGGTGAACAAAAGCATCAGGTGATGGGAAACATTACTCAAATGCTTCAGTCATTATTTGCAGTGATTCAACCTGGGATCTTTAAGCTGGAATCTGACTAGGATTACCACTACTCTACAGCTGAAAAGAGCAGGTCCTTTTATCTTACTAGAAATATAAAAAAATGCTAAAGTGTACTTAACAAGGAAATACCAAGTGGTAAATATATATTGGTTTATTACATATAAATTGTTACAACTGTATAATTATAGAATTTAAGAGCAATTTGTAGCGACTTTAAAATTAACAGCAAAAATGTTATACACTATGAATACAGGAGGTGTGAAAGATATTTTCTACCATGGATGAAATTTGTTTTACCATATACAAAATATAGTAAATAAAGTGAGAATTTATGTATGAAAAAGTGTGCCAAGTGCTGGTGTATGAAATAACTGTCATATAAGTGTTATCAGGACAAGTTACTGATTTCCAACTCATTCTTTCTGGCTAGCCCCAGCTTTATTATAAAAATTGATTAATTATGTTAGGCTAATAATGTTATGTTCGTAGTCCTAAGGTTCCGGGTTCGATCCCCGGCGGAGGTGGAAAGAAATGGGCAGAATTTCTTTCACCATGATGAGCCTGTTCACCGAGCAGTAAATAGGTACCTGGGAGTTAGACAGCTGCTACGGGCTGTCCCAAGGGATGTGTAACAAAAAGGAGGTCTGGTCGAGGACCGGGCTGCGGGGACGCTAAGCCCCAAAATCATCTCAAGAAGATCTCAAGAGATCGCCTAGAATGTTTCCAAGGACCAGGCTAATGTAGAGGTGCTGCCATGTTATGGGGCAAGTGGCTCTCTCCACATTAAAGTTAATTAGTTTATGCTAAGGTTAGGGTAGGTAATTGACAGTGAAGCACAAATACACAATATCACCAGTGCAGCCATAGTGAAAGGACATCTTCGTGTAAATTGCACATAATCATAAATCCTCTTAAATCTTGAGGAGCAAGATGGTAATGGGGCAATATTATGAAACCTTCTGATCCTCACTGGAGGAACACCAGTTCACCCCAGTCAAGCCAAGGCAGTAACGCAGGTCAGCTTGGGTCCCAGTAATAGTCATGTTCGTTCTCGATTCGCAATTGAGAATTCCAGGTTCGAATCCCGGGTGGAACAGAAATGGTTGGACGTGTTTCCTATCAGCTTACGGCCCTATTCATCTAGCAGTAAATAGGAACTCTAGATTTTGACAGCTTCTTGTGGGGTTACATCCGGGGCGAGGTCAGTAATTTGACCCTTGGGGTGAGGGCTTTGATATAACCTTAATATGTATACAGTATATACACTGGCTGTCAATCCCCCCGGACACAATGAATATGCATTATTATTATTATAACATGAATTCTTACCTAACTTATGCAGACATTATTTAATGTAAAGATAATATTCTGACAATAAGGTGACTTGAATCGTGAAATATTACAGCAGTTATATTATAACTAATGCATATGCAGACATTAGAGGTGTTGATGAAAGCCAGGACGTAAGATAAGTACAAACAGTCAGTGAAGACAGCAACTTGACCTGTAAGTTGAGACCTGTCATGTCACTGTCAAGTGCCAGCCTCTGGGGGTCTCTCAGCCCATCCACTCTCTCATGTCTAATATTTACCAAAACCTCTCCTAACACCAGTACAGTTCTTAAATCAACAATTACGCTGACACCTCACACTCAGTGTGTAAATTATCAATAATTACCTAGAGAAAAATCACTATAGATGTAGCAGCGACCAGGTCCTCAACCTTCCAACTGGTTCCAGCGACCACTATCTGGAGCGACCACTCCTCCACCGCACCACCTCACCTCTCAAGGCGCCTTGTTTTATTATTTATTTATTTATTTATTTATTTATATATATACAAGAAGGTACATTGGGTTTGTGAGAATACATAGCATGGTACAGTAATTGCACTCTTGTAAAGCCACTAGTACGCGCTGCGTTTCGGGCAGTTTTTATAACACTCTTAGATAAAAATCACTCAACTGCTACTTTAGTCTATATAAGAGACTACAGAATACTTATCTGAGAGGACCTACAACTATCTAGTGGCCTCGACGGGGACCCGAAATTTAGTATAACTTTTTTTTAATATATACAATAGTTAGTTTAGTTCATTTTTTATGCACTCAATACCCATCTTGTGGGCGGTAGTGGAAAGGGTTACAGAGGCACATAATGGGCTCAGGGACTCAACCCCACAATTCATTTTTTTTTTTTTTGAGATATATAGAAGAGTTGTTACATTCTTGTAGAGCCACTAGTACGCGTAGCGTTTCGGGCAGGTCCCTGGAATACGATCCCCGCCGCGAAGAATCGTTGTTACAACCAAGTACACATTTTATTGTTGAGTTAAACAGAGGCTACAGTTAAGGAATTGCGCCCAGTAAATCCTCCCCGGCCAGGATACGAACCCATGACATAGCTCTCGCGGAACGCCAGGTGAGTGTCTTACCACTACACCCAGGGTTGCCAGATTCAAATTGCTAAAAGTAGCGAGCTGACGGTCAAAAAGTAGCGAATTTGTAAGTAGAGTAGCCCAATTTTTTGTTTAGTCAAATCGAATCAAATCAAATGTTTATTCAGGTAAAAGTACATACATACAAGATGAGTTACAAACATAATGTTAGATTTCTAGATAGCGACAGTGCATACAGACAGACGACATTCAAATTTAGTAAGTTTATCTTCCTTCTTTGATAGAACAGACTTGATGGGGTCCGTCTAATTACCACAAGCTACCACAAACTACACAAACTTCAGAAAGCTTCCTGGCAATACGTTAGTAATGAATAAATATGATATATTAAGTTAGGCTGACCTAACCTAACCTAACCGAAGCTTGGATCGTCGACTTGATTTGACGTCACCAGCTTTTTATTTTCGTCTAATTTCTTTATAAAAAGATACTTTTTCAGATTAAAATTATGTTTTTTCGTGTTATACATTCAGCACCAACATTATAATGAGTAAATATATCATATTTATTCATTACTAACGTATTGCCAGGAAGCTTTCTGAAGTTTGTGTAGTTTGTGGTAGCTTGTGGTAATTAGACGGACCGACTTGATGCTCATCTGCTGATGACTTACCTCTGATATATTTTGTCTGTGTTTTAATGTTTCACTGTGTTTCTTTAAACCACTTCTATGAGCTCTTATCTCAGTTCTTCAAACTTAACAATATGCCTTATTTCCAACTTCTTTCACTTCAGCCAACCACTCTTCAAACACGGGATCCCTAGGACATCTGAAACGCTTTCTAGTATTTAGACTACTTCATCAAGGTAAGGTAAGGTACCATTTTTCACTTCTTTATCTTAACACTTAAGCAAATTCTAAAAGTAACAGCGGTAACTTCTTTTCTATATGCGGTACCTTGTGTCGAACTATCCTTCTGGAGGTCAGAGCCACACTAACAATGAAAGCACAGATGAAGCTGCCAAGTTCACTGTATGCTAATCCGCTCTAACGACATTCATTTGATTCTTGGAAACACCTAGAGAGACCTAATATTTACAGTAGACAACAGTGGGAGGTCACTTAACATAGACAGTACCCGGGATGAAGTATTAATGTCAATTAAGGTTGGGAAATCTATAGACCCAGGGGAGGATTATCTTGCCTTGCGGTTACTTTTTCTTTGGGAAGTTCCTAGGATCAACGTCCCCAGGGGGTCGGTCTCTGACCTGGCCTGCGGTAAGTGGTCTATTCAATCAAGCTGTTGGACGCGGCTGTGATTTGTACACATGACATTATAAAAAGCATAAAAATCATCATTGAGTTTCTTAACATTAATAGCCCAACTTGTTTTTAAAGTAGCCCAAAAAGTCGCAAGTAGCGAAATTAAAAATTTGGGAGCGCGGGGCTCTGAAAAGTAGCCCAATTCGCTACTTGTAGCCCAATCTGGCATCCCTGACTGCACCACGGAGACTGAGATTTAGCTAAGCAAGTTACAATCTATATATTATATATATATATATATATATATATATATATATATATATATATATATATATATATATATATATATATATATATATATATATATATATATATATATATATATGTCGTACCTAGTAGCCAGAACGCACTTCTCAACCTACTATGCAAGGCCCGATTTGCCTAATAAGCCAAGTTTTCATGACTTGATATATTGGACTTGTACCCAAGATTAACCATGTTATGTATCAATTATATAATGTATGTATGTGTTGTAACTATATAACCTGAGCTTGTAAAAGCACCTTCATCACCTTCAGTGAAGATGATGAAGGTGCTTTTGGTGATAATGGGTGGTGATAATGGTGGTGAAGGTGGTGAAGATGATCTTCACCACCCTACACCACCATTATCACCACCCTACACCACCATTATCACCACCCTACACCACCATTATCACCACCCTACACCACCATTATCACCACCCTACACCTCCATTATCACCACCCTACACCACCATTATCACCACCCTACACCTCCATTATCACCACCCTACACCTCCATTATCACCACCCTACACCACCATTATCACCACCCTACACCACCATTGTCACCACCTTACACCACCATTATCACCACCCTACACCACCATTATCACCACCCTACACCACCATTATCACCACCCTACACCACCATTATCACCACCCTACACCACCATTATCACCAACACCACCATTATCACCACCCTACACCACCATTATCACCACCCTACACCACCATTATCATCACCCTACACTACCATTATCACCACCCTACACCACCATTATCACCACCCTACACCACCATTATCACCAACACCACCATTATCACCACCCTACACCACCATTATCACCAACACCACCATTATCACCACCCTACACCACCATTATCACCACCCTACACCACCATTATCACCAACACCACCATTATCACCACCCTTATCACCAACACCACCATTATCACCACCCTACACCACCATTATCACCACCCTACACCACCATTATCACCACCCTACATCACCACCCTACACCACCATTATCACCACCCTACACCACCATTATCACCACCCTACACCACCATTATCACCACCCTACATCACCATTATCACCACCCTACACCACCATTATCACCACCCTACACCACCATTATCACCACCCTACACCACCATTATCACCACCCTACACCACCATTATCACCACCCTACACCACCATTATCACCGCCCTACAACACCATTATCACCGCCCTACACCACCATTATCACCGCCCTACACCACCATTATCACCACCCTACACCACCATTATCACCGCCCTACACCACCATTATCACCGCCCTACACCACCATTATCACCACCCTACACCACCATTATCACCAACTATATCAATATTGTAATTTGCTGCATACCTCTCACGGGCCTCAACTTGAAGGCTAAGTTTAAATGCATTTTTGTTTTTTTAGAATAGTGTTGCCTCTCTCACCACACTAACCAGTAACATAATCGCTGGCCGTTATCCTAATGTTTATTTAAAACAATAAAGTTTATTAATTAACAACTTTTATTTACAAGTTAACCAACTGGTTTCTTGTCTATGTGACAGGTTATCCTCGTCTGTCGTAGTATTGACCTTGGCAATGTTCTGCATCTTGCCTTACATGCAGTTAGATGTATGTTGCATGAGCGTCACCACACACATACGTCACTACACCTACATCTACTGTTGGTACACAGTAGCATGCCAACAGTACTTAATACCCAGCACATTGTGAGTGTAGCAACCCTTGCACTTGCCTGGCGGGAGCTAGGCGGCGGGAGGCGGGCATCAGCAGCTGGGCAGCACCACCCCGACCAGTACTTGGTATTCTCTCTCCGTGGCGCGCACACCGCCGGCATGCTGCCCGCTGCCCGCTCTTGTCCGCCCTCGCACATCCACCCACGTGCCCTGGGACACACCGACACCCAGCCACGTGCCCTGGGACACACCGACACCCAGCCACGTGCCCCGGGACACACCAACACCCAGCCACGTGCCCCGAAACACACCAACACCCAGCCACGTGCCCTGGAACACACCAACACCCAGCCACGTGCCCTGGGACACACCAACACCCAGCCACGTGCCCCGGAACACACCAACACCCAGCCACGTGCCCTGGAACACACCAACACCCAGCCACGTGCCCTGGAACACACCAACACCCAGCCACGTGCCCTGGAACACACCAACACCCAGCCACGTGCCCTGGAACACACCAACACCCAGCCACGTGCCCTGGAACACACCAACACCCAGCCACGTGCCCTGGAACACACCAACACCCAGCCACGTGCCCTGGGACACACCAACACCCACTTACGGGGTCTGGGACACACCAAAAACCACCCACGTGCCCTAAGACACATCAGCACCTACCCACGAGCCCTAGGACACATCATCACTCACTCACTGGCCCTGGGATACACCAACACTTATCCACATCACGTTCCTCCGTCAACCCCAGAGGAAAGCATCAACATACGAGGGGAATATACCATAACGAAGATAAGCAGCTGTACACCCAGCAGATGCAATTCCATTTCCTGCAATGGTGTATCTAGGGGAGACGATTCAAACCCTGTGGGCGGTGACGGTACACCGGTTGGGCATGACGGTACACCGGTTGGGCATGACGGTACACCGGTTGGGCATGACGGTACATCGGTGGGGCATGACTATACACCCAGAGGCTGCAGCAGCGTCCAGGTACACCCATCACTGTTGCTGCTGCTCTTCCTCGTGTTGACAAGACCCTTCATCACCGGCGCCACACACGGTGAGTTGAAGTTACCTCCCG